CAGCCTGAAGCGCATTCCTGCATGCTTGAAGACAGGACTCTTGGTAGGGTCGCAGCTTGACCGTGACAGCACTGGCAAAATAACGCCGAGAGCTGAACATCCAAATAGTTCCGGACATCTCTTCCCCAGACATCATCTATAGATCACGTGAAAGAGTTGGTATACATGTACAAACACGGCCTCCATATCTGTGTAACTTGTGCAGTACACGTTTTATGTTTTATGTCGTATAAAATTTTTGACTATTACTCCAATTTATTTTATAATTTCTGTACATTGCAACTTAAGAGCTATGGGCCTAGAGGCACCAAGTGTTCAGCCGCAAGATTCGCGCCCGAGTACGAATAATTCAGGACACACTTTTTTTCACACTAGTTTTGCCAAATCTTGCCTCTCAGATCGTTGATCGTGAATGTCTTCTGCATTCGGTATGAACTAAGGCCTACTAGTGTGGTAGTATGTAGAAGAATCCATACTTGGAGGGACCCAGTGAAATGGAATAAAGTCTATCAAGATAAGTCATGATGCGTCGGATAAAAGAAGGGATGGAGCCAAAGCCCAAGTAAATATGCGATGCTAGGCGTTTAACCAGATCCACCAGAGTAGACCTTGCCAAACATGACTTGCTGAAGCTTGTCATATAGCGATAGTACACCAGCACCAGCAACACCACGGAGAATGTTGGCACCTGCACCCTTGAACAACGACTTCATGCCCTCCTTGGCAACGATCTGGGAACCAGCATCGAACATGGACTTGTAGTGAACGCCAGCACCGGAGGTCATCATCATACGACGACTGGAGGTGATGAGTGAGTCTCGCGTTCAATTTGAGGGCACAGGCTAGAACTCACCGGATAGTGTCAAGAGGGTAGGAAGCAAGACCAGCACCGATGGTGACACCCCAGCCAAGAGCGAAGGAAGCCAAGAACGAGCCCTCGAGAGCACCAACGAGAACGACAGGCTCTGCAATCACAATCAGTGATACGATCAAGAGTTGATTCAGTCGACTCACTAAGCGAATCATATACACCAAAGTAAAGACCACGGTAGACAATGATACCAACGACTGAAGGAACGAAACCACGGTAGAGACCCGCGATACCATCGGAAGCGAGAGTCTTCTTGTACACATCAACGAGACCGTTGAATTGACGAGCTCCTCCACCCTTGGAAGACTTGGCATCGTTGGCAAGACGGGTACGAGCGTAATCAAGGGAGTAGACAAAGAGCAATGACGAAGCACCAGCGGCACCACCAGATGCAACATTGCCAGCGAACCATTTCCAGTAGCCGTCGTTCTTCTTGAAGCCGAACAGAGATTTGAAGTAATCCTCTGAAATTTATATCAGAGGCGGACTATGTAAGAGCAGACTGAAAACGCACTGAAGGCGAAGTTCAAGGCTTGTGTAGGGAAGTAACGAATCACGTTGGCAGTGTTACCTCTCCAAAGTGAGACAAGGCCTTCTTCCTTGTAGGTGCGACCAAACGCATCCCCGATACCCTTGTAAGGTGTAGCCAGACGACCCTGCTTGATCTGGGAGGTAACATAAGACAGTTGCTCGCCAACTCTGGGATAGAGAACGCACCATCTCGTCCTGATTTTGTACCAAGAGCTTAATACGCTCAATTGGAGCTGCCGACGTCTTGGCAACGGCCTACAAAACACAATGTCAACGTCGAAAACCTTGACCGCACTGTAGCGATGACACGTACAGCAGAAACACCACCCATCAGGAAATCGACTGTTAGAAGTTATATTAGCGCTCCATGCGCGACACAATGCAAGCTACACGGCAGGCAACGACGACGAGCAACTCACTCATGAAGTCCTGGGGAGTCTTGACCCTCTTAGTTTCGGCCATTTTTAATTAGAAAGCCAACAAGGAAAGGCTGAGTGGAGAAGGATGAAGGAGGATGAGAGTTAAGCAACGAAAAAAGTTCGCGTCAAAAAGGAATTCGGAATCATCCGGAAGGTTTTATCTCCGCTCTTCACCGATTGAACAGCATCGTGTTTAGGTACGTTCCGGGTGGTCTCTGTTCCGTTACTTAATATTAACGTTCATATGGTCGAATACGTAAATAGAGATTATTGCATAATGCGCTATCTCTGCGAAAAACAAAGGATTATTATGACTAACCCGACCTAAACAGACGTATAGTAGCGGAATAAGCTATCCCTGCAATGCGAAATTAATATTAAGGCCACACGCCTGGTCGGCTCGTAGAACCACTAGGTCTGGACGGATAATAACTGTTGGGATTGTACGTATCATATGGACTACGGACGGTGTCATGAGGAGATGTTGTCACAGGTGGCACGTACAAGCTTGGGTTGGCGTAACGTACTGGAGGTAATTGAGGGACAGCGTAATTGTTCGGTCCAGTAGGATATGCGGTCGCAGGTGACCGAGGCGTGCTCATAGATACGACATTGGCAACTGGCGACACGGGTGGAAGATGTACCGCATGAGATATTTGAGGCTGTGGCGGCGGGTGTGGTTGCTGAGATGCTGGAACGGAATCAACTCGGGATTTCTTCCAGATCTGCTCTGTAGGCGAGGGTGCACCAGAAGGTGCCTTGCGCTTCTCCAGAGAACTCTGAGCCATGGGTGGTGGCTGGGGCTCATCCTCGTCGGAGTCAGCTGTTAAATCGATGACATCACCGCTCCTAGGTTGCCGCGCGGTTGTCGGAAGACCTGCGTTGGAGGCGGGACTGGATAAAGTGTTCATCGGGTAGGAATCTGATAGCTCCTGCTTGACTCTGCCCTCGTCCTCATCATCAGAGTCCAACACAAGAATCTCTACATCTTTCCTCGCATGAGCTTTTGCGGCAACCTCTTCATCGACCGATGCTGGTGATGACCCACGAGGAGTCGGCGAAAACCTGAATGGAGCCGTCCCTGGATGCGAGGCCAACCAGGAAGCTGAGCCAAACTTATTATCACTTGTATGCCACTGCCCGTCGCTTTCAACAATAACATCTTCGACATCCTCCGAAGTATCCTTCAGAATCTGGTCAAAATATCTGTTGGCATATACATTAGTCGACTGATGACTCAGCGACATAAAAACAACGAACCCATCGATGATGAGATCTTCAAAATTTAGAGCCTTCTCACATACAGGACAAAGCCACGTTGTCGTTTGCTCCATGCAGCTGAACCACGAGTTTGCGTCGAAGCACTGCGGGTGAGGGCATAGTATTGATCTACACGGCGTTCTTACTCGCATGAAGCTCAGCTAGACCATTTTACCATGAGAAAAAGTCAAGCGGGTGGAGGACGTCCATACTGGGCATTTCAAAGACATCTTCTGTGATCCAGCAATAATATCGTCATCTTCGCTTGAGGTTTTATTCACTGCAAGAAATATTATTTAACAGATGATTTACTCAATAAATGAACGCTTTACTTTGTGCCACAATATCTTCATGATTGCGATACTTCCCCTTCTTGAGCTTGTCCACGAGCTGATCTACAGTCGTGGCTTCAACAAGCATAACGATCAGATAGAATTTCTGCTGGCGATACTAAGACAAACTGTGTGTAGATGACAGATCCACCAACCTTGGGCTGTATGGGCTGCTGGCTATTCACATATACCATTTCGACTCGGTTTTGACCGGTCATTCTAACGGTCTTCCCAAGGTCTGCTGGCGGTGCAGTACCAGGCTTCTTCTTTAAACCCTTCAGGTTTGCTGTCAGCTGCACGCCATTGACTCGCACTTCACACGTGGGAGGAAATTCGATTGGACAAAGTGCCGTAGTGGGCCTGAATCCTGAGGCATAAAACGTGTTTGAGGTGCAGTACAATCGAAGCTGGAACTTGGCACTAGAATGGTGTGTCAGGCTCACGGCATCATAATCCACCGACGGAAACATACGTCGTCGAGTTCAGCTTCATCGACTGCTCGCTGGTGAGAGCGAAAGTTAAAGTTTGCTGTTTGCGATCAGTCGAGCTTGTGGATTCTAGGAAATTGTCAAAGTGGACCAAAATTGTGGAGAGTACGTATATACTTACCAGGACACTCGACAATGCCAGAGACAGCCTGATCTACACGAAAGAATGGGGAGGGCTTGAAGCGCATACCTGCGGTATGTGTTGGTGATGATGTGCCAGGCAAGTGTATCCATTTATCTTACCTGGTTTTGACACAGCCGACGGGCCAGCGCCTGTGGTTGGTGGCGGAGGCAGCCGCGGAGGGGCGTAGGGATCATAGCGGCCAGCGGGGATCGCATTGAAACCGCTACGAGCTGTATTTGAAGCTGAACTATATGCTGCTGAGGGAACCGAAGGCAATGACTGGGATACCATCGCTCCTGGCATGCGGGAGCTCGTGTACCTGGTGGTCAAGCGCGCGGTCAGTGCTGTGTCCAGAGTAAAGGATGCTACCACACAAGAATGCTGTAGTTAATCGAAGGAGCCCAAAAACGCGGCGCATGAGAAATGCCACGCATGCGAGATGAGTCAAATGTATGAAATGGCACTCACATTCCGGTATTGCGAACCTGGTATAATATAACTTTCGCTTTGGTCCATTTGTCGATGTTGTTGGCTTGACGCCAGGATTCCAGCTGCTGTACGATCCTCTCTATCAGGTCCTGCTTCTTTCCAGACTTGTGAAATACAGTGTTGCATTCCTCATTGAAACCGGTAAGAATTTGTTTGAGTTTATCCACCGTATTATGCTTGACTGTGTGCCGCAAATTCTAGAGTAATAATTTAGCAACATATGATATATGATTTACAACCCAGACCTCGAAATCGCTCCAAGAGTCATTGGCAGCCATTGATGTCTCTGCTGTCTGCCACAGTGAGCGAAAGCTTTCAGGAGAACAGAGAAGAGTTGAGGACTAAGCTGAGCGGGAACGAATTGGGTTTACATACCATAATACACAAAGGTAAACAAAGCAGATTCAGATCCCCCGTTGCTCACGTGCGCCATCTCTTTCATATCGTTTAAACTTGTAGGATTGTTCAAAGGATTGTTTCATACGTATGTCTTCAGACAACGACTACGACAAGCTCACGAAGGATGAGAGAGAGGCACGTGATAAGGCCGATAGGGAACGCGAGGCGGCCGAACAGGCTGGTATGATTCCACTTAATCAGAGGTTGATCAGATCATAGACCATGACGTGTAGCTCTCCCATACAGATGGAAGCAAGAGTTAGGCGAAGTCGATATTACTGTTCCTGTTCCGAAAGGGACACGGGCCAGAGACTTAGTCGTTGTCATTCAGAAGAAGAAACTTAGCGTTGGTCTTAAAGGTCAGGAAAAAATTATGGAAGGCGAACTCTGCAAGGAGATCAAACTCGAGGACAGCACGTGGACACTCGGTGAGGTGCTGCATCATGATATGTATGCTGATTCTTAATCATAGTTCAGAGGATCAGCAGTCTCTTCTTATCCATCTAGAGAAACTGAATCAACAGCAGTGGTGGGACAATATCCTCACACATCACCCTAAGATCGACACTCGCAAGATCCAGCCAGAGAACAGTAAGCTCAGCGACCTTGATGGAGAAACCAGGTAATGTTTACTGTTATCAGTCAAAGCTCGCTCTTACCCGGCTTCTTCAGAGGCATGGTCGAAAAGATGATGGTGCGTGTCTAGCATTTGTCTATATTTCTTTCTACCAACTTGTTTTCGTGCCTTTAGTTTGACAACCAACAGAAGGTATGTACTTAATTGTGTCTGTGACCATATGTGTATTTAGTATGCCTTCAGCAAATGGGAAAACCTACCTCAGACGAACTGAAGAAGATGGAGGTTAGCGATTCCTGTATCAAGTTTTCCGAGGCTGATCAACTTTGATGTCTCAGGCATTGAAGAAGTTCCAAGCTGCTCATCCTGAACTCGACTTCTCGAACGCCAAGATCTCATAAATACTATCTACTGTGACGAGTGTCAGGTTTCATATTGCATCCGCCATGTACAACAAGGAAAATCTATAGCATGTGAATAACACGAGAGTTATCTTAGCGTTTCTCTCCAAATGCATACCCTACGCTTCCCAAGTGTTACCAGTAACTGTCCTCCAAAGCCGAGCACACAAGCCTGCACGCTTCCCTGCGCACCAGGAACTAGAACTTCCCACCTCTGCGGTTCGGGTGATTTCCCGAAGAATGTTGTGATTGGTTGATCTTCCTCTTCCTCTTCATCGTCCAGACGTACATTTTGGAATTCAGATTCAATGTCACGTTCCGGCGGGTCACGCTCAGGCGGGTCTGGCGCTATCACGCGGGGGTGGAAGTTTGCGAGGTTATACAGACGAACGTTGTCAGGAAGAGACAATACAAGTATGTAGTCGCCTGTAAACGTTTGGGTGACATGAACGTGTCGAGTCTGTTGGGGCAACGAAGACGTCGAGATGAGCGTAAATGATGCTGCAATGACGGATCAAGCCACCAATTCAAACAGAAATGTCGATACATACAGCTCTCCTGATAATCCTGCACAATGATCAGCCGCATGATTAAAGAGATAAAGGGCAGTGTACCGATGAGCAACCCCTGAACACCTTCCCAATATTTTGTCCTGCAGGAAAAAATCTATCGAATCCAATCCACCGGAAAATCGTCACGGTTCCATCTTCGTAGTATATATCATCCTTGCGACCGCGACGTCTCATGAGAGCGGGCGCACTATGAGTTACTAAAGTGTCGGTGCTAAGCCTGTCTTGGCGTGGTCGGCGGATTGAGAACGCTGTCCTTTAATTACATAGAAATACGTACCAACTCACAGACATGATGCGCGCCTTGTGAATCCGACTGCTGCTGAAAAGAGGCTTGTCTTCACGAGTAAAATTAGATGACGCTGAAAAACTCCAAATCTTCACAGCCCGATCTAGCTGAACGATTTTCGGAAATGTTACGCGAAATATGCAACCTCGGATGGACCTACCCCACACGTGGCGATCAGAGGATGCGTTGGATGGAATGCCTCATGATCATACGTTAGCCGTGGTATCAGTTTGATCTACAGGACTCACAGCGCTCAGGACGGCAGCCTGATGACCACCGGACGGACCACCGCAGAGAACACTGATGCATCGGCCAACGCCATTACCCTCTGGCTCGCTAGCTTGCAGTCCATGGGGGGCTCCTCCTAGGCTGGGGACTTTAGATGGTGGCCAGCAAGGGTTGTCAGGCCCCTGCCGCGGGGACAATGTTAAATCATATATGCGTGTTGTAAAATCCCTTGAAGTGGTACAGAATAAATAGGGATGCGTAGGGTGAACGACTATGGATGTGATTGGCTAATCACAAGGACCGTCCATCAGCGAATTAAAAGAAGGGCGCAGGTACTCACCCCACCATGTCCACGCAAGTAGCCGATTATTTTGCCTTTCACTGGGTCCAGGATGTAAAGGATGCTACCCGCTGAGAAAACAATAAGAGGCTCTAGTGGTGATTCAAAAGGCAACGCCCACCCCACGGCCATTACGGGTGTCTTTTTTCCAGGCGTCTATACACAAGTTAGATCGAGTAGGTACATAAATGTCACCTCATACGTTCTGTTCTTGTTTTGGTACAGACACTGAGAGGCCTTTGCGTGACCTCGAGGCGTTGAGTGGGATAACAAGCAGAGAGTCCAGGGTTCCGATTGCGAGGGCCCCAGACCAATCGGAAATCATCTGTTTCCATGACCCGTCCTGGAGTTCTTTGTCCTTCTCGCCATACCATAGAGCACCCGAAGACTGTTCAGACCATGGAAAGAGCGCAGTGCAGTAACATTCTTCAACAAAGTCGAGCTGACAGAGCAAGTTGGTTCAAGTCACAATCAGCAAGCTACAGAAATCAGTACGGACATCGACAGTTTTAAGAAGCGTGAATGGCTTCGAGCGAGCGGGGTCTTGAAACCATGGAGCGTTGCTGTCATCAGCGACCATCTGGTCACTATCATCGAGAGACTCTTCCATCGTCAAGCTACTAGTAACGTAATCAGAATCCATCGATATCGTGATAGAGGATGTTGAGATAGAAGATACCGACTGACAAAGGCCTTCAAGTTCAACTTATAACAAAGGGCTATCGACAAATAAGGCAATTGTTCAATAAACCTTTTTCGCCGACCCCCGCCTCGCTCCATCACTCATACCAGCCGTTATGTCTGGACTACCCCCACAACCTTTAGAAGAAGCTTTCGAGCCAAAACCTGCACTGCGCAATGCAGCTACCGTAGGTCTTCAAGCAGGTATTGTCGGCGCGTTTGTGAGTGCAGTTCAAAATGCCTTGGGATCGCATTCGCGAGGCGCTGCTGGGTTCTTGACACGTAGTGGAGGCACTATTGGAACTTTCGGTAAGAGAAACAAATCTATTTGCAATATGGAAATGTCAAGGTTGAGCTTCATCTTTACAGCTGCTATGGGCGCTGCTTTTGCGTTCACGGAGTCGGCTGTAGCGAATCAACGAGAAACAAATGATGCACTGAATGGCATTGCGGGTGGTTGTGCAGCAGGATTTCTTGCAGGTCTTCGAAGTGTGTTGTCATGCTGAATCTATTATTCATTCACCTTATATGTCAACCTCAGCACGTTCAATACCGGTTGCACTTGGATCTTGCGCTGTAATTGGTGCAGCTATGGGCACATTCGACTACGCAGGGGAAATTGCTGGCAGGTCGAAAGAGGAGAAGGAGGAGAAGAGAAAGAAGTTCTTCAAATCAGTACCCCAGCCTGTCCATCACGCTTCCGAGTAGAGGCAGCATCGCTCTACAGATCCTCACCTCACTTCGATCTAGAACTAAATGCTGGCACCGAGCTTCACACCTTGAGAATTTTAAGTGCATTCAACAGATACTTGAGGATACAGTATGACAAAACGGTTCATAGAAACCACAAAGCCACTTATGGATTGTCCACCTAGCTGGAGGAACGTACAAGTTCCTCAATGTGTGCATAAACTTCACTCTGGTGTGTTGTGTAATATTCCGGCCAAGACTCGGCGCTTTTGCAAGGTCGCTGAATGAAACGGCGGTCAGGGAGGGAGGAAATGTGAAGGCAACGGCTCACATGTTGTGATAACCTTTCCCATACCCTCTCGTCATTATCATCATCCCCTCCACCGTTAGCAAAGAATTCACAGATCACCTCAAAATCTTCTCGTTCCAAAGTTTCTTGTGATGCAGTAGCAGCAGCCGGCAAGGCATCTAATCGAGGCTTCTTGGACGGGCCAGGTCTTTCCTCGGTTGCTTTCTCGGTATTCCCATTGGAAGACTTGCGAAACGCGATATTTGCCCTCTTGCGGATGTCAGTAAGTTGCGTTTTCAGTTTCGAAGACGCTTGCATCTGCCAGGACCCAAACGGGTGGTGTGGCATCTGCAACAGATGACAAAGTTAGTTCTTTCAGAACAGATAGAATATACACATCGGAGGCAACCACGTACCTTTCTGTGCATGGCCTGAAGTAAGGCCGTGGTAGACATCGTTGGGTCTTCATTGAGCAGGAATTGAGCATACTGACAGAAATACTCAATTTCTGGCTGCGTAAAGTGAAACTTCCCATCTCTCATGGATTTGCGTGTCTCTGGGGGAGGAGGGGTAGGAGACCGTCGTGCATGATAGAATTTTGCCTCCTTCGAGGAAGGTGGCAACAGTGCTGCTGATATTTGTAGGGAAGTGGCTGCTGATATCTTCTTCACTTTATTTGTTGGCGTCTCTGTAGGCGTGGTCTTCTTTGCCTTCGGTTTCGGCTTTGATGCAGATTTCTGACTCTCTTTCTTGACGGAAGGAGTTTCCTGCACAAATTCAAAAAATGCGCTACTCGGTCTGCCACGCTTCGCATGTTTGAATGAGACGCCCGTGTCGAGCGCGTACTCGCTTCCATCCAACAACGTGCTCTCAGCGATGCAGTCGGCAACGAATGCCGACTGAATCGGAACCTTGTCGCAGGCGTGGGCCTCACTCAAGAGCCCCTGGAATGTCTGCGAGCGTGTGAAGAGGATGACATAATCTGCATCTGCGATACTCCCGATGACCTTGCCTTTATTTTTCTGCATATTGGCAGTTAACACCAAGATAAATGCGTGAAAGACCTGAATGTACAGACCTTGATGTTCGAAACCACTCCTGATCGCCCCTGCAGATCAACCTGCACAAAGAATGTTAGAGGCTGCCCTTGATCGTCAAGGAACACCTCTCCAGAATTCTTTCTTGCGTTCGTACGGCCCGGCGAGCTCAGAAGAGACTGCTCGAATAAATTGTCTGAACCGGCAGGAGGGTCATCTTCGTCATTATCAGATTCGTCAGATATTACAACACGTTCCTTGCCCTTGAGAGATCGCTTGTTAGGCGGGTTTCCGAGCAGTGGCATGGCCTCGTGATTAGCTCTGCGCTTTACTGACGGAGGGAGCAAAACCGTAGATGGCGCGCGAGAAGATGTGTCGGTGCGAGGTTTGCGTCCGGAAGGACGAGGCTGTTTTTCTCGATGTTTCGACACAACAACGTCGGGAGTTGGGCTGCGTGATTTATAAGACGACGATGAAGGAGGGTAGGGTTGGTCTGTAGCAACGAATGAATCTGGTGTGTGTTCGTGATGGATGGCAGGAGGAGCACTGGATGAAGCTTCGATTTGGGGATACATGGGTGAGGGCTGTCCCGCCTGCAAGAATTCACCTCCATTGGTATTCCTCATAACATCCATCAAAGTCATAAGCATTTGAAAACTCTGCGGATCCCTTAAGTTGTGAAACGGCATGCTCGTTGGCATCGTCATTGATTGGGGCGGCATGAATGGCATGTGACCAGAAATAAGTTGTTGAGGAAATTGGCCGAACTGGTATGATTGTTGAGGAACGGGAAATGGTTGAGGGAACGGTGGGGCTTGCGAAAATTGTGGCTGAAACTGAGATATTTGAGAAAACTGGGGATGTATAAAAGGTGCTGGCGTGGCGGGTTGTGTTGACTGGGTTTGTGGAGAAGTCTGAGTGAACTGGACATGCGAAAATGATGCTGGTGTAGCTGGTTGTGCTAACTGGGGTTGCGGGGGAGTCTGTGGATTATAAGGTAATGGTGAAATGAGTTGCTGAGGTGGTGCAATGGGTTGAGGGGTATTAGATGATTGAACAGGTGGAGAAATGCTTGGCGTATAATTGTACGTAGGTCGGCCTGCGTGTTCCGAAGGCTGCTGTAGATTTTGTGAAACGACGGGTGGAGCTTGTTGTGGTGACTGAGGCGGCCTTGGATTATTCGGGATATCTGCAGCCAGAATTGCAGGGACGTTATTGAGAATTCTCTTCGTAAGTGGTTCTTCAGGCGTCACGCGGGGCGTAGGTAGCGGACTTCTTATCGAGAGCATCAGCAGAGAGTCCCCTTGAGGGACTTCAGGGCGTGAAACTGACTTTGAAATGAGCTGTTCGACCTCTGCTTCTTCGCCATCGGCAGCCACTTCGACGATGGGTTTGCCATCATCCGAAGTTTGTGTCCCACCCCAACCATCGACTTCAAGGAGGGGTTTCCTGGCTTCGATACTTTTACGTAGCCATTGAAATTCAAGAACGGCTTTCCCTGGAGTCTGATGCCAGGTACGGACGAGACGCTTTCCATCGAGTTGTGAAGAATCAACGAGAATGATGTCTGCATCCTCTGGGCGACTGGCGTATGCCCCCCCTTTCTATAAAGACATGACATTATGAAGTCTATTAGGTTGAGCCACAAAATTACATACCTTCATCATACGAACTAAGTTTGGCCGTAGTGATATGCCATTGACTTGCAAATGGATGTTGTAGCCTCTGCCATCTGGATGGACAAGAATTTTGTCGTTATCGGAAGTGCTCTGTGACGCAAAGAGCGTGTCCATGAGTGGTTCGGATGACAGTTCTATACGTTCCATGGCGGCCCAGTTATGAACGTGTTCTTGATTCTTGAATCAGAAATTCAGAATTCTAACTTTGACTTCGCCAAGTCACGTGCTCTGCCATCATCACGTGCCGTTCAAATTAAGAATAAAGTCGTCGCGAACCGTGGGCCGCGACGGGCCACAGCATACAAGGTATCGAGGTCCACACAAGTATATGATGTAGAAAGAGCCACAGCAACTTCTAATTGTTCTTCTTCATATAAGATTCAAGGTTGTCTACAACGAGTCCACCAAAACGCCATAATCCCCTTTGATACGATGGTCCTCCCCGCACCTGGCCTCGAGAATGAAATCTCGAACTCAGTCGATAAACTGCAGAAGTTGTACCCAGGCGGACTTGATGCAAAGAAACACCTATACCTTGCCTCATGGCAAGTATGCATTCGCCGCTAAACACACATTTCATGGGAAGAATAAAAAGCAAATAGGTGGGTGCACTTCACAACTCCCTTTCGGCCTGCGGCTCAAATTTAAATCAAGGTCATCTTTCAGGATGTGGATACCGTATAAACGTCCGAAGTGGCGTTATTGCTGGGCATAATGTTACCTGTCTCTGGAAAACGCAAGTTAATCTGTTGTGTCGAAGTTTATGGCAAAAGCTGACTATTCACCAGTTGGGATGTTTCCAAATCGTGGAGAGAGTTCTTTCGAGAGGTATTCTGCACTCTGCTCATATTCTTGCGTTACTCTGACACCGCTTCGAAGTTATACTTCTACTCCCACCCCGAGCTTTTGAGATTCCTTCAAGGAATCGTCGTTTCACACGTAATTGGTGTACATGATGGATCTAATGGACAAAAGAGTATTTTCATGGAAACACCTCATCACATATTCTGGCATACAGCACATCTAGGCTTATCCATCGGCGAAAAACAGGCGGTTATTCGAGCTTACGAAACCTTGCATGCACGCGGTATCCTGCACAATAACATCAGCGCCCATAACATATGCATAGGTCAGAGACTAGCTCAAGCTCATGCAAAAGATTCAGAAATTCATCAACACGGTTCTAGATCAAGATATGAACGTTACGCTGCTAAACTTTGAAACGGCCTGCTGCTTGAAAGACAAGGGAATAGACGAAGTCCCCGGGTGTGATCAGGAGGCACTAGTGCGGGAAATGCGACAAGTCAAATACTTGATTTCCTACATGGATGCGAGACTTATTGAAACCGGAATCATCACAACTCCACAAGCCTCTACCGGTGAACAGCAAGTGAGTTACCCCTTCTTACACATTGTAGGTTGTCTTAATGGCCCTTCAAACTCAGACCCAAGCGCTACACCCCGACGATTTTGTTCGCTGGCTTAAACATGTTGAAAACACCCATACCATCCCGATCGAGATGCGCAATCGGCCAATTCCAAATGACGGACGTAGAAAACCCAAGAAAAGGGTCAAAGCTGGAGCAACCGGTCAGTGGGAATCAGGGGGTCCCGTGCAAGATGCTGGTAATTCTGGAATCTATAGTGAACCGGTCGTACCTCACATTCCTCTGCCAACTCCTCGATCGTCATCCTTCGCAATCATTGCTACGCCCTCGCCACCATCAGACCCTCCTGCAGCCACACATGATCTCTTTCCTCAGCTCCCACTGCCGAATGCTTGCACTGCACTACCTTCTGCTTGTCCTGAAGGGGACACCTCTCGTACGCAGGACAAGGATACCAATGCGCAGCTTCCGCCGTTCCGATCTGATCTTGAAGGCTCTCAAACTGTATCAAGAGGCCTGCATGATATCCCTATTCACTCGTCATCAGTTTCTCCCTTTACTCCTCTCCCTTTACTACTCCCAAGTACACCCATTTCGGACACCTCGGAGCGAATTCTACAAACACCCCTATCTTACCCACCATCGTCTGCCCATCCTCAAAATCGCACCTTCGTTCCATATCCTGACCAGCCGCCTTCACCTAAGGTGTTTTGCGACCTTACGCACGAGCAACTCCGCCTCGCAATAAAGCAGCACAATGCGGATGTAGACGCCAGATTATTATCACACGCTGCAATTGACACAGACAAAAACAACGTCGTATTCCACCCCGACACAAATGACAATGGTACATACGCTACAGGAAGCGATCCTTTTCGCAAGCGGAAGAAGATACGTCGACCTACCCCCTTCTTTCTGGAAGGCTCTAGTTCCACTGAGGAGACTGTCCCTGATCCGGAAAACACTAGCTTCACTGAAGACGAGGAAGATGAAAATCCTGAGCCTGAGGTCGAAGTCGATTTCGAAGAACTCGTCGAGGAAGCTCACCTCGCCAAAGTCAGAGGGCGCCGACGCATGTCACGTTCTGCTACGATACCTGCCATGGTTCTCGCCAAACCCGTGTGGCCTGATCCAGAGCCAAAACCTCCCGCCGTTGCCCAACGAAGTACCAGTATGCCATCGTCGTCAGCATTGCCCTCGATCGGCGAGGAAGAGAGTTCTGGCGATACTTCAGGAGTTCCTCCTTACACTGTGGTTTTTGTCGGAGCTAACGGGAGTCCGGATGAGGTTTGGAAACTCCCTGTACCTGCGTTCATGTTGATCAAGTCATCGGTGGCGAGGCAGCCACAGGCTCAGAAACTCCGAGTAGAGCAGGTCCCTCGGCTGCGAGGACCCCCTCTAACGAATTCTCTCTCTCTGCGAACACTAAATCAGGACACACAAAGTCGATCCTCCAAGAAGCGGGATATCGACTGCGTGGAAGGGATTGAATATTTAGAACAGACGAAGCGCGTACGCCATGACCAGTCAACGTTTAGCTCATGCATGATATGTTAGATTATACTCAACTTTCGAGTCGGACCACTTAGTTATCCTTTCGAACAATATTGTTGGCGATGTAGTACTTTGCAATAAAATGTACAATCACGGATAAAGAATTGTAATTCAAGTTTCACATCTCGTGCACAGGAACAACTCCTACGATATATTGTGCCCTCCCACACGAGGGCATGCAGAACAGCTTGGTCGCACCTTGGGTTAGAACAGCCATGCTTAGCATCGCCAACTCTGTCGACGAACTCAAAAACTGAATACCGCAACAGTGCAAAATCGTGGTCTATTGAATTCGTCGGCAATGAAGCTGAGGGCCATTAATGGCCTGTGCATCTTGACATTTCATCTACTGAGTTGGGTCGACATTCATCTGTATGCGCGGAAGTTTTGGAGGCCAAGTCAAGGCGGCTTACGATACATGGGGGGCACTGAACTGGCTTATAGTCACTAGTGCGTGCCTTGAAGTTCACCCCAATAATGTTTTGTTTCTTGAGCTTATCAACACTGGAGTGGCAATGTTCGCAATTCATAATCATAGTTGCACACATGCTATCATGGCGTTCAAAGGTAAAGGAGTAACATGATAAAAGATATGTACCAAAAATGTGGTTTCACCGGTAACTGGAAATTCTTGTCAGTCAAGTGTTCACGAACTTCAGGCAACCAATATACAAACCTCTTTTGCCTGCGAGCACGAGCACCAGCACCACCGAACTTCTTCGGCTCCATCCGTCTAGGATCTGCGATCAACAGCGTCCGGTCATACGCAACCAACTTTTTCTTCAACTCCATTGCGCTGTATGCATCGATGTACTTGGCGTAGTACGCGACAAGAGCCTTGGCAATGGCCTGACGGATAGCATACACCTGCGATGTGTGTCCACCACCCTTGGCGCGCACACGGATATCAAGTGGTGCGAATGAGTCTTCACCAGCTACAAGTACGGGTTCGTAGATCTTGAAGCGCAGGATCTCAGGCTGGACAAGGTTGATGGGAGAGCCATTCACGCGGATGATGCCACGGCCCTCCTTAGCGTGTGCGACTGCAGTTGCTGTCTAATGAACTCTGGGGTAAGCAGTAAGTCAGCGCAACGGAGGTGTAGCGACTCGCCTTCTTTTTACCGAATGTTTGGACGGCCTTTACTGTAGATGCCATTTTGTCGTATAGAGGAATATGCCGGGGTTCGGCTCTTTGATGGATTCTAGGGGCGGAAAGAGCGAGTTCAGCAACTGGTCTCGAGCGACATATTTGAAGCCAAAGTAGGTGTAACCCAATTCATCCAACTCCAATCCATCGAATCCTGGCCATTCCCCAATGGTATTCGTGCACATTACGGACCACGTAGACACGACCGTATTGCATGTCTGCGACACGTAGCATAAGAGCATGAACTCACCCTCTCGAGGTCGTTTGAGGTGTTGCGGTCGATATTCACAGCGGGCTACACAGCTGAGCGGTGGCAACAAATTCTCACAGTCCAAATTTGGAATTGCAAGAATTCGTCTTGTCTGGCTAAATTCTCTCCGAGTCAGTAAATTATAATCAAGCTCAACGTTTCGCAATGCTTTCTGCTCTGCAGAAATCACTGGCAGGGGTGAGGAAGACTTCATATTTATTTCCGTGGCTATCCTGACAACATCAGCAGTCTTCGCAAGCAATATGTCGCAGGCGAATGGCGACAATTGCGCCCACCCTGGTTCAATCAAAGCTGATTACTTCACAAAGCAAACCTACAACTCGCAACCGTGAGTTTATTGATGGCAGAGAGAAGCACGCTCATTTAAAAACAGCTGCTGATCCAATTAAACCGGTGTATTTGACATTGTCGAGTTTTACTGCCAAGTCAAACAGTGCCAAGAAAGCTGTTGCTCTGGACCCAACGGTGTTCGACCATCCTATCCGGCGAGATATTCTGCATCTTTGCGTCGTACACTACCTGGATTCTCTTCGCCAAGGAACTGCTTCTACTAAGACACGCGCTGAGGTTGCCGGTTCGCGTCGCAAAATTCGTCCACAGAAGGGAAGCGGCAGAGCTCGCCTGGGAGACCGGCAGAGCCCGATGTTGAGGGGTGGAGGTGTCGCTTTTGGCCCCAAGCCGCGAGATTTCAGCACGAAGCTTAATCGCAAAGTTATTCAAATGGGCATGCGCGTGGCTTTGACGATGAAGCTCCGGGAACAACGACTGGGTGTCTTGCAGCGGATTAACTGGTGGTCACACAAGACTGCTACCCTCAGCTCGAGGTTAGTCGGACTCGGATGGAGAACCGGTACCTTGTTTGTCACCGGAGAATCCGAGGTACCGGCAAGAATGAGGTTGGCATCGAGGAACCTTCGTGGGATAGAGTGCAGAAGTGTAGCAGACTTGGTGGTCTACGACATCGTGAAGTGGAGAAGGGTTGTACTTGACCTCGCCGCTGTCGACGCACTGGAGCGAGCTCTCGGAAAGGGCTTGTTGAGAATTTCGGATTCGGAGAGGGTGGTTTCTGATGTTACGCACTCATCTGTGGATGATATTGAGACATCCACTTAGACTCATAATATATTTTATTCTGGGCATATCAAGTTGACATATATCGATATTGTCCAGTCGCGAGTCATTGTACTTGCAAACGCACCAGCAAAGCAGACTGTAAGTAGTGGGGTAAATGAAAGTGGACGGAACCACTACGCGACCACGTGACACAACGCGTCCTCATTACATATACTATGGCTGCGCCTCGACTCGGACTCCCCACTCTTTCCCACTATATAGTGTTTGTTTTCTAGCAGAAAGTAATCATGTCTCAGTCATCTCAAAATGAAGAAGCGCAGGAGGGTGGCCTCTCTATGTCTGGCCCCCTCATGGTCGGCAAACTGGAGGAAGCCGGAATTCACGCCAATGACATCAAGAAGCTCTCCGATGCAGGACTCAACACTGTCGAGGCCGTCGCATTTACGCCTAAAAAGAATCTGATAGCAATCAAAGGCATCTCAGACGCGAAGGCAGACAAGATCTTGGCAGAAGGTGAGTGCCGAGATCCTGACATCATGCCATCGTTGTCTGATGAGTCACATCATCCAGCTCAGAAAATTGTCCCCCTTGGCTTTCAGAGCGCCACTGAAGTTCACGCACGGCGTTCTGAACTCGTTCACATTACGACGGGCTCAAAGCAGCTCGATGCTTTACTCGGAGGTGACAATTCAGCATTCGGAAAGCATGATTGTTTTCTGATTCTTTACAGGGGGTATTGAGACCGGTGCCATCACTGAGCTCTTTGGAGAATTCAGGACCGGAAAATCACAACTGTGTCACACATTGGCAGTAACATGTCAACTGCCTGTGAGCATGGGCGGTGGCGAGGGCAAATGCCTCTACATCGACACTGAAGGGCACCTTCCGCCCTGCTCGTCTACTTGCAGTCGCAGAACGCTACGGGCTGAGTGGGGAGGAAGTTCTGGACAATGTTGCATATGCGAGAGCATATAATGCTGATCATCAGAACTCCCTTCTCACTAGCGCCAGTGCGCTAATGGCAGAATCAAGGTACGAACTGACTATATGCGCATTTTGATGGTGTTCCTCACAATCTTATTAGATTCTGCCTTCTCATCGTCGATTCATGCACCGCGCTCTATCGCACTGACTTCAGTGGACGCGGTGAATTATCGGCGCGTCAGAATCATCTCGGTAAATTTTTGAGAACTCTCCAACGGCTTGCAGATGAGGTAGGAGGAGAAGTAGTCTGTATACATCTCCATATTCATTTCGCGAAACAGTTCGGTATAGCTGTCGTTGTCACAAACCAGGTTATGTCCAATCCGGATGCATCAGCAGGACCATACGCAGGCAATGAGAAGAAACCCATCGGAGGAAATATCATGGCACATGCTTCCACAACTAGGTATGCATTCATGTTATGATCAGTTGGTGCACTAAGCGAACTGTCTTATTAGGCTACAACTCAAGAAGGCTCGCGGAAACACTCGAACTTGCAAAATATATGATTCGCCCTGCCTTCCTGAGATGGAGACTCACTTTGCAATCTTGTCCAGCGGGATCGGCGACCCCGAAGAAGAGACTTGAATATCAATACCCTCATGCAATTCGTATTCTTGTAGCATTCAGTTTTCTATCATCAGGGAAGCTCTGTAATTGATTCTAAAAAGACATTTTGGTGTGTGAGTGGTTTTTCTTCCGCCTTGGAAATACGTAAGATACATTTCTATTCGATAGATAGAATACCAGTTGAGTGGGTCCTATAAACTATACTGTGGGTGGAACCGTCCGTTTTTGTCAATGAATGAATGGAGCTTCGGATCTACAAATGTATACATTCCCACCATCAAGCCAACAAGCGAGTGAGGATGTTCGCGTTTGTGTGATTGATCATCTCCCGTAGCTTGTTCACGTCTTGGGGGCTGACGTCTGCAATATCTGCCAGCAGATATGCGACGTCACCCTTCGAGTCTGAGTACTGCTTCTCGACGTTGTATGGCGAGAGGACCTCGTTGACCTGCTTCAACACGCCGGGCTGATTGCTGTGAACATAGCAAACACGGACATGGTTGCCCTGCTCTGCGGTGATCGCGCGGAGGTCGACTTCGGGGAAATTAACTGCCCCAAGGGTGGAGCCGTAGTTCAGGTACCGAGAGAGAGCAAGAGACACTTCCTCCCCAATCATGCGTTGCGCTTCTTCTGTTGATCCGCCGATATGAGGCGTGAGTATAACGTTTGACAAGCTGCGCAGAGTGCTTGACCATGCGTTAACCTGATCATCGAATGGTGCCCCGTTAGACCCCGGCTCTTGTGGGTATACGTCTATGGCTGCACCAGCGAGATGGTTCGACTGGAGGGCTTCGATCAGGGCTGGGATATCGACAACACGCCCGCGAGCGTTATTGATAAGGTAGGACCCTATTTTCATCTGCGCAAGCTCCTGTGGTCCAATCATATTGATTGTCTCAGGGAGCTCTGGAACGTGGAGCGTGACAAAATCAGCTTCCGCCAATAGCGTAGGAAGATTGTTAACTTGTCGAGCCGAACCAAGAGGCATAATGTTGATGACGTCGTAGAAGATGACACGCATGCCAAGGGCTTCTGCAAGTACCGAGAGTTGTGATCCAATGTGCCCGTAGCCAATGATGCCCAACGTTTTGCCTCGAACCTCCCAACAGCCTTTCGACTGCTTGTTCCAGATTCCCTGGCGCATTTCATGCGAGCGCTCAACGAGCTGCCGCGAAAGCGCGATCATCTCGGAGACGACAAGCTCGGCAACGGAGCGTGAGTTTGAGAATGGAGAGTTGAAGACGGGAATCCCGGCCTTGCCGGCGGTAACTAGATCAACCTGATTCGTTCCAATACAAAAACAGCCAATCACAAGAAGCTGGAGAAGGCGGCTTAGAGATGGCCTTTATTGGGGAGATAGATGGATGTACCTTTTGTGCAGCTTTGATGACTCGTTCTGTAATCTTGGTCTTACTGCGTATGCCTATGGCATGGTACTGGGGAATTTTAGTCTATAAGCTCATCTTCAGAAAGAGCTTTTTTGTAGTGGTCGACATGAAAGCCATGTGCTTGAAAAGCGCGGACTGCATCCTGACTGATGTTCTCTAGGATCAACAGCTTCAGGTCTTCGTTGTCGACTGGGTGAAGAACTTTGGGCTGTCTAATGGCTGTGATCGAGTCTCGCTTGCGCAGCCTGTCATGGAGTGTCTGCGGAGATGAAGGAGAGATAGAAGCAGCTACGGCTCTTGGGGAATTTGAGGGGATGGCAAGTGGGGGGGTCATTATGAAGGATTGGAAGTAAGGATGATCCATGACAGTCTGAATACACTCTCTTATAAGGTGTATTGATGAGTAGTGAGTCGGAAGTCCTATATTTACAATATCGGGCGCTTGTTTGAGATTCGACTACATAACTGCAAATTTTGATCATCCCGATATGGCAACTCGCGAGTCACATTTCATGATCGTGTCAAGCTTAAGCTTGTAAACCATGGCACTCTTTCTCCTTGACCATGGTGCAGGTAACGTCCAGAGCCTGGCTAATTCAATCAAGAAACTTGGTTATGATTTCTCGTGGATATCCAGTCCAGACGACTTCCACAAAGCATCTGTATGTCACTACCTCCGAGTCACTATGCCAATCTGACCTTGATTCATCTCCATGCAGATCCTCGTATTTCCAGGGCAGGGTGCTTTCCACACTGCGATCGAGTGTTTGACAGAGCGTGGTCTACTTGAACCCCTCTATGACTACATTCAATCTGGCAAACCGTACTTCGGCATATGTATTGGGATGCAGGTCCTCTTTGCATCATCTGTAGAATCCCCATCGACGCTTGGTCTAGGTCTCATACCCTGTCAAATGGAACGATTCGATGATACCACTAAACCAGTTCCTCACATGGGCTGGAATACCGCTGAACCCATAGACCCCGACACCCTATCCTCAGAAGGTGTTTCTTCTTCAGATCACTATTATTTCGTCCACTCGTATCATGCCAAATATGACCCAGAAGGCAATCCTGAGGCTGCAATATGGGCGCACTCAACTACCCAATACGGGCAGGAAGTATTTATATCCAGCGTTCGAAAAGGCAATGTATTTGGTGCTCAATTCCATCCCGAAAAATCCAGTGTTGCTGGACTCACTGTTATCGACGCTTGGATAAAGCAGTCTTTGGCAGGTCGCATACCAGCCGAACCATCACCTCGGATTCCACGCCCTCCTAAACCGAAACACAGCTTCACTAGACGCATCATCGCTTGCATGGATGTTCGTGCGAACGATGAAGGCGATCTTATCGTGACTAAGGGAGATCAGTATGACGTCCGCGAGAAGTCTCTCACATCAACGCCACTATCAAGCACTACTGCTGTCAAAACTGCCGGCGCCGTCCGCAACCTTGGAAAGCCTGTCGCACTAGCATCCCGCTACTTCGAGTCAGGCGCCGATGAGCTGTGTCTCCTTAATATCACTTCCTTCCGTCACTCCCCCCTCCGGGATCAGCCAATGCTCGCGGTTGTGCGGGCTGCAGCAGAGCGTGTATTCGTACCGCTTACCATCGGAGGGGGTATCAAAGATACAGTCGACCCTGATGGCACGAAACGCTCTGCTGTCGAGGTCGCTGGTGCATATTTCCGAGTCGGCGCTGACAAGGTCAGCATCGGTTCTGAAGCAGTCTACGCTGTTGAGAAAGTTCGCGCAGCGGGCGGTAGATTGGACGGCAGCAGCGCCATCGAAACTATTTCGAAGGTATATGGGTCTCAAGCCGTCGTCGTGTCCATAGACCCCAAAAGAGTATACGTCGATCCCGCCACATATGATGGCCCCTACAAGGACGAGCTTGTGCATGGTCGTCCAGACGGTCCCGAAAATGAGCGGGGCAAAGCTTGGTGGTACCAATGTACCGTGTCAGGTGGTCGTGAGACTCGCCCTGTGTCAGTTGTGCAACTTGCACAAGGTGCACAGATCCTTGGCGCTGGCGAGATTCTTTTAAATAGCATCGATCGCGATGGAACAGGCCTCGGCTTTGACCACGACTTGATCGGGCTTGTGAAGCGCGCAGTGACTATTCCTGTTGTTGCGAGCAGTGGGGCAGGGACCAAGGAACATTTTGTGAGCGTGTTTATTGAGACGGGCGTGGAAGCTGCTCTTGCCGCTGGGATATTCCATCGGGAGGAAGTTGGAATACCGGAAGTCAAATTAGCTTCGAGGCAGGCGGGTATCAACATCAGATCATAAAGAAGATATCTAAAATTATAGACGAGCTGTTCATACTGTAGCTGTGATCAAGGGGTTCGTACTGTGTGATCTTTAATCTATACTTTTCCATAGAAGACTACTGTGAACACATTTGAGAACCAACGATCCTGCAGAATTGATCAGAACATGTATAGATGCGCCTTCGAAAAGCGCTTGACAAAATTGCCTCAGGGTATTGACTGCCACTGCATACTCTTACAACAGGAAGTATGGTAGAAAATGCAGAGTAGATAAACGGTCTCGCGAGTATATGTAGATTTTTACAAACACCGTAATGGATACAAGCATGGGGTCAGAAGCGTAAACACACAAAACTGATTGCTAGGAATATCTCGTCCAAGCTTTGGACGAGAGAAAAGAAACAGAGCAGCGATCATGGCTGTAAAACTGCAAAAAAAAAACGACTAGAGGGGTAGCCTCAACAAGACATGCGTATGGGGGCTAGCGAACAAATCAGGAATTATACTCGAGTACATCCAGGAATCGAGGACTAGGCTCATTTGGGGCCCCTGACCACGTCCTTCACCTTCTTCAATAAACTAGTTTTTCGCCCAAGGCCGCCCAATGGCGGAGAACTGGGCGCGCCGTCGAAGTATGCGCGTCTGTCTTCGGCGGATGGTGTGCGAGTTGTCGCTGGAGCATAAGGAGTGGCAGGTAGTCGTTTGTCCCTACGAGGATCATCGACGTACACATATGTTTCATCTGGAGGTGAAGTGTTTGGACGACCGGGGCCGTTGGGACCGTTGGAGAAGCGCCCAAGGAACGAATTTTGTGATCGATGTGTGGGGCGTGATGGCTGGTGGTAGGTATCCAGATTGGGAGAAGGAGGCTCGACACTCTCATCAAAAACCACGGGTACGTTTGGGGAGTCACGCATTTTGCGAATGCGCTGCATCAATGATTTGGTGCGTTTGGGTACTCCTGGCAGTGACGGGGACCCCGGTGCACTGTCATAATCGGTACCCTGGGCTTCTGGCACAAGAATAGGCTGCGGGGGCGGGATACCAGCGCGTTTAGTGCGTCTTCCTTCTCTCTCACCGCCACGCTCCCGGTCGCGAGCTTGCATTTGTTTCATGTCGTCGTCGAGGTACTCTCTATAGACGTCACGAAGCTCACGCCCGTCCTTGGAGCGCTTACCCAGGGAGTGTCGCGGCGTGCCGCTCCGTGACCCGTGACCCTCCCTCCCGGCGTAAATTGAATTAGACGGAGTATCATCACGTCTGCCAGTGCCCCCGCCTGCAAAAAATTCTTCGTACGGTTCTGGCTCGTGGATACCCCAGGCTTCTGCGATAGCATCGACTTTCTTCTTTGGGACCTGGTAGGTGGGGGAAAAAGCACCCTTGTAAGCGTCAGGTGAGGGGTAGGGGGATTCATTGGATAGCGCCACGTCTGCCCCTGCGCTGCTCCAGGCAAGCATGGGCGCCTTAGTTCGATGGCGGTTACGAGACGGAGCACAAGCGTCAAATGGACCATCATGATGGAACACTGGAAATAAATGAATAAAGAGTAATTTAAGGAGCCGAATAAGAACGCACTGGGACCGACGCCAGTAAAATCAAGCCTGTCTATGACGTCTGCGTGCATGGAGCCTTTCTTGCCTCGTGCCTTGCCCTTAGCCTTATCAAGAGCATTTGCTGTGTGAAGGACTGAGTCCTGGGATAACGAACGACGACCCGTATATGTGGGACGTGGTGGAGCATTTCCCTGGGCACTGATAAAGGGAAATATTGGCATCAGTGAGAAAAACGGGTGAGACTTATCAAGGACATACGTTTGACTTCTTCCCATTCTTGTGCGTGAAGACTGATCTGCACCTCTGACTTGAACAGTGTCCCTAACAGCCTCTACGATTGTATTATCGCGATGTGGGAGAGATTTGGCTGGAGATGGGGCCATCCTGTTGTATTGGGGATATTTAGGCGGGGGTTCCGGAGGAAGGCGGGGAACAGGCTTTGACGGGTAAACTGGGTCTGAGAAGGGGTCTGAATGAGATCTGTGGCGGGTTCTATGTTTGGGTGGTTGGGTTGGTCCTCTTGATGGTATATACTTGCTGGCTGGATTATTGGAAGTACTCAACAAATATGAACTTGCCATGTCGTCCGTGTTCACCTGTTGATACGCTCGGGCTAAGCGTTATTTACTTCAAAGAAGAATATTGAATGATAATGCTGCTCGTCGTCCGTGATAACGAATGTGGGCGATCGTGGACGTCGACGGGAACGATGCTGTCACCCAAGGCTATGTTCGCCTTATTTATACCAACTTTGTTCGGTGTAGTGTGTTATCCACTTTCAGTCACTTACGGACAAAATTTGAAAGCAGCTCTTCCGTCACCTTGCAGCAACCTGCTGCTATGGGTGCAACAAAAAAGGAATGGACCAGAGAGGAGGTCGCAGTCCGCATTCTTGCAGGCGAAACGCTAGTCGTCTACAACAACCAATTGCTGCGTATTCCCCAAGCATGGTTAAACACGCATCCAGGTGGCTCCCTCGCAATTCTTCATTTCGTAGGACGCGACGCCACTGACGAGATAGACGCGTATCACTGTGACCAGACTCTTGCAAAATTAAAGTCTTATGTCATTGGCACAGTGGAAACCTCGAGTGGTATTTGGGAACCTCTTGTACCCCCGATCATGACTGGTTGGGTCCGGAAATTGACTTGTGATGGAAAAACCGCATGGCATAACGAAGCCACTCCACTACCACCTTCGAATCTCTCCTCCGAGATTCTCCTGGTCGAGCGTAACTCTTGCCTCCTTGAGACTTCAGGTCCCACTCTATCTCATTTGGTTCCCCCTCCAACAACGCTTTCCTTGAAAGACCAAGCTCGGCATTCTGCTGCGTACAAGACGTTGCATAATCGTATCATCGACGCCGGTCTTTATAACACGCGTTATATCACTGGTTATGGCCCAGAGGTTGCGCGCTATCTTCTCCTCGCTGCGTCATCCGCAGTAGCTTACTCCCATGACTGGCTCATTACAAGTGCTGTGTGCCTCGGCCTTCTATGGCACCAGCTCGTATTCACCGTCCACGATTTAGGACACATGGGTGTCACTCATGATTGGACCAAAGATCGCCTCATTGCCATTTTATTAGCTGATTTCATCGGTGGTTTGAGTGTCGGTTGGTGGGTTGACGTAAGTTCACTTGCTTCTCCCACGTTCACTCGCTCAACACCTGTCTTATCTTCAAGAATCATAACGTGCATCATTGTGAGGCTTCGATTTTCAACATATCATGGTCTAACTACTGATATTTGCCTAGTGGTCACGAATCACCCTTCGCAGTAAGTTCGATGGCTGTTATGTGGCTGCACATACATCTGAAAAAACAAACCTTGATAGTGATCCTGATATCGAGCATCTACCATTCCTCGCAGTCTCAACGGCGTTTTTTGACTCCTTATGGTCGTCGTATTACAAGCGAACCATGGTCTTCAATCGAGTTTCCGCTTTCTTAATCTCATTTCAACATAAGCTCTTCTACATATTACTTGGTTTAGGCCGCTTCAATCTATATGCCAATGCATATACATTCTTGTGGCGCAAAGCCTTCGATCATCGAAGAGCAAAGGGTGGCCGGTGGTCCTGGTGGCTCGAAATCATCGGCGTACTCTTCTTTTGGTGCTGGTTTGGAGCAGTCCTGAAGGGATGTGGATCGTGGAGCAGAGCCATCACATATCTTATGGTCTCGCACGTCGTCACAAGTCCTCTCCATGTCCAGGTACGTGACTATCTCGGCGTACTTCCCGTTCATTAATTTGGGCACAGATTGTTTTATCACATTTCTCCATGTCTACGGAGGATTTGGGGCCGGTGGAATCGTTCCCGCACCGCCAGCTTCGAACTACAACAGACGTCATATGTCCCCCTCACCTTTCATTCATGCATGGCGGATTGCATCTCCAGGTGACTCATCACCTCTTCCCGCGTCTCCCACGACACAACTTGCGCGAGGCCAGCGTCCTGGTAAAGGAATTTGCCAAGGAACAAGACCTTGTGTATGCCGAATTCGGATTTATTAGCGGAAATGGAGAAGTGCTGGACGTGCTCAAAGGTGTGGCGGATCAAGCAAAGATTGTGGGTATGGTCGCCGATCGCGAGATTCGGGAGGCGATGGAGAAGAAGGTGCGATAAGCGCATGGGACTCTTCGACAGAGACATTACTAGATCCAATCGTAATCAGATACCTGTGGCATCTTTACATTCTGATACTTCATAACAATATAGGTAGAATGTGTGCTCGAAACATTGAAGTTGCTGGCGATTTCGATGCAGTGCAAAACAGTCGTGTCCATGAGCATACGTAACGCATGTGATACCCTAGGTACGACTTGTCGCACCCGGCTTTTAGGAGCATACAAGGGGGTAACCGGAAAGCATGATGTAGTATAGTAAGATGTAAAGAAGACAAAACTACTTCTTCTTGTTTGCTTCCTCTTCCTCCTTCTGCAAAGATTAAAATTCGTTGAGTAACTAAATTCATGGCAGCTAGTGAACAACAAACCTTGGCGGCCCGGATTTTGCGTACACCCGCATACCGAGCATCAGCTCGTACAACGCGGAGGGTCTTGAAAGCCTCGAACGACCGTTCATTGTCTGTGATTTTACGGGGTGCTTCATGAGCGTAAGGTGCAGGAAGAGGAAGGTGTGTGTGTGTGGTCTCAGCTTCGAGATCGGCACCCTGTGATGCAAAAATCAACATCAATCCAGCATTGCAAGAGCGAGCCACCACACACAGTCGAGTCACCCTTCTTGGGCTTCTTGGCATTCCGAGGGAAAACGATCAACTTTGGCCTTGTAAGCCTTCAACCGCTCAACATTCAGTTTCTTCCCCTCCTCGCTCAAGTTCCTTCTCCTGTGGTCAACGACGATACCAACACCAAGTGCTTCTTTACGGTTGATACCAACTTCCTTCAGCTCAGCAAGGGTGAAACCGCGGCCCTCGCGGACCTTACGGTTGTAGCGGACGGTCTGGGCACGAACGGCAGGGCGGAGGAGAGTGAGTGGGCGGACACCAAGGGCGGTAGCCTTGGTCTTGCGAGCAGTGCGTCTGCGGAGTTTGCGACCGGGTTGATCGAACCAGGTGCGTACCCGGCGCTGCCAGTCTTTGCGGAAATGGTTGGAGTGAAGTACTGTGCAAACATAATGTCAGATCGAACGCGTCGAAAGAACATTTTCGGTGAGGTACGGACCGTTGTTATGCGCGAAACCCATGGCTTAGTCTACATCAAAAATCATAATGTCAGCACATTGATTTTGTGATGTGGATGCATGTAGAGTAGTACATCTGACAGCATATGGTCGAATCCAGCTTTTCCACCTGCCTGTCTGCATCATTTTCTCCGATAGATCATATGCAGCAAAGGCAGGCCCACGCATAGCAGAACATGCAATGGACGAGCATACTCACCTTGAGGACGGGCTTTCTTGACGCTGAGGACGGCGAGCAGCTTACCACCTTAGCACAAGATTTGGACTTCGGCGATTGCCGTGGGTTGGTGCGGCGATTGATTTTAGAAGTTAATCCTCACGTGGACTCCGTCTGTCGTTGTTGGCACGTTGACGCGTTGATGCGTGACGGCTGCCGCATTGAACTTCCGTGAGATCTGTGGTGATATCCGCCTCCTCATTCCCTCACAGCAGGTTCTCTATCGTACAATGCGGCACAACGAAAGGAATTTCTTTAGCCTTACTTCTCACAGAGAAGGCAGTTGAAAAGAAAAATTTCAACGATCAGCTATCAGAAGCGACTGTTCAATTTTGGAGGTACTGTTTGAATACCTTTATCTGTGTCATTTGATTTCTCAGGCATCATTAATCATTAGCCACCCCTGATGCATCGACCGTGATAAACTCAAGCTTTGGGTACATGGTTCGGGTCCAGGCCTATGAAATCGCACTGAGTACAAGAAACTCCTCGAAAACTGCGCCACTACGTTGTGGTTCTGGCTTGACTGTTGTAGGCAGTGCACCTTTTGCTTGCTACAGTCTTATCAGGAATTTAATCGGATATATCGCACATGATCAATACGCTGTAATCGGCTACGGTCACGGTTTCCCAAAATATTTCTTGGTCGTATCACCAACCGTTCGGCAGGCGGTGCAGAGGGGACATTGAGCTGTGCTTACTTGTTCTCCCTCCGAATCAATTTCCCTGCTTCCATGCTCAAGCACTGCCTGCATGCAGGAGACATCTCGTGATGCGCGTCGTTTATCGATGTCTCCCAGTTTTCAACACCGCTCAAGGTCACCCATAACATGATGAACCTCACAGCCACAGGAACGCGCCATCATATAAGCAATTTGGAGATCACAAATCAGAAGTTACCATCTAAATGCCCGTGCAGGATGATAGCTGAATATCATACTGAAGTAGCACATCGCTGCTTTGCATTCAAGCAGTCCAGTCACTTATACGGTGTCCATTGTGAAATATATGCATGCCATCAGCACCGCCCATTTCCTCTCCTGACACGATAAATGATTTTGAGATACAGAATTCACTGTGCTATATATATAGTATTCTCAAGCGCTTGTAAGATATGTGATGATATGTGATTCTAATCAAACCTACCAAGACAACGAGCTAGTCTGCAGTATGGTCATGTCAGTTTTTTCTCATGGTTGCGCCGTCCTCGGAAACTAGAACTTACTACCTAGGCTGACATAAGCGACTAATTGACATGAGGTCGGCACTATGTAGGCCCAATATTCTTCGCTTTACTCCCCTCTGCACAAATTCCGTCAGTGTTTCAAGATATTCCTTGGCCGGGACTGCGTCCGTGTCTTGCTTTAACCTTTTCTTCATTTTTTGGGCATGCGGAACTCACCCCACCTTCGCTCGTTTACATGCGTAGTTTCTTTTTTCTCAGCAGTGCGCGCATTCAGCGTGACGGTCGGGACTCCAAGTCAATGCGACGATCTCTCTGTTTCATGGACCGGTAAGCAAGCATCTAGTATATTTTATATATACCTGCTGAACTTCATCACGATCATCAGGTGGTCAAGCACCATTCGAAATCCTCCTAACCCCCGTTCGTCGGCGCTATCATGCGTATCAACCACGCGTTAATCTTACGCCTTCTAGGTTTTCGAGGTACCGCAGAATATATCTGTACCAGCATCAGCCTTCAGCAATGGCAAAGGCTCATATACAATATCACAATTACCATTTTGGAATGAAACACAGTTTCTACTCACTATGTCTGACGCCACTGGATTTGGCTCAGGTGGAACGTCACCCATCTTAAAGGTCGGTAATCCTGTTGCCAAGAACAACTGCAACACTACAGGTCCATCCGTGAATTTCACGTTTGATTTGCCAACATCACTCCAGCAATGCAAGTAAGTTTGATCAGCCTGCCTTGTGTGACTTTGACCTACCATTTCCGTAGTGGGTATATCTTTGATGGCTATGACAATGCTGTCCAACCCATTACTATTACGGTAAGATCACCGCCGACTCTACCATGATGATTGACGTACTTATTTTTTTCACAGGCACTTATTCCTGGTGGAGAGTCTCTCATACTTTACCCTCCGACTGGCCCCAGTTATACTTGGGTTGCGGATGTTAGCGCAGGGACGACCCTGGTATTTGTGATGACAGATTCTCAGGGTGGGCAAGGTGGTAGCTCTGACCTCGAGACGGTGGCACTTTCGAATAATGCCACGTGCCTCAGCTCCAACTCACCATCGTCAACTGCATCTGTGCCTTCATCCACCGCGTCCACCTCAACATCCACGTCAGCTGGTGTTTCCCCAACGTCTAGCCAAAGTAATTCATCAAGCAGTGATACTGCTACTATCGCCAGTGCAGTGATTGGCTGCGTGGTGGCCCTCGCCGCGTTGGTCTCACTCGGCATGTTCCTGTTGCGCAAACGAAGAGCGTCTCGCTCTCCGTACGTCTTATCATCTTCGAAACGCCATTCACGTCGACTCCCATCTACGGATCTCGATCACGAAGGGAGCCAATATGGTCATGTCCCACCAATTTACCCATTCCCATACCAGGCAGACTCTGTCAGCCACCTTGCTCCACCCATTCACCCTGTGACCCAATCACACCTAACCAATTCGTCCACTGGCAATTCGCTCAGCGACCCTCACATACCATTTAGTCAGACAATGCATTCACGCCAAATATCTAGGTCAGACACCCTCGCTGGGTACGGAGATGTTGGAGGTTCATCTAAGTCATCTGCTGGCAGACGAAAAGCTGCAATGGCTGGCCAAACAGCATACAAACCTTCCACTCGGTTCATCTTGCATACTGATGTGGAGGATGTTGTGCCAGATGATAATGGCGTAGTAGAACTTCCGCCGCAGTATTCAGAGTATCGGCGACCCCTTGCCACACAGCCTGAGTCCGTGCCGAGACCGATGTCATCACACTCTGATTACTCGGGTCCGAGCGATCTAGCATATGCCAGTAGTGCATTTGTCTCAGCTACTTCGTCACACTCTTCTTTGCCACCTCATTCATGATGCACAATTTATGTTGTCACAGTGTACACTCTCTTGTCTCCTTCGACATGTTGCGGACAGTTTTCTTTCGTGAGGCGCCTTGTCTTCGATTTCTATTGCTTTTCAGGCGCTTCATTACAATCATTATTTGGACTGCTTATTTATGCTCAGCACTAAGCTCGGCATCCGCTCCCTTCACATTCGTAACATATTTTCCTTGGGACGTCGTCACCGAAGGCCATGCAATACGAGAGGAAGATTTGATACCTGTACGCAACTTGTGCTGGAAACATCAGTGAGGACAGACCAACATATTGTGCATATCTTAATTAAGAGAGGTGTTTGATGGGATGAATATTAATGTCAAGTCGCCAACATATGCGGTAAACAAACACATCAGTTTTGTCTAAATAGTACATGCTCAAAGTCAGGCCACCAGAATAAGAAGTTGTCAGGGGGTAGTGTTTAGAGTACAATGTGCATGTTACTGCGCACCTTCAAGGTTGCGCAGTGTATGGTCGTTAACACGCCGTTACTCTGTCTAATCCATTGTCAAGAAGTGCACTGTGTTCATGATTCTGGTACATCATCGACGAGATGGTGTTGTTGGAATGCGTCAATCATTGCATCCTGGTCCTTACGACGCCTATGTCTCCTGCGCCTATCTTCTTTAATGACACGCTCAATGCGCCGACGAGACTTGGTATGGGTTCGTGGATCAACCACGGCGAGCCTGCAACGATAGCATGCAAGTTCAATGCTTGCAAGCAGGCGAAGCGTTTCGGTATTGTTCACGGCCTGAAATTCGGTATGAGCTTGGTATGACACGATCAAGGACAGCCAATCACGTTCAAAGACCACGAGATAACCCGAGAACCCTCCACGCAGCCAACGACGACGAAGTTGCCACGTTTTTCGGCCTGGAGCTCGGATACCTGCATCAAGTTACTTAGTTTTATGATAGTAAAGTGAAGTCCGAGTCATTGCTACCTCTCCGAATGCGACCAGCACCTTGCTAGATGTCAACGAGCGTACAACTGTATGGGGATATGATTAGAGATCGAACGTAATCCTGCGAATGAAACGATGCTCACCGACACGAGAGGACTGGCCTACGACTTCCTGTGACACTAAAGCACGACCAAGATATGCCCAGGAGTCCTTTTCAGGCCGACGAATATGCACCTTGACTTGGATATCTCGAAACTCGCGGGCAGGCGGGAGGCCATTGGCTATTCACCAAAGGAGAAGTCAAAAACATCAGACTCGAGCACAATCAAATGCTTGGTGAATCACTGTACGTACGCATCAAAGAGGAAGTATATTCACTCTCGGTACTAGGTAGCCGCGGCGCTACCTGTACGGAGGAGCTGCTACCTTCCATCACGGCATCATTATCCATTATGTGTATCTGCAGATTGCAGGATCAAACCAAATTCAACTCATAATGATGCTAGACAAACTTCTGTGAATGAGGGCCGTTAGGGTTCGTAGTTGCGTGTGTCTGGCGTGCAGTGGGGTCACGGTGAAGCCTCGGCTGAAAGGGCTATTGCTGCACACTCACGTGACTCATTATCGGTGCAGTATGACTTAAAGATTCTTTGGGCTCTTTCTCCCATTGACAAAATCAACCAGTCAACCTCAACCACAACCATGACCTCCGTTCCATGATCAAGGATCACTATGCACCTCCCTTATCCACCGTATTTATAATCCCCCTTGAATGACTTTCAAGCTGGTCTTTTCTTTTCAAAGGCGCCCAAGCACGCGATGAAGCCTTTGAGCCACCAAATCACTATATATATATATACGAGAACTTGCGTATCAATGAAGATCAGAACTGGCTTGTATTCATCAATGCATTCGTCCAAGACACTCCGCCGTACACGCGTGCCCCGTCCGCTGACAGCAGAGTCTTCCGAGGAATTCGAAGAACCATTGTCCTCTCAGTTTGCTCATGAAGATGAGCAACTTTCACAGAAGTACATGATACAATTGAACGACCTGGAGATCGAAAGGGCAAACAACAAGGTAATGTCACAATGAAGCTGGAATGTCTCGTTTGCTTATGCTACAACAGCACGACAAGGAAGATGAAGACTATATCGAAAGTAGTCAGGGATCGACCAGTACTGAAGGCACGTCTGGTAGTATCGGGGACGATGACAAAGACTGCTCACGCAAGAACGAAGAAGGCGCAACAACCCCCTACTTCCGGAAGTCGGAATGGCCATGGCGCAGATATGGTCAAGGTGGAGGAGGCATATAGAAACATCTCCCAATGACATCAAGACTATCAAGCAATTCCTTGAGTACATTTGCTACAACAAGGATCAAAAGAAAGTGGCGATAACAGTTGGATGGGAAATCGAGGATGAACAGCTGTAGTCTATCGGGACCTGGATCGAGTAGCATGGACACGAAGTGGACAACTGACCGAGTGATTTTTAAACCGTGCTGGCACGGATGGCTGCAGGAAGTAGACTATCATGGGTTGGATTTAACGTGAATATACGAATTACTCCACATCAACATGAACAATCACGAAGGTACAAAATCAATTATCGTGAGTCGGGTGCGAGGAAATTACCTGCCACCAAGCATAAATTACGGGGGGTGAAGTGCACATTGGTGATGGGGGTCCGTTTGGTAGGGAAAGTCGCGAGAAGGTCAGATCTGATGGTAATGTCAATATCAATGGTATGGGCTATGTTGCATGGAACAAACGTTTCATTGTTTTCGTCGTCGATCGTCCGTGTGATAGTAGATTCAGCAACGCCACTCTCCCGTGATTTACCGGGCCCACCAGCTCCCCTCACGTCCCAGCAGCGTACCGTCCAGTCCGCACCTCCACTAACAAGCATGGATGACTCGGCACTAAATGAGAGAGAGTATACAGAGGCTGTATGCCCAGTCATTTTTTTAATACGACGTCCAGAGCCGAGATCCCAAAGATTGATTGCGAGGTCCTCGCCTGCGCTGGCAAGATATCGCCCATCTGGGCTAATAGCCAACGTCGAGAGACTCCCCTGATGGCCGATGAAAACGCGAACGCAAGCACCACGTTGAACATCCCAAAGTCGCCCAGTCCAATCACTTGATCCCGTAGCGAGGTATAGCGAATTAGGATGGAACCGGACACACTTGAAACAGCAGACATCAAATCAGTTATAGAAAACTTATCTTCTGCGAGGTTACTCACGTCCACGTCATTCAAGTGCCCTGCATAGATTCTCAAACACGATGTACGGTCTGTTGACCATAACCTGGCGGTTCGATCACGGCTTGCTGTTGCAAAATAGATGCCCATAGGACTCCACTGAACGTCCCATACAGGGTTTTGGTGGCCACGAAAAGCAACGACATTCGACATCGTGTCAAGGGACCACAGCCGCGTAGTTGCATCTGCTGAAGCAGAAAGAAGGTATCTTGGGGGCGCTGCTGATCCTCCCAATGGATCAAAAGACAAAGAATACACAGGACCGCTGTGGCCGACGAGCTTTCGGGTCGTATTTCCTTCTTTTTGCTGTATTTTCGACAATGAACCAGCTAGCGTTCGAATAAACGTCACCGTTGTCACTCATCCAACCTAAGAGACTCACAATCCTTCACTGAACTCAGAGAGAAGTCATTGCGTAGTCCCTTGAGTTTTTCATTCTTCAAGCTCCATAGACGAATGTAGCTCTCAGAAAAGCCGGCCGCCATCAGAGTCAAGTCAGGTGAGAAGGTGCAACACGGCGCACTGCTCAAAGTATCTCGTTAGGAAACACGCTGAATCTGTTTCAGATACTTACCCTTCTCCGACGTCATGTAGCGTATACGCGCAAATGCTAGGCAAGCCACGCGCACGGGCAGCGCCTCCTTGCACCGAGTTCATGTCAACAGAACTTAGTGCAGAGGGCTCAAGTCGTATGCGTTTCCTTGCATCTCGTACTTTCTCGACCTCTCTTTGAACATCAACCGTTTTGAACGACTGGGGATAAGGAAGCATGTCTGATTCAGTGGGTGAGACAACCCCCGGGATCGCTGGAGGCCTCAGGAATTGCAAATCATATTGAGCATTGGGATCGCGGTCCAGTACAGATTGTTCGCGGATGACGCGTTCAGTCTCCGCGCGCAACTCTTCAGAGATAGGGGCAGGGCCAAGTTTTAGTTCGCCTTTGGAGGCATTGAATGCGTGAGGGTTGGGAGTGGCAGAAGCGCTTGTTTGTGGAATGAGTTGCGACAACAGGCCAGTCGATTCTTCCCATGCATTGGGCGAAACTGCCGTGGCACTCGCGGAAGTCACTAGCCTAAGTTTGAGCTCATACATTGCTTGAGAGGCCAAGAAATTTACCATCAAAGCGAAGATGGTTGTTCACCACTCGCATTATTGCTGCTCGGCCTCTTTTTCCTTTCTCGCCAGAGAAGCCATCCCCTGCGCCAGAGGCTTCACCTCCAACTCCTTCTGTCAGCCACCCCACTAGCAAGCTGAAACCTGACCGACTCATTCTGATGACATATTTTTCATTCTTGAAGCGCTGTGCATCGTCATCATTCTGAACATGTGAGGGAAGCAGGAGAGTCGATAGATGATGTAGAGTAGCATGATGCATCGGGGCTAAAGACGGCGAATACGTCCCATAGAAGCGCAGTGCTAGGAAACGCAGAAATGTCGGTCGAACGTGTGCAGTAGAAGACTTGTCAGACATACCAGCTTCCTTGAATCCTCGTTGGACAAGATCCAGATGAAAATGGCAAAATATAGGAAACAGGATAGGTCGAAATTCGGGCTATTTGACAAAATTAACCTACATCTATCGCAGATGAATGCTCTCGGAGTACCTTATACATGTCAAGTGAACCTTCAACCCACGCTTCGAGCTCTCGGAATCCCTCCTCCTTGTCCGTTGGATCAACAGACAGGATCTCTTCCGCACCAACAGTCCCAAGGCTGGCAATCAAGTTCTGTATACTCGGCGGATTGCCCATCGCTGTAAGTTCCTGTAGAACGTTTGCGCTTTCCTTTAATACATTGTCCCCCGGGCGCGATGGCTTTTGTGCGTAAACAGCAAGAGTCTTGATGAGATCTTCAGCAGATACAGTCTTCCCAGACTCATCTACGCTCCCGCTTTCAAGCGATTCGTTAAGAGCCCTTTCTGCATCCTTGTGTCCTCGAGAGCGAAGATACTCCAGTACCAGACGGTCGATTGAGCTTACGTTCTGGGTGATATCGGGCGCACTGGCGTTAACTGGAGAAACACCTCCAGAAGACGAGGCTGCAGGCGTTGCAACAGACATAGCAGTGGCCAGCTCAGTGTCCGGTTTGTGATATTAGAAATGATTGTCCTTGATGATATTGTGACGTCGCGGTCCCTGATGTTCAATAAACCAGTGTTTGATTGCGTAATCAGAATATAGTACTGTGATTGTAATTTACAATAAAAAGCAAATAAAAAGAACGGTAATTTAGTTTGTCTGTCCAACCCCGTGAATATTCAGCCTCTTCGTGCTCTCTTGGTAGTGCCTCCTCTTCCTCCGCTCGATCCACCGCGGCTGTAGGATCCGTTCGAAGCCGACTGCGCCACAGGGCGCTTATTGTTTGTTGGCGTCACGGTAGTGTCAGCCTTCGCGTATTCTGTTTTTGCGCATTCTTTGTCGAACGCTTCTACCAGAGCATTGAAATCAACTTCTACCATACTTCCGAACAGCGGGTGACTGGTGGACCACTTTCCCGCTGTCAACCTGGGAGAGGTAACGCCGAATGCCATGCGCGCGAGGAGGCGAGGGTCGTCGCGTTCGGGACATGCGTCCAAAATAGCCTTGATCTTAATGGGATCAGGCCGAGCGGCAGTCCCTGACTCGAAAGTTATGCCCTCGCCCGTTTGACAAAAGCTGCACGATCCGCACAAGGCAGTAGGAATGGCCGCATCATCCCCAAAATATGAAGCAAGACCCTGTGCCATACCTATACTCCGCACATAGGCAACCGATATACGTCAAAAATCGTTGTGGACTCACATTCGTCATTGGTAGCGAAAGTAATCACCCGTCGGAGCTTGACTATGGCTTCCTCCTCTTTATCAATCATACGGCTGTACATCATCTCGGCGATATTGACTATTTCTTCCTTTTCCTTCGGGAGAGGATTGAGTATCTTATATCGCTGCAGCGACCTTTCAGTCGACAAATTGCTGGATTGATCGAATATACTTACTGCTCTAACTTGTGAAGCCTTCACACTAGCCCAACCTAGATAACAAATATATAAGTTAGCACCAAGAAATGTTTGCAGCAAAAGATCCCATACCGCTAAGCTCCCAATCACTTATTTTCCTCGCGAGATCTCCGCGATCCTGGCCTGACTTCTGAGCCGCAACGACTACATCGATCTGTGACAGTTCGTTAGGGGGAAGAACCACAGCACTTACCAAGGCATACCTGATGAGCCAAACCGCGGGGGCTCCAATACATTTTAATTGTCTTTGCCGCCGAGGAGTTATCACGAATTACTTTCTGCCAGCCGTCGGCTGTGCGCGACGATATATCATACTGAGAGTATAATGGCGTCACAGCACGGATGTAGTTGTAGTCGAGCTCAAGTTGTGCATAACATAAGCCTAGGACGTTAGGCTGCAAAAAAGTGAGTGACAATGCAAATTGGCAAACAAAATGATTTCGTACGCGAATATCATACCTGCAAGCACGACAAGATGAGGGATTGCCGTTCAGAAGAGACTCGATTGCTTACTCTCTGGATTGTTGGTAATGATTGAAGCTCAACGTGCCATCCCCATCAGGTGTTTTGAGTGCTACTTCCTGAAGCCATAAGTGGATGCTCCTCTTACTGCACGTATCACCGCGACAAAATCCTTCCAAAACAGGGATATCTGGCGAAGAAAGGAACATCAAGCACGTGGACGGTAAATCGTCGCGTCCTGCTCTACCAACTTCCTGACTATAGTTCTCCAGAGTCTTCGGCATAAACAGGTGAACCACCTGACGGATATTGGCTTGGACCAGTCAACGCACTGGCACCGATATTTGACTTGAACGAACAACTCACCCTTATCGATTCCCATACCAAAAGCAATGGTAGCACAAACTATACCTTTATCTGATTCCATAAATTGCTGTTGGACACGTGCACGCTCGTCGCCGCCCAATCCGGCATGATACACCATTGGTTCCATTCCATGAGGGCGAAGATGATCGGCAACCTCTTGTGCATGCCTCTGCAGGGTCACGTATATGATTGCAGGTCCAGTTCGAGATTTCAAGAAAGGAATAAGAGTATCAAGTTTTTGATCTAGAGTGTTTGCGACTTGAACTTGCAAAGCCAGACTAGCATTCAGAACTATGATTAGTGAGGACAATGGCAACGCGAGAGCACTTACTTTGGCCGGTACACTGGGGTGCGAAACACACCTTTCTCGGTATCAATGAAGAATGATTTACAGATGTCTTCTGCCACATTTGGAGTAGCAGTTGCCGTCAAGCAGAGGACACGTTCTACATCCATTTCCTCTGCAAAGCGCGCAATCTACACACCCATGAGTGCAAACCAGAACGGGTGCACGCAACACTTACCTTTAGATACTCGGGCCGAAAGCTTGCACCCCACTACAACCCGCTCATGAATGACAATGTCGTGCAAGTTATCTATACCAAACACACCTGTGAGATACAATGCGACTCGTCGATGGCTAGTAGTGAGATTTTGACATGGCTCATCATCGTAATGAATCCTTCATTATTCAGCCTAGAAGAGATGGTCAGAGTGACGCATGAATCATGCTTGAATGCGAACCTTTCAGGAGCCACATAAAGCAGTTTTAGACGCCCTGAGATAACCTCTTCTTTGACCCAGGCTGACCGTTCTGCGCCCAAGGTGCTGTCCAGGTTTGCAGCTTTCACTCCACGATCGACTAGGGCATCGACCTGATCCTTCATCAGAGCAATGAGAGGAGATATCACTAGAGTCAGCCCCTGTAATAATGTCAATGATGTCACGCTCAGGAAATGTAACTATGTTACCGGAAGGCATAGCGCTGGAACCTGATAGGTGAGACTTTTACCCCCTAAGTGGTAGGTGTTAACAACTACTAGCCTTCGAAAAAAAGGGGTGGCATCACCTCCCGTGGGATATAGAACAAGTGCATTCTCGTCGTCTACGATCAGGCGCTTAATGACCTATGTACAGTATTAGTGTCTGAATTTCACGTGCGACGTGAGAGCTGGCCTCTGCTTGAGACAACCTAAAAGAGGGGAAGCCCCATATATTCTTCAATACCCTGTGCGCGTCATCCATGATGCGAGTGTGCCTATGCGCAAATATTAGCCCGGCGAAGGCTGTGAGCCTTTACAAGTACTGTGACCGTATCGTGGAACGGGCAAGGAACGACAATGGAACAGTTGTTTACGCGTTATTTGGTGAATGCCATACCTAGCACTTGTTTTCCACGCTTTGCACTGCTATTAGCCCGCCTGACTCTGCCACAGCTTTTCCTGTGATCAAGAAGCACGCGGTGCATACTGGTGCATAGTGCCATTCAGGACGCGATCGTGTCCACTATCAATCGGAATGATCCCGGTGAAGTTGTCTCGGTGCTCCACCCTACGACCAGAAATAATATCAATGTTCTGTATGTACCTGCAGAAGAAAATCAGGACGTCGGGAATTCATAGGAAGCGCCTTCCAGCAGCGCCTGTACCAATTCCGTCCCTATGTGTGAGTATTCTCTCTAGGTTGATCGAAGCTTCTGATTTTTGGAACTCGCGCTGGCGGCTGAGCGCTTTGCTGTCAATGTCAATGCTACCGATGTGTTAATCATCTAAGGGAGCTCACTAGTTCTCGTTTCATTTCCGAAGCAGAAGGGCTGTCGTAGGACTCATTCAAAGGTTAATTATCGCTATCCCATATTTGACGAACTGTGGACATCTCAGAGGCCTGGACTCTGCTCGCGGCTACAGAACCCATCATCCCCACAGTACCTCAGCGGCAAGCAAAGAGTGATCTAGGAGAAATCGTGATCAAGTGCTTTCGACCATCAAGTATTTTCAGCACGCGCTTGCTCTCCAGATAGGATACACGTACAATACGTACATCCGTGTCATTGGCAGGAGGACCTCAATGATGCCGAATGCTCTGCAAGTTCGGATCGCCAAGCTCTGGGTATTCAGAGGTATTCAGCTATCGAACACCATTGAAATCGGCCATGTGTCACTCAGTTCACCGATCACACGTTCCACAATTGCGGTGATAGTGGCACAGCAAGTCACCTCAAATGAGATCGGAAGACTCCACGTCCAGCTAAAAACCCAAAAAAAAACTGCACCCAACGGTTCGTTTCCGCGGTCGAGAAACGAGTGCTCTTCATCCATCACGTTTAGGTCACCCTTAATTATAGATCTTATCATGGACAGGGACGATGGCTTTGGACCCTCACTTAGTACTTAGCAAGATTGTCAGTGGCAGTGGCACTAGTGATGCGGTCAACCAACACTTTCGGATGCTTCACCTCGCCGCTCACAGTATCGCATAGCTACCTAATGATTAATGAGGCCTGTGTTAATCTTCCATTGAAGGCCCATCTTGATCACATTCCCGGACTGTCAAACTATTTTGCATATCCATTGCTTTTCATTGGCTTCCTAAACAGCGGGATCAGACGGATCTATCCCCTTTACTACATCATCTCAACATTCACTTTACCTCTATCAGCCTCTATCGCCAGACTTCTGGCCAGCCCGCATAATATCCACTCAGGCCAACTTCCAAAAATTTCAAGCACGCTCGAATAATAACATGAAACTGATTGTTAACTTAACGGCGAAAATTCATGATGCTATGTTCAGACGTGACCTCACGATACAGTTCAACGAGTAATTACCTGTAACTACCCGATAAAACATACGTTTCATATACACACATACACATCCCAAACACACTACAGACAAAATAGTATCATTACAGATTGACCATACAAGACTCCACGACGAACTTTAAAATACTAATTACAACCAAAGCACAATGACAGCAAAAATTTAGAAGTGCTCCTGTAAATGCACATGTTCAACGTTGAAATTAACTATTAATAATGGAAAAAACAAACCTTGGCAAACGTAAATTCCACATTATTGCTACTGTGCATGAGAGTTGCTGCCTTGATAGATTTCGCAAGAACACCTGGACCACAGAAGTAGGTCTGCGAGAGCAACCATGAGAATTATGAGGAAGACTGAATTCATTAGACTTACGCCAACTTTGGTCTTCAATTGTGCACTGCTACCAGGGAGATACTGACCGATCTCAATTGCTTCCCTGATCCTGCGGTAGATGCTCTTCCAGTCGGGACGGCCAAACATGGTGCGAGTGCGAAGCAGTGTGAGAGGATCATAATCGGCGCCAGCATCATTGACAGCAATGTTCCAGAGCATATCTTCACCGATCTTTTGAGTGAGGTAGATGTTGATGTGAAGGAAATTTGCTTGATATCGTATTTGAGCTGAATATTTCCTGGATCAAAAGATATTGAAATAACTCACGGTCAACTTGAGCTTCCTCAACCTCTTGCAATAGGGTCTGAAACCAGCCGAACGAGGGCGCATCACGACAAACCCAGAAAAATTCGACCCTTCGGAGAGAACCAAGATTGCCTTTCTTTTGACGGTACCAGATATGTTTGAGAATCGATGCGAAGGGAGTAACACCTAAATAAATGTATTTAACAAGCATTAGCGCAAAGTCCTACGTCATTTCTTACCGATACCAGCGCCAATTAGCACAGCAACCTCGTTGTCGAACACGTCCTCAGCAGGAGCGCCATAAGGCCCGTCGATTCTAACTTGAGGAAGTGGGCGGGAAAGAGTGGCGGGATCGAGCTCGACATATTCACCACGAGTGCCGCCGTACTCGGTTTCATCTTTTTCGACACCCTTCATGGCGGCTTTTGTCATTGCAGCAACCACAGATGGACCGCAGCCAAGCCGTTCTCCTAGGGAGTGAGTCCAATCACCGACCTGGCGAATATGAACGGACACGTAAGGGTCTTCAGGAGCAGAAGTGATGGTAAACTATTTTTGGGGCGGTCAAAAAATACGAAAGCCGAGCGGCGAACTACTTGTCACGTACAGGATGCCATTGCCATTGGGAAACTTCCGGGACCTGAATGAAGAGCCACTGGCCTGCCGTATACTTGAAACTAGGCTTGATAATCCGCAGTTCCATGGCTCCACTAGGATGAACAAGAACTTTGGACAGCCTTGTTGCCCTTCGAGCACGATACTCCCGATACACCCTTTCGCTGAAATAAATAATACCAGGCCAGATGGTGAACCTCCAGCTCTCGTAGCCAAGACAGTGCTCCGTAGAGTAGAAGGGAAAGGTGTAAGTGTAGTCCGGATTTGTAGAATCACGGACAAAACAGCCAGTGGCGTGGGTGTACAGGCCAATAAAGAAGAAAAAAGCAAGGTGATGAGTGTACCAAAAAGCTTCGAAACATTGGTTGCGGATCTTGTGGTGTGCAGTGGCATACATGAGGACCATGATCAGAAGCATGAAATGGCCAGTTATACCGCCAGCCTGTGTATAATGAATTTGCAACGCATACTCCGAACGAACCTCTGCAAAAAATTAATAACGGGTGCCAAGTCTGAAAATCACACCAGTACTCACGAGTGCGTTCGACGTTGAAAAAGTTGACATAATGGGCTGTAGTATGTACCATTGCCCAAAACGCCATCGAGTATGCGACCTGTCTATGGAACCAGATGTTCTCGTCGGCGGGGAAGAGCCAGGCGAGCTTGGGGCGAACAACGCGAATGATATTGCGCAGCATGGGAACCAGGAGCAATCCCGCATTAAACGCAAGGGTGAGACCAGCACCACGCGATGTCCAGACAGACCATTTCAGAGCATTGAGAGCAGCCAACTTAGTGTCAGTGGCCTGTTAGACGGGTAGTGAGTAATCGTCGAATCTGGTGCGGTGGATGAGGCTTACTTGCAAGTACCAACCCAGAGCGAAAAGGGTGACTTGGATGCCGTAGAATATGACATTAAAAACAAGCCTTCTCGGGTTGAGGATCTCGCTCTGAAACCAAGATTCACCCATGGTATACTATCAGATAGTGTCGGGAAGTGGGGAAAGATATAAAAGTGGGGCCTGCCCAATTGAGTGTAGGAAAGAAAGACGAGAAAAGAACAAAGCGCTAGATTCAAAGGGATTTATTTAAAAAGAGTACCGGACGGGAAAATGACAAGTAGAATTATACATAGTACAACCTTTATCGGAAGGAATGAGGCTGTTGTTATCTTACTATAGGTGGAGCCGTTCCGGCGTCCGACGTGGTCACAGCAACCGTGACCCACCGCATGTGCATGTTCAGCTCTTTGCCCAATGAATTAATGACTACGTGTGAGTGATTGATGGGCGCCGGCTTTCACTGGAAGCCATCATCGATGCATCGCCTACCCGTGATCATGCGGTGGTCGTCCTAGGCTATGTTGTCCTATTTTCGTAGTGCGTCAAATATCCAGCTGATACCGGATCACCCATGCTTCAAGTATATCGTATTGAGCACTGAAAGTACTATTCCTAAGGATTACGGTTTTGGAGATCTACTATTTGTAGGCGCCAAGGACCAAGGTACTGAAATGTGATTGTAGTCTTTCCTACAGATGGCATGCCAATCGAAGAATGTGTGATGGTACGACAACAAAAAGCCATTTCGAACATCCATATAATCAGGCCGTAGTAGTCTGTCGGAAAAGCTTGAGCCTGACTATATTCATTTGACCAACCTGCCACCTCAGGCTATCATATAAATCCAATCAATCACTTAATCGTTAGACCGACTATAATTTCAACAACATACAGCATGCGACATATTGTCCTATACTCCAGTAGGCAGCTGACGACGGATTGATGGACTCGATGACAAGAACTGAAGTGAAACGACCTCAGTGTGAGCCTATTATCTGCAAATAAGGCAAAATGGCACGTGGTCTGTAAGATTTGTTTCCTCGACGCGTTTTCTCGGACTTGTTGAACTGCCCATTGCACCCAACACCACTGCAATGGCTGCACTACCCCCCTTCTCTACTTCGTATCGACAGCAGCCAAGTATAGGTACACCCTCATCAGTATTTCGCCAGAACCAAAACCAAGCAAGGCCAGCTTCTGCCCTTGACCTTCCAGGTCTTCAAAGCGCAAGTCGCGTGTTGCATGACCAGTTCATGAAGGATGCCCAGATAATACCAGATATTGGTGACATGCTTACAACCCGTAAGTTTGGAACTCTCTGGACCATTCACATTATCTCTAACTTTCCTTGCTAGCTGGTGGGCAGTCGTCAGCATTATATAGTGTCTTTCCCGATGACTACCGGGCACCATTTCAGAAGAGGAGGCTTGTAGGCATTCCTGAAGCACTGTTTCAGTATTATAACAGTAAGTCTAATAAATTCGGCTCTGCTACTAGCCTAAAGCTTTATAGCTACCAACGTTACTTCACACATGGGTCTAATACCCGAAATCGAGCGTGTATGGATATCAATTGATCATAAGCTATTTCTTTGGGATTATATCGAGGGGTATGTGTCCCCTCCATGCTTCTTTGCAAACTGATACAACCCTTCCAAAGTCAAGACATAAGCTCCTTTGTCGACCAACCGGACGTCATCACGCATGTCGCTGTCGTAAAACCAAGAGTTGGCGTTTTCGTCGACGAAATCACCTCCGTCATGGTCATTTGCACACCAGTATCCGTTCTTTTGATTGGGTTGTCGATGTCCACCGTCCTTGGTACCAATAATCGCTCCCGCAAAGAAATCAAGATGTATGCAACAGACATGACGGTTTCGACTGACATCGAAATGACCTCTGTTGTGGGGATGTCTGACGGGCGCATTTTTATGTGTGGTTCTCAAGATGGCTGTCTATACGAACTGCACTATCAACAGAGCGAATCTTGGTTTTCGAAACGGGTGCATATAGTCAACCACTCTATTGGAAGTGTACAGAGTCTGTTCCCGAGGTTCACCTCACCAAAGTCGGAAGGTCTGTGATTTTTTTGGTCCTTGACTTGCGGTGAATGACTCCCGCACCCAGACCGTATTGTTGCTGTGGTCTCCGATCTAAAACGCAATTGTTTCTATACCCTGTCCGCCAGGAACTCGATATCTATCTACCAGGCAAGCAGCGAGAAGGCTGTGCACCATGTGCAAACTATGTCGAACCTTTACAAGTCTGCGCAAGAGAAGGCACCTGGTTCTCCTGCTCTTACCCCTTCAAACTTCCAGATCGTGGCCCTACACGTCCTGGGCCTGGGTGAATCGCGGACAGGGGTTCAATTGATCGCCATCACCATGAACGGTGTAAGCTTATACTTCTCTCCATCAACCTCGGCATACAGTTTTTCGTATGCGTCGACCCCAAGCACTGCGGGCGGTGTGCGACCCCTGCAACTCATTCATGTACGACTTCCACCTCCAAATCTATTGCATCCAGACGAACAATCTAGTCCCCATCGTCCTGCTTACAACGGCTCCACCCGAAACTCACCTCCACAACCTCCATCCCGTCCCTTCATTGTATCAGGACTTGAAAATTCGTGTTATTTGGACGGACTCATGGTCTCAGCTCAGCCTGGTGATACAGATGGGACAGACTTTTTGCTTTGCACTGCTCCTGATCTCACTCGAATTGGCTCGCTCGGGCAACTAAATCCGCCGTCGCAACAGCAACCATCTCAGCAACCAATGTACGGTCCCTCATCATATGGGGCTGGGGCAAATCAACGTCCTCCTTTAACCGAATATGCCACCTTGCTGGCCATCCCTGGTCGGACATGGTCAATGGCGACAGTTCCCCGAGAATCGACCCCTACGTCAGTTGCTCCTTCACCTCCGGTCACAAATGAACTTGCAACACAATTCTCTGAGCCTTCACGACAGTTCATGATCCTCACGAATGTCGGTCTCACATTTTTGATCAAAAGGCGAGCTTTGGACTATCTCAAAGCGGTCATAGAGGAAGTCCAGACCGAGGGAGTGGTGCAGCCAATAATCGAGTTCAGAGACAGGTAGGTTTATTTGTTAATGTATCGCTCAAAAACTCACTTCTATCTAGTTTTGGAAGAGACCAGACATGTGCCATGTTACTCGGTCTTGCAAGCGGGAATACTTTCTTGGATGCCGCAGAGCCATCGACAAGTGGCATGCTCTGCACAATTAGTCCCGATATTGCCAACGTTGCTAAGCAGGCGTTTTACGATTTTGGCGAGCGACCAATCTGGACAGAACGAGTGACTTACGGTACAAGTGAGCAGTGCATTCTCTAGCCAGACTCAAACTCACATCTTTCAGGTGACAGTTCTGGTAGTGCCATCTTTAGTGGTCGAAGGGAGGGCTTTGCTATGTACTTTGCACGTCTAGTACGACCACTGTGGAAAGACAAGTTAACAAAGCCAGGGTAAGATCCAAAATCCTCGTGGCCGACTCTTCTCATATTGAAAACGCACAGCCCCTCTGGTTTGCAACAGTCGAACTTCGAGGATAACCTTTTGGTGACTGTGCAAAAAAACCTCTTTGCATTGAAGGAGTTTCTGGATAAAAACCCTCACCTATTCCACTCTGCACCCGGCGAGCATTCAGTATCGCGGACATCGTCTGGCAATGAGCAAGAAGCTTGGAAGGTTATTTGTCTTCCAAATCGTGATGCTCTTGCTTAATCTTTCCTCAGGCTGAGCAAAATTCTGTTTCCCAGCTCCAAGCGCTGTTATCCAGGACAATCGAGGCAATATCTTTCATACTTCTGTTGAACGATTACAGGCTGGGAGAACTGATAGCCCAGTAAGCGTTTCTGATGAGCGGTGAATTTCCTGATCTCAAGCTGATTGCCAGGTGCGATCCTGACACGCAAAAGTTGATTACCTCCATGACATTTGAGGACCTTATAACCTCGCAAAATGGTGTCACTGCTGCACGTGCATTGGTTAACGTGGTAATTGACCAACAGATCGGTCAACAGATTAGCGTGCGTATCTGTCGTACATCTGCTTCACCGGGATGACAAGTTCTGCACAGGTGGACACGATCAGTGAGGTACTGCAACAACGCTGTGGCTCGTTTTGCAGCACAGACGATGTCATGTTGTACAAGGTCAGTTGTAGTTGTTGCTTCTTGTGTTGGTGATCCGCCTTACAGTAAATCAGGCTCGTGAAAGCGTCCGTAAGGCTATGGAGTCGCGAAACCCCTCTGAGCGGCATAATTGGCTCGGCGAATCCTTGAGGTAAATTGAAGATGCTGAGTGGGGCCTATGATTCTAACTCTATTGCACCAGACTGTTTACCAAAGGAGCGCGGATGCTGGACTTTGACAAAATTCGTGAGGTCTGTGGTGAATACCAGCAGCTCGGTTACGCCAAAGGTTGGTACGTTTTGGTCTAGTAGTAACTATATTTACACCCACTCAGGAGCTGTGGAACTTCCATTGAGTTGCGCCCAGGCACTAGACCCTGATAATCTGGGTCTCGAATACTGGTATGCGGCATGTCCGCCAAATGACACCCGAAAGGAGTATTGCGACAAACGACTCAGGTGTTACGACCTTGTCCTGCATTCTCTGAGCGTCTTTGAAGAACAAGCTTCACAGAGTGCTTCTGTAAAAGGGTCGGCGTCAAACGCAATTGATGACCCCGAAGCTATCCGCAGCCATGCCTATGACCTTGCATTCTCCAGCGAGGACGAGATGTTCCACTCTACGTTATATGACTGGTTAATTAACCGGGGTCTTGCCGACGAGCTTTTGGCAGTACGTCGTTTATCGCGCTCAACGATCTTGGCTTTGCTGATAAGTCTGGAATGATTGTAGATGCGGCCTCCATTCCTGGAAGCCCACCTCAAGCGGGAACCGATTACAGTGCCCAAGTATCAGCTTTTATGGCAATTCTATGTGAAAGACGGTCAGCCGTTGCGCGCCGCAGAGATACTTGCTGTCCTAGCAGAGTCCGAGTGAGCATTGTGTCTGTCTATTCTATTCAATCGACACCTCATCAGACATACAGTACTGACTTGCTGTTGGACAAACGCCTCGAGTACCTGACACTGGCCGTTGCCAATGCGAAGTCTCATCCTGTGACTATCGGTGGCAGGCATGAGACTGCTATTTCTTTCCTCACCAACCTCGAAGAAAAACTGGACGTTGCTCAAGTACAGTTTGAGGTATACAATGCCCTCTTACCTCATATGAATGATCCTGGAGAAGCCGGAGAGAAAATCAAGTATCTCAGCAAAACCCTGTTGACCATGTCCGAGGTATGTCCCGATGAAAGATTCAGTCATTGTTTTATTTATGTACACCTTCAGCTGTATCAAGTTTATGCGGAGCCATTCGATCTACCGGTCATGAAGCTCTTGATTTTGCATGTCTCTGATCATCACGATGAACATGTTGTCCGTCCCATATGGGATAGGATATTTGATGACGGTACGTAATCGGTTGTAAGAAGTGTAGGCGCCTGTCTGACTTGCGTCCCGTTAAGCGATTGAGAAGGGTGCGGATGCACAAACCAATGCTGACCACATTATCGCAAGTGTCGTTCCACTAGGGAAACGATTTTATCCCTCTGAGAGTGCCTTCCCCTTGAGTGAGTCAGACCGCACTTATTCTAGGTCTTCTCAGCTCATGACATAAAATCAGAGTACATTGCATCGTTGTTGGTCAAATTCACTCTTAAAAGCAGAACGCAACTACCAAACGGTTGGACTCCTCGGGTGCTTGTTCAGTGCGGTGTTCCTTACGCGGATGTATGGGATGTACTCCATGAGATGTATGAATCACAGGTAATTGGTCCCATCTGTGAACTTCGCACGAGTGAAACTAATTCCGGTAACACAGATACCACCTTTCAACACGCAAAGTGGCGTTCAAGTCGTATCCGCTGACATTGCAATTCTGTTAAACGACTGGCTCGAGGAGGCAAAACGCCCCCAATCCTCAGTTCCCCGAGGAGAATTCCCTGTTGGCAGAATCGATCTCGCTGTTGGGCAGTATCTGGCGGAACTAGGTGCCAATCAAGCAGAGACAAAGGCAATTTATGAAGGAATCAAACGTCAGCTAAGAAGAAACTGGTAGCACATGAGGTGGCTGTATTACTCATCATACAATCCTACTACTTTCATAGCACCTATGCCGGGGAAATCAATTGACTTCTAGAATGACATCTTCCGCATACAGAAGTAAACGTTCGCTGATCTTTCGTGTCAACTTGTACGCCCCATATAACGCCCTGAATGCAATGGTCAAGCAAACATACAATATGTGTAAAGAACACCTACCTCGCAATCCCAACAAGTAGTAAAGCCAAGATTATCATCGCAGCTAGGTCTGTTGAATTATTCCTCCGACTTCTATTCCCTCTGAAACGAGCTATCCAATGGACTGGTCCAAGGAAAGGTAGGGACAGTAGCATATGAACTATAGACCCGGCACCTATCATAGGGAGGCCGATAATGAACCTGCGCACAAACCGCTTCAGGAATGATGGTGAGGATGGGAGCGGGGCAGGATTAGTCCTCGTTAGTCTTGGAGCATTGTCCTCCAGAGGGAAAGCATCTTGGTCTCGAAGTATTCGTAATGCTGCACGGATGAGATCTTGGCCAACGTCGATGGGCGAAATGAAGAAGTAGTAAGATGATCCGTAGGACGAATGATCCTCGAAGGAACTCATGAAATAGGTTGTAGCATAGGACGAACACATGACAAGTATGGTGAACAGAAAGGAAGATATCATGCCAACTACGACTGGAAGAGTGTCAGTATCGTCTCACTATGCGGAGGGTTTCACTCACTCGGGTTGGTCGCCAACCCAGTTGCTTTGGTCCGAGCAAAGAGATATCGGTAATGACATTGTGGACAGCGATAGAAAGAGTTGTTGCTGAAAGACGAGCTCCTCCACCTCTTCAGGCAAGCTATATGGACATACTAGATACTCGTTCAACGATGTCAGTGTATCGAGATTCGTGTCATTCGAGAGAACTGACTGACGCTAATGGAACCCTTACATAGACAAGGTCGAATAAGCCTTCCCAATGACTCATCTTCACCCTCGAAGCAGATACGACATTGTTTCTCCTGCTCGGGCGCTGGTTCTTGGTCTGTTTTGTTCTCTGGCTCTGCCATGGTTCATGTACATCAGTGCTTTGGGCATCGAGGACAGCAACAATGAAGCATTCCACCAGATTTACGCAAATATTGTGTCAAATATGGACATTCGTACAGGGAGACCTGGTCAATTTCTTGCAGAGCATTCGGCATCACAATTTGGCTCGCATGTGGAAGTTGCCGAATGAAGCATAGATTTTCCTAACTGAGTTCTGCGCGGTTCTACTATGGATCCCTTCCGGCCACAGAAGTCGGCACTCTCACAAAACTCGTATTTCCAGCTACTCAAACACAACATTCTTAACACAGATATCATTCTCTCTCTAATATAACTCATTATGAAGTAGATTGAAGCAGAATCGAGTGAGATAGTCAAAGTCATGCAGAAATGACAGTCTACAATGTGAGTCTCACTAGCTGCCCTCAATGGCCACCCTCGTACATAGTAAATTGTACTTCGCATAACACGTTGTGACTTACAGTAACGTTTGCGTGATTGCCGACTTCTGTGGGGTGCCGATTCCGGATGGTATAGTCTTCTGGCGTGAAATGTCGGAGGTTGGTGTCTCCTTTAGAAAGCAAGATCTCCGCATAGTAATCTTTAAGTTCTGATCATAACTCTATCACAACTCTAGTTCATCAAGGTTGTAATCAGTTCGCTTCGGTGCTTGAATTTAATTTTCGTCGTGTTTCTTTACGTCTGGACGGTGGCAGTGGAAAAGATCCCGCAGGAAACAGCCAGGGAAATATTGTTATTCGGTGGTCGGGTTGACGTACTTGTTGCATTTTTAATCGGCAGACATCTTGGGCGTTATGGGATGACTCGGACAAATAAGTCGACTCCAGGGCTTGAACAACCTGAACGCCGTCCCGACTCATCAAGCTTCACAGGGGTTAAGGGATGTACCGCGTTTGAAAGGCGAGGGTTTCATTGCTTCAAAGTTCACATAACACTCTCAGGCAAGTAAAATGAGCCCATACACATAAACATGTCGCGCTTATTGCAATCATACTAGGCAATTATACATTCGGCGCTATCAAGTAAATATCACTTTGTTGGGCGACTGATGCGTTCTTTTTTTTATTGATATCGAATCACTTATGCTGCACGTGTGTCTTCCCCCCTCGAAGAATAATTGTACGTTGAGGTAACCACATCGTTGAATGACCGTTGCTACGTAGTACGGAAAGGCCTTTGAGCTGAATACCTCTTCGTATCATGATGAATTTCCGATGATACCGCTTGCTTCAGCCGACTTATGTAAATCCTTTGATCAGGGACTCTGTGCGATCACTCATCCATCCCTATAATATCTCGCAACTACTGATACATTGACACTATTAGGTGTTGGTACAACACTGAACTGAATGAACTTCCATAGTACTGAATAACCGGCATTTTTGGTGAGCGAACACTATTTGCAAGTACTGACTCGATCGCTTCCAAATTCCGGTTCTTCTACAGACTCAGTTGATATTTACAACCCCGTCGGTGATAACCGAGAGTCTTCTAAGATGGTAAGTAGTGGCAACTGGTCCGACATCATTCGTTCAATCATAAACATACTTGCAGATCTCATTCAGATGTCAGGAATTCCTTGTTGCTCACCTCGATGTCACTGACCAGCCAGCACTATGAAAAACAGGCAGCCGAGTCGGAATATTCATGTTCTACTGTTCTTGCCGTTGCCAACTACTAGTGGCATGATGCTCGGTCCCAGTCAATTTTCGCACTAGAATTTCCAGTCTACAGACGTAAGTCGTTATCTGGTAATCACGCCTACTACACATGAAAACATCGTCACCAGGACCCTTATGTGTTTTTTTTTCCAGGTACCTCGCATTAATTTCATCTCACTTCGAGTCAGGATGAATCTTAACTCGAAATCAGATCTCCACAAGGCTAAGCTCTTCCTTCCTGCCGTAGATCGTTATTATTTTAATGCTCAAGTCGTAGCGCACATTAATGTTACGTGCCCACCTTCGGGCTTTTACATCAATCAAGGACGGGTCATGCTCGAACGCACCTTGTGTCGAGCTAACCTATTCCTTCTTGATGAAGTCAACGACATGGATCTCGATCTTTATGTCTCGAAGGATATAACGGTAGGAGCGAGCGGCCTAACTCACCAAGATGGCTGCTAAGTACCCTGTCCCATCCAGCGACAAAATACTCGCTCTATCATGCACGAATGTTGGCGTTGGCCCTGGTGGAACCACCGCAATGCTCGCGTTCGTCATGTGGATTATTCATGACCTGCTCATCTTTAACACTGACATTTCAGACGCGTCTCTATCGTAGATTACAGGGGACAAGTCATACTTGATACATACGTATCACCTACGATGCAAGTCAGCGACTACAGAACTGCAACTACCGGTATAGAATCTTCTCACCTCCTTTCTCGTGAGTTTAAGGGCGCAGTGACATTTTTCTGGTATTCACGCTACCCGTCACATTAGCCGACACGCCTGCCTTCACCCAAGTTCAACAGCACGTTGCTGACCTTATCAAGGGCAAGGTACTTGTCGGCCACAGTTTGTGGAACGATCTCTCGGGCAAGCACAGCTTTTGTTCAATAGCCCCGGCCGTCACTTATTGACGTCTTACCCAGTTCTAGGAATTCCTCATCCCGCAGTGGCTACCCGAGATGTTGCTTTATATCAGCCTTTTCGAAACGCTCTTCGGTCCCCTAATCAGGTGATCGGCCTCCAGACTCTCATGTGGCACTTGATGTGCCGTCGATGTCAAGATGGCCAACTTCACCCAGTGAGTTCCTATGATCATGACAGTCCTGCTTGAGGTGACATATGTCCCGTAGGTTGAGAATGCGCGCGCTGCACTCGACTTGTATCGGACTGTTTCGTCTGAATGGGAAGGGGCAATTGCCATTGGAAATTGGCCTTCATGCCTTCCTCCTAGCACATTCTCGCGTTGCTATCTCTGAACAATTTCCATGCAGATTACTATCGTTACACCTACATGACATTCTTCCGCAGGAGTATTTCGTATTTAGATGCTGTTAATCCTACTATACACTCGTCTTATGCCAATTCGTTTTATGCCAGTTTGTTAGTTGGCTTTATGATCTCTATGTATGGGTGCATTGACTTCGCCTCGGAGTTCCAAGTAAATTTACAACGACTAGCTAAGTTACTCGGTACGTCATTGCACAATCCTCGACTCTTCTTTGCTTCAGCATGGAAAGCTTCCTCTTCAATCCCTGCCATTCCTATTCTCGGCTCCCCTTCCATGAAAAATCTTTCCAGTTGGCCGTCTGAGTAACCTGGTAAAAGCCCGAGGGGATGGCCCTCCCGTAATGTCCCGTTGCGTTCGCCATAATTGCTTCTGCAAGTAAAGTGTTCGCTCAGATTCGAGCATAACCGCGGCGATATCAAGACGTCCTTCTTTGATGGACAGAGTAGCGATCCGCCGCCTGACAACGCTGGATTCTGTGCGCGGACCCCACCGCGTGCGAAAGACTTTGAGGCACTTCATAGCGAGAGTCCCGCACTGCTTGCAAGACCGGAGACTTGCAAGGGTTAAAAATAGTGTTTTTGACGATGGTCGGATCCCAGGGTGAGCTGAAAGCAAATGGGAGATGACACGACGTTGGGCGAAATGTCGAGCAAGTCCTGATTTCTCAGTTACAGCCCTGATGTGTAGGTGAATGATATCCAGCACTGCGTGCTGCTGTCTGCGGTTAAGTCTCCTAGGGAGCGTTTGGAAGTATAACGAAGTAGATTCGAGTGCCTTGACGCGGTCTCCCAACTGAATCATGGCCTCCGCGATGAAAAAGACGGCCCTTGGTGGCAGCTGAGAATATTCGGGCGAGGCAAGTGGAAACATGTTCATAAGAGAATGATAGCGGGCAACCTGCACTGGGCCAGAGACCGTAGATGATTGCAAGACCACGCATCTAAAGCTCGCAGACTTCCATCCAGGTTCGCCTCGCCGTTGCGGAATTTTAACCCACCGTCGCAGAGCACCGCGCTTCAGAGAACCGAAAAACTCCATCCACAAAGGCAATGGTAGTCCGCCCTGATGCCCACATCGTAATCCCAATTCTTCTGGCCACTCCTCTCTTTTCATAACACGTTCAACACGCCTCAAAGCCTCGTCCCATCTTCCAGTCCGTACCAACCACCTGACAGTTAATTTCCACGTTTCGAGATTTGGGCGCACAGACTCGGCTTTCATGGCATTGAGAAGACGCGCCGCAGTACCAAAAGCCGCTTGTCTCAACGCAAGAGAAACCAAAAAATTGAAGGAACGAGTTGAACGAAGGAGACGCGTGTCCCGAGGGTTTGAGAAATGATAGTTGACAAGTGCAGTGAGTGATGAGTGCGAGTAATTATGCATGTCCAGAAGATTTTGATAGAACATCTCACAAGAGGTGGGAATTGGTAGGTGAGGTATCGGCGCGGCGGTGAGGGAATGGACACTGACGAAGGTAGCAGATTCGGAGGGAGGATTTGGAATATACACTGGCTCCGCACGACCTGAATCTTTCCACGAAGCCTCCCTTGTAGAGATGGAGTTGGGATCTATGGGTATGACACACTGACCTCGACGTGGTGTCTGAGGTTGCCGGAGGAACGATTCATCAGAACGCGATTTTCTAGACATTCCAGCACGCTTCTCGTCGGGAAGAAGAGAGCCATGGTATTTGGTACGTCGTGTCCAAGCACGAGCTGCAGCTGACTGCAAAATTGCAGAAAATGAAGACGTGGCGTCTGGCGGAATATATGAACATTTAAGCAGGCGGGATGCATGATGAAGCATGCATGAGCTCGCAACTGCACACTGGTCAATATCGTTTCCGACTCTTGCACATTTTTTCCGACTTACTTGCAAGGCGAGTTTTGGGAGACTGGCACAATTGCAGTCTTCTTCTGCCTTGAACAATATTTCTGATTTCGTCCAAGTCCGGATGCTGATCTGAGGCTTGATTGACAAGGTTTTAAACCAAATAGTAACAAACACTCCCGTTACTAATAGAACCATCATCATCACTGCAGTACTGTACTTATGCGAAGTGCGGTAAGTATCACTTCAAGACTTCAGCCAAGCTCCAGGATCTGCTCAAATCTTGCGTCTACACTTCAAGGCTTTCTTGGTCAGGGTCAGCGCTCTGGTTAGTGGAATGTTCGTTACTATTCCAGAAAGGTCGCTAAATTGCAGCATTTCTACAATTCATAACTCAGTTCAGATCACGTACGTCGCGCATGTGCATTTCATAGAAGCACCAATTCAGTGCGATGAAGTTGAAAGCTTACATTGAGCTTATATACTATTTTCACAGCAGGGTTGGTCCACTCTATCGTAGACCAGGTTCCTAGAATGATGATGCAGGGCCCAGACTTGCTCCGTAGGGACGGTCGGGTGACATGGTCTTGCTACACAAAATCCCCACATTTCCTTGTCAAGCTTCTTATCACTTGAACCGGGGACACCCCAGAGTCGTCTTCCGGTGACGATCAACGAAGAAAACTGGGGCAACAACGTGTGTCGATCTAGCCCACGCACTAGAAGACTAGTAGCAGCATGGCCGGTATTCTTGAGCCAAGCCGCCATTAGTGCCATATTTCCACAGGTCATAAACATCGTGCCATCAAAACGCTAACGCTGAAATTTTATTTGAGCCGGCGATCTGCCACTTCAGCTGTTCCACTTCTGATCATGCAGTGCGTTCGAACTCGGAAATAGATGTCCCGCAGCGTTTAGAACGTAGTTTTAAAGTCCTCGTGCTGCCGTCAAACGTCAGTGTTTTTCAAATCCGCATGTCAAAAACACCAGTGATATCTAGAAGGGGGTAGGCCCTAGATTCCAATGGTGTTCAGAGTCGCTAAACGAGCTTTCCAAACTCCGTGACTATGTTACTTACACCTCACCACTGACAATTGTATTGATACAATTGGTCTGCGGTTTGGAAAGATTGCGACGTGGTAGACGACACTCCGACTTTTAAGGTTTGAATCAAAATCTAGGGCTGCGGAAAGTCATCCACTGACCGAACCGAAGTATCTAGATTCTAAACTTCACCCTGTATGATAAGAGATTCAGGTGTTTGGAAATCGCCAGAAGTGTGCGGCGTTTGAAGGCAAATGCACTTGAAGACATGCTATGATATGAAGAATTTGAAACAGGTATGCATCTTCCATATAGTTATACAAACTGCGAGCATAAGAATCGATCATAACTAAATACATAATGAGCGATGAGATGTGCCGCCAGAAAAACCTATGAACTATCAGTAAACTATAATCCAATGACTCCGCTCAGGATCGAACAGGAAAAATGAGTTCTATTATCAGAGTTCCTCTTCCATTAGGTGTAGAACATTCCTACCCACCAGCCAGCCGACTTTGCCTACCCACTGATCTCGCACCTTTCGCATGTCCTGCCATCCCTCCGGACCTTTTGCCTCGGCAAACTCATCCAAGCCCTTTTCCCAACTTCTGACGATGTCCACTCTGAACATCCCCCCTTGTTGATTCACGACCTCATCTATCCGATCTATCCAGGCTCGCCACTCCTGAATCAACCGGGGTAGTAACAGAGGGGCGAGAGATGATTGTGTTAGGGACGGCTGAGAAAGGATATGGTTGCTGAGGGCCGAAAGAAAGAGAAAAGTCTCTGACGGATGGGACCTGTCTTTATGTTGCAGCTGAAGGGCTGCAGAAAGCGATTGTGACGAAGCGCCAGAATCAACGTGCAATGGCAATGAAGGTGATGCATAGGAGAAATATGGCACATATGACATGGAGGCGGACACGAACTCGTGTATAGCCGGTCGTAGACGCGATAGGATGTATGATTCTCGCATGCCACCATCAGGTGGGCTTGCTGAGCTCTGCTGACCGGAACGTGTGAAACCAGACGGCAGGCTGCTGACGGATGTTCTATAGTTTGTGATCCCAGATCCAAAACCAAAAGAAGTCGTTGATGATGATCCTGGCGCAAAGGATGAAGGATTGGAATAGGGATATGCTTCCCGAAGTTTTCGAGCTGATTGCTCCAGAGCTTGTATAGCTGTATCCAACGTCGGACGGGGTATCAGAGGTAGTATAAGTGATTTAAGTGATGGCTGAGCACTAAGCATGGAATTAAGCAGAGGAAGTAGTGATTGTGGTGGTAAACTCGCTAATTAAAGCAGGTTAGATTCACCAGAATATGATGGGCAACTAAAACAACATACCAAGGAGAACGCCAACGTCAACATCATTATCTGAACCCACTGAATTATTTTCTTTTCCGCCCTTTTCATCTTTTGAGTTACTGGCGGGGGTGATCTTTGCTCGCTTAGGTGCCGCACGCTTAGGGCGTTCTGGCGTTGGACTTCGGTCCATAGCTACGTCCCGGACGCCATGTCGACTGGAACTTTCCGTTTCATCATCAAATTCATGTCTCCTCTTCTGTGAGCGATGCGCAGAAGTAGGCAGGTTCATGCTGGAGGCTAATTGCTGGAAAGCAGCAGGTTGCGTATGTCCCATGGTCATTGTAGACTGCCAACTAGCTCCGGAGTTTACTGAAAGGCCAAAACCAAAACCCAAGCAAGACGGTGGATGAGTGGCTGGGTTGTGCAAGAAATCAAGCGGGGGATGGACGAGATTTGCCATGGTTTTGTTGTTGTTGAAAGAATGGTGAAGGATACAAGTCCTTCGAGCCACAATGCAGCCACGCGCGAATATTGCAAGCGATCACTTTGACCAGCCCTTAACAAACTGCACGTGATATTTATATTAAAGCGTCTGGTTTTTTTTTCTGGATGCTTGTCTTGCTCTCTCCCTCGTTATAATTATCTCAACCAAGGTAAGCACCAACTTCTCGAGCCTTATCTCGCGGTGACGATACAAACGAATCGCTACTTCGAAGCTCACAGAGCTAATGAATTTTTTCGTATATACCCAAATTTCTGAGCTTTGTCTCTGATGCTCAGTTTATTTACATCGTTTTGCTCACCAATCTTTTGCAGTTCACCGATCTCACAACAACGATCGTAATTGCTGATGAGCCGTGAGTATCATATCCATTCCTCTTCCCGAATGATCGAACAAAATAGAAGTCAAGCCCTGACCTTGTCTAAAGGACAAGTGTTGATGAGCATCCATGCTAATACTGACTTTGCGATATCATCACTGCAATCATTTGATGCTGATTATTTTCTACAGGCTGCTAACTTTCCACTTCTGGTACATGGCAGTAGTCGTAGACAGATTAATTTGCAATTCAAATGATTTTGTTACTGTATCAGTGTCACATTCACTTCAAAGATTCAACTGCGTTGCATCTATCAGTGTCCAGTAAATAAGTATGAACCATGCTATGTCGATATCCACAATGAGTTAACCAACCACATCATTCCCATCCACACCACTAGTTTGGCTTTTACTCCGGGTCTCCAACCCGATCCTTTATACCACACCTTGTAGCCTGGGGAACGCTGTGGCGACGTCCCATCAGCTAATCTATCCACCCATCGTCTTGTGGGTCGTACGGGTGAATCAGGTTTTGTGGGATGACTGTCACCATCCTTACTCGTGTGAACGTCAGTGGCGAGGGGAATAGGTTCTGCGCTGGAACCTGATGATGCCATGTGGCGGGCGACGTTGTGAGTTGAAGTGGGAAGTGAAGTTTCTTTGTTTCCACATATCCACGTTGTAAGCTCTCCTGTGGCATGGGAAACATGATCGGAGATGTAGATGAATATAATCGTGGAGATGACAAAGTTTACTGAACGCCAGCGTGTTCCAGGGAGAAGGACAAGAACACCCTTCGTGTCACCCGCGAGCCATAGGTGATACTGGATAATGAATGTCTCCAAAGAACATTTGCCGATAAAAGCGAAAGCCCGAGAGCTGCATGAACGAAGGGAAGAACTTGCGTTCCTGAGAGTGATGAATGCTACGATGGGCAAGAATGATATATATCGATGCCATGCGTTATAGGTGAACTTGCTTTCCTGCATGAGTTCAAACGCGAAGAACCACAGCAGGATAAAGATAGAAGTTCCAACAGCCGCCTTCACCGCCATGGGCCAAAGGTGATGGTCGGTGAGTCGATATGCTTGGATCTTTATTACAGCAATTGCCAGAAGCATCCCGAAATACGTGATCCACAAGTCAAGAATTACCCGGAAACTCCATTCACGGGCGGACCAATGGATGCTGAATATCCGCTCCAGGAACGCGAATATGGCATCCAGCATCCACGTCTCAGTCATGAACCATGTGAACATGCCCATCGAGATCGCAATCTTCGATAAGAGAAATGGCATGCGATCGTTATATTGCGAGCCTATCGCCATTGTCCCGTACACGATGAGATACCACATCGATACGAGGGGAGAGAAATAGTACGAAAGGTAATTGACGTCCATGGTGTATACCAGGACTACCACTAGAAGATTTAGGCGAACCAATACCTACAATCAATTCGATGTTATTAAATGACGCGTTACAAGGCATGCTCAGATCTGACGCTTACCTGAACAATACGCAGAAAGCCAAAGTCGGCTTTTTTGATATAAAAGGTTGTGTGACCATAACCAGTCATGAACAAATATGCCGCGACCAGCACGCGAATAGGATTGTAAATTCCAGAAACCTTCGATGCCCCCAAGTAATGATATATAAGAATTGCGACTGGGACAAGAGTGAGAATATATGGACATTGATGTCGTGGTGACAAACCTTGCATCCAACCCTTCCACTCATCAGTTTGATCGCGGTTTAGGAAGCCCATATCTTTGTCGGCACGCTTCACTGTTGCCAGCCCCACCGCGAGAGAACATAGCACGAGAAATCCAAAAGTCCAGGGGTTGAATTGTTTTTGTTCTTTCAGGAAGAAGCCAGTTCGATCAGCGATAAAGATCAGGCCGATGGAAAAACCAAAAATAACAGCTGGCCTATATTCGCCTGCGAAGGAGATACCTTTGGTCGGATTTCGAGTGTCTGAATAATAATCAGGTGTGTGTTTCCCAAGGAAGAACGTACTTACACGCAAGGTACCACATGATTGGTCCGTACACCACAACAGCTACTATGATAGCAAACTGCAAGAACGACGGCAGCGGATAAGCGCGGCAACATGTCTTGTCAAAAGGGGAGGTCTTTGGCCACAAGTTATTGCAGCGCAAATTAAGGAGGATGTTGGCATGTGCCTTCACGATGTCGTCCGAGAAATGGAGTCCATCTTGTGTGCTAGCGTCGTCAAGCATCTTATTGAAAACAAGCGGTAAAGAAACAGGTAAAGCCGCGGGAGAGCTTGAGAATATGGAATAGATAGCAGGTGATGGTGGATTAATGCGATGGTGGAGGTCCGAGTTCATCGCATCTACATCCGAGGAGTGCATGGTTTCGGCACGTTCGGGAGAGAGTTTTGAAGATACTATGTCCTCCACGGGGAGAATCACCACCTCATCTGCCGGCTTCCTCTGCGCTGTAGAGACAGACTCCAAAAGACTTTCTATATTCGCTTCCCAGGCGGGAAGGCCACCTGTAGTGGCATAACGCAAGTACCATAGGCCCGAGCCTAGGACAAGCATAGCAGGACGGTCATCGACGCCAAGGGAAGGTAGGTGACCATGAACGAGAGAAAGAGTGCTTGATGTATTCAAATATGGATCCCAAACAAAATCCAGTGTTGTTACCGAATCTGAAGTGTACGAATAGTTCAGATGCTTGTGGTCGTCATCAGGAGGAGCAGTTGGGAGCTTCGGATCAACAATATGCATAAAATGAAAATATAACGTGCGCGTTACGGAGTCACCAATAAAAACGACGCGTCTGGAAGCAAGGCAAGGCGCGGTATCCTTTGATTGGTATGTGTGTAGCATACAACCTGATTATTGGTTGAAGGGTGAGCACGGCAATAGAAGTCTGAGCAACAGACAGCATACCCTCAGGTTGCCAGTTGCGGTGGTTCTCATCCAACCAGGTGCCTCTAGTAAGCAAGGAATTGCAATGCAGTGGATCTGCTCGGCCTGTAAGCGAGCTCGTTAGGCGCAAAGCCGAAATGTGCAAGGGATGAATGCACTAACCAGAAATTATATGATGTAGTATCCCTGCCAATATGGCAAATACTCCAGTAGACAACGCTAGATAGTGGTGAAATGAGGGGTTGAGCGAGAACAGCCCTTTGGACGAGGACATGAGAGGACGGTGAGAGTCTGCTGCGTGTGGCGGTACACTGGTAATGTTGCTGCGTTTCAGCGCTTGAAGTCAAGAGTAGGATGATTAATTATGCTGGCAAAGTTTTTAACCCCAACGTAAGCCTTGGGGGAGACTTCGAATGGTTTGTGGTCATCACTCAGTGTGTCGCTGAATTGCAGAACGCCACAGCGAACCCGATACTTGACTGACTTACTCCGTTTGAAACGTATACTAGTACTTTTTGGGCTTACTCGTTTGCCCTGTTCCCGTCGCGAAATAATTGTTATTACAGTAATTGCCACACTAGTTGCGAATACATGATATAATGTGCAATATCCAGGCACTCATAATCATCACTGGGGAGTGGGCCAAATTATCAGAGTAGTCTTACTGTCCATTGGTCATTGATATGCATAAAGTGATGATGCAGTCCACGAAGTTAATGTCCTAGTATGAGATCGGAAGGTGTACATTTAAATACTCGACCCGCCAGTGGTCGTAAAGCCTATCCAATTCAAGTCAGCAATTGATCGAACAATGAATTATAGTAGGAAGCACACACCTGTACCTTGACAATAATTGTTAGATGCAGTAGGTATACATGACAGGTACCTGCAGCCCGAGCACGCTAAGAAACTATCAGCCATCATGTCTTCGTGATCGCAACAAACGCGAACCTGCATATGGATCTGAAGTATAGAAGTTCCGAATCAGGACAACGAAGAGGACGATTGCCAATGGTATGGCTGCCAGCCGGAAAGCCCACATGATGAGTTTATGGCGCTTCGTTGGACTGATTACGGGGTACAGGGTTGTGCCAACGAGGAGACCCATACACAAGCCTCCCAGGTGAGCTGAAACTTTTTATGAGTTGAGTCAAGGGGCGAGAAAAACATTCACTTGCCAAAGTTATCCACATCTATCGAGAAGAGTTAGCAATGATATTCAAGACCAGATGAGTGTGCACGTACAAGGTATATACCCAAGAGCGATACCAAACAGCAGTTCCACTGTCATGATGGCGAGCTACGAAAAAACATAAGAGCGAAATAAGCACGAAGCTGACAGTCATCACCTTTTTACGAGGTCGGTATTGATATTGCCAGTGAGCGAAAAGATCCACCCATGTAACCTAAGTTGCGAGGTGATCAAAAGGTAAAAGATGTGAACAGGTTCTACAGCTTACCGCGACTGTACCAAAGATGGCACCACTGGCACCTAGTGAAGGTGCGCCGACCAGTGAAAAGTTACCGCCCAACACGTTACTACATCATACGTCGGTGTGCATAGAATGAAGTAAGAAGGATTTACCCAAAGATCCCGGCCGCGAAATAAGTTATGAAAAAACCAGCGGAACCCATTTCACGCTCTATCTGGAGAGGTATAAGAGCAAATAATTGAACTAGAAAGACCACCGACTTGAGCGGATATTGTCAACTGGGCGAGCATGTTGAGGATGATGTGGATGAATCCTGCATGCAGGAAGATGGCAGTGATGAATCTGAATCATGGAATTTTGGCCTTGAACTGCTGTAACCACAGCTTGCTTACCTGAACCACTGATTGGGCTCGCCGCCTTGAAAGCCACCAAAACCGCATACGTCCTCGATCGAACAAAGCCGATCTGGCGGGTTTGCGGTATCATTGAGGCCTAGTCGTTAAGACGAATCAGCAAGGGTCGTTAGGATGTAGGACAGGTTTATCTTACAAGCCATTTGAGTGGTTAAAGGGAGTCCTTGAACAACTTTCATGCATGGTGGGAAACGAGCACCTAGATTAATCAATGCACTTTCTGACGGCCCAAGCATGGGGTTTACGACTGGCTGAGCGGAGCTCAGCAACGAATATGTGTTCACGAACTATTCGCAAACCTTGAAAGATACCGGGGTACCTTGTGCTCTGCTATTCACCACTAGCTCATTGATGAAAACGCCAATCATGATGATTGTTAGGGCCCATACTAGGACGATCAATGTCTCGCCAATGGTATGATAGTTGTATGCTCACCAATCACAGGATACTTTTGCCGTCCGATACCCCTCTTCTTGTCCTCGATCCGCTGATCCATAGGGTACTTGCCCGTGTTCAGCCCAAGAGCCTTCTGAAACGGAGATGCGCGGTCTGCGGCAAGCTTCGAGCTCTCATCCAATGGTTCTGCGTATTCTGGGAAGTTCAGGCTATTGTTACACTACCAAGGTCGCAAGACACACCCAAGTCCTGATAGCTGTCTGAGCGTCCCATATCTGCAGCATTATGCATCAGGTGGTCGTCTGATTGGCCGACGACAGACGATGGACGTGTTGAATAGGAGTCTTCGTCCTTATATGGGACACTCAAGTCGCCGAAAACTGGTGTGTTTCTTTCAGACAACGACGGTGTAGGCTGCCGACTTGGTAGGAGAGGCGACTTTGTACGTCGATAATTGAAGATGAGAGATTGTGCCTCTGTTTGACCAGCACTACGCGAGGACGATGAAGGGTCCAGTGCAGGAATTCCGCTCGTAGTCGTTGCGAAAGTCGTGGTATCGTCTTGTATTATTCCATCTAAACCGTCAAAGGGTTTTTCTCGACTGTCATCCCCAAAAGGATCCGTAAATTTCGATCCAGCTGGATGGTTTGTATCAAAATGTGCCATAATTTCCAGAAGCACGGCGAGAGGAAATTCAAGTGAACGTGGTGGTATAGGAAAGAAATTATATATACGTGGATTGCCAAGCTGCAAGCCATAGGTTTCAGGACACAATTTCAAACCGCATCACGTTACGGACACAGCCTCACCGCTACCAGCCATGGTCTCCGCAGTCAAATCCTGTACTGTCAGTTCAATGAGGTACAATTCACACCGCACAGTCGCGCTAAATTTCGTCAACTATGGAAATTGGAAGGACGGATTTGATTTCTATACAACCGCCTGTTGTCAAGCTTCCTCCAATGACTACCGTCAAATCACCTCAGTCGATTGGAAGTCCCTTGCTTTCATGCCACCTTTTCAGGAGTGTGTTACTGGGCATACCAAAAGGGTCCAGAACTTTCTTAGCGGCCTCAACCCCAGCAACAGGAAGATTAGTGGGGTCCAACAATCCAAGCTGCACAAGAATCCCGGCTTGGTCCCAGTACCTGAAAGGGTGAGCCATGTAGGCTACAAACCTGTATCTCGAAGGAATACCCACAGATGTCTAGTATGCAACGTTGAGGATGGCACCTTTAGACTGCAAGAGTGACTGAATGTACTCACTCAAAGAAAAGTTTATCGCCTCTAAAGGCAACTATCCCGACCATAGCGATCTCAATGTGTTTCCCTGTCGGTGCTACTCCAGGCAGAAAACTGTAGGCGGGTTGGCTTCATGAGACGAGGGGAAAATCCCTTTGAAACGTACTAGTCTATTTCCTGAAAAGCAAATCTAGCTCACTCATAGGACGGACATCAGTGGATCGCAACATACAGATGTGTGGTGGCACTTGAAAATCATCTCATCGACAATCCTGTCACAACCAACTGGACAAATTTAGTGGGTCAAGTCTTGAACTGAGCCATGCATGCCTCACCGGTCCGGGAGACTGTAATGAGCTCAAAGTCTTCCAGTGTCACCTGTTACACGTCGTGAAAGCGGAAAATGCACGGGGCAATATTACCCCTTACAGTTGTGAAATGATACTAAGAGACAAGTAGGTGAACTCTGAGTTGGAACATTGTGGCCCACTAACCTTGTAAAATCTCGCCAGATCGTCATACCCGACGCCTCCAGTCATCGTTGCAACATGATTGACGTATGGTGTGGCAACCTGCGTCAACGTATCACTGCCTGCTAATTCATCATTTAAAGTGGATATGAACCATTGTAGACATAGTCTCTGTCGATGGAATGAATTAACCTCCCTGCTTTTAATGCGATGGTATTAATGATATGTTGACGTACTAGGTGCATCTCTTTCGATAAATTCCTGCCCAACAAAACGTGTAAGTGACTTCTTTAGTGCCATATTATTCATGTACATAATAAGTGTGCTTCTCCCAGAGCCTCTCGAGGTTGAAATGAGGGCCAAGATGCGCCTTCAACAATTCGAGGGTTCGGGTAAGCGACAGGTTAGAGGCCGACCGAAGATAGGGGTCGACCGATTGTTTATCGTTAACATTCACACTAACGGGGGGTTGAATAGAGAAGGGAAACGGTGGGGATTTTGACACTAGAGGGTATGAATACACCCGCACGGGTAATCGAGAGTGAGTCGGAAGAGCATATCCAAGATTAGCCGGGTCCTCGAAAAGTAGCAGAGAGGCATGGAGCACTTCTTGAGAAGAAGCGAGGTGAAATGTAACTCTTGAAATGGACGGCAGTTATAACTTAATCTAACGCTCGAAGCAATAGTCGACCTACGGGATGTGTCTCCTCTGGCTGTCCTTCATCAAAAAACCATGGGTAACCTCGGCATCTGGGCAAAAGTGAACACAAGCCTTCAGATCTGCGAGCGAGAGAGCGAGTTTCGATACAAGGGTCTCCGCATCCTCTGTGGTCAAACCGTATGTCAACAGTCCCCAGTCAGCTCCCAGCGCAATGATTTTGTCATCGACAACTTTCATCGCATCCTTGAAAGAAGAATTTGGGGGAAGAGGGTACGTCAAATGTACCACATTGTATCCTTCCTGTGCGAACTGAAAGATGATAGTACCGAATATTCAAGACCGACTCGTTGGCCAAAAACAATATCTGATAACACACCTGTTGGCACCAACTAGTCTGATCTTGGGGAAGTAGCATCAATAGAGTCGCAGGTTTCACTACGGAAGCCACGGTATTGAAGAACACTTCTGTCTGCGTCATCTTGTGGTTGTGGTGGGGCTTTATCAGAAGGGACGACTATCTTCCTTCATCTATAAAGGCCTGACTACGGTGACTATGCCACTATTCGGGGCGGGATCAAGCCCCTTGCCATCATCATTGAGACGAATGGAGATAAGTAGGTGGTTCCGAAGTTCCTATAGTCTCCCTTATCGTCAACTTGTGGTCGACGGATTGTTAAAACGGTAACACAATAGATGCGTAATATACGAAAGTCCAATACTAGTGCAATATCAAGGTAAAGCAATGACAGATCGATGAACAGATGAGTCCGACGATTCATAAAGTAATTGGTATGACAGGGTCCCCAATAAGACTGAGACGCCCTCTGCTACGGGCTGATGGTCTCTTGGTAAGTGGGGTGCCGTGCAATACGGTGTGGGGAACATCAGTGTTGATGCGCAAGTCATCTATACCATCGGATAGTGGTGTAGATGGGTAGGCCTCTTCGTACTCTTCTCCAAGCACGGGCTGTTGGAATGTCTGCGGTTTAGTCCTGAACCTGTCGACCCACTGCAGTGTTTCGAAATCGACATTTCGCACCCTTCGACTGCGACATCTCCACTTCATTGCCCCTCCATCGAGAGTGCTTGCTTGACTGGCGTTCCGAGCGTGGGCCGCGGTTCGCGCACCTGCTCGTTCACAGTATCCGCTGACCACTCGTTTTTCGGGCGTGGCAGAAAGCACACGAGGGTCTGACGGAAGGAAAAGAGGCAGCATATGACGAGAATCTAGAAGCTCCCCTAGAACTTGGGGTGCTTTGGCTGGTTCCCATTCAGATTGTGAGTGCGAACGATCGAACAAGTTGTCGATGCTATGCTGGCCGGCAAATGTTTCTGAAGATGCGTTAAAGCTTGCATTAGCTTCGCTCGCCATGCCATCTTCAAGCTCACGTTCCCGCTCACGCTCGCCCATCTGGTGTATGCGTTAGTTTCGCTCAGCAAAGATAGCAGTCAGGGTAATACCTCCTTGCGCAGGGCCTCAACACCCATCTTAACACGATGGCGCTCCCAGTCCTTTTGGAGCTGCGTCAAATACTGGGAACTAGGGCCCGATTGGCTGAGCAAGTGAGCAATCGAAGGGGAGACAGAGACATGAGAACAATGCGATTCGAGGTCAAAGACGACGGATACAGGAAGATGTACAACCGATGAACGAAGTCATGGGAACGACGGCGCTCTGATAATCGTACGAACAAGGCCTGAGCCTCGTCTGAGGACGGCCATGGACAACACAGCCGAATACTATCTGAGGCGAAAATAAAGGGGCGCCAAAATCGGACGGATCTATAAGACCCACTACCTTAGTAGCGGGAATCTTACTAAGGCATGGTATTTGCCGTCCCTCCTGCCTGATGCGGAACGATTGTCATCATTTGTAACGCTCGTATTCTCTTCTCCTAGCTTTCACGTTGTGACCTTCTCCTGTGCCACGGGGAAGTCAAGACCCAATGTTCACCGACAAACACCCATATATAACCATGTCCACTCTAGTACTATTGCCAAGTAAGACTTGCCAAGAGCCATCAGTCGAGAGCTCTCTCACGATCGAAGAAGAGGTCCAGAAGGAAATCCCAGTTGAAATCGTCTGTGATGCTGCAGACTCGATCCAATATCTGTTACAAGGCCAAATCTTTACCTCCAGTACGTGTAACTAAAAGTAGATGCTTTGTCATGTTCTGATTGGCCTTTGGCACTGAAGGGGTGGAGGATGTCATGAAGTATATAACGAAGTCAACTATGATTCCATGCAAAAGCTACCAGGCAAGTCCCCGAACTTAATGATTCAGTGCCGAATTGCTTACCAAATATTGCAGGAATTTCACGATGTAGGAGCAGAAGATTTTGCGTCGATAGAACATATTGTAGGAGAAATGGGCCAACTGATGACGAAACCAAAGTGAGCTTATCAATCCAACCATTTTGAGTTATGCTCAATTCATCCAACAGGCTGACTTATGATTATAAGAAGCTCGCACTCGTCGTCGACATGCCTACCACCCTCCATGAAGAGCCTTTCAATTATCTCAAAGAATGTATCACTCTAGCGATTGCCGAGCTTCCTTACGATCGCAAGGATCATCCAGCCTACAGTCCATATGAATCAACCTCTTCAGCTCGAAAGCAAGTCCGTGATGCCTGATATGGTGATCACGTTAACACCTGTGGATGGTCCCACAGTTGACGTAACAATCTCCGCACTTGGAGAATGTGCGTTTACTGAACGTCGAGACCATGTGTTCAACAAAATGGAGATGGAGATCACCGCCAATCCCGAAGTCAACCTTGCAGTCATTGTCTTGATCCACGAAGCCATACCCTTTGCGTCGCCTCTCCCTGACTCGACTGCTCACAAGCTTCTCGCTGGGGATACCTCAGAACTCCCCAGGAAAGCATTCGTCTCGCAAAGATCCACTGTGCGCCAGTTCAACGAACCATTTGTGGTTGCCGGTCACAACTGGTGCCAGGTGCACTCTGTAGAATACTTTGTTTGGGCGAAAGGAGCTGACGGCGCATCTATTGATGTTCGCAACAACAACCCTCTGCTGATGGCACATGGGATAAGTTTGTACTTTGCCTTCTCTTGCTTTGTAGCTCATAACTTCACACAGACATTAGGACTTACATCAAACATGAGCGCTGTCACCACCATGCTGGAGAAAGGGCTGGGCCAGATGAGGGACTCGATGGTCACCTTGACACGCGAGCATGATAGTGATGCTGATTGCTCCGCACTCGAAGGTGCCAACCCCACACTCCCAATCAAATGGGGCCTCGGCGCTTCAGGAGTCCTGAGTGCGATAGACATCACTGCCTACCAGCGCTATCAGACGTGGATCAGAGGTATCAAGCGTGACCATAACCCCTTGTTCTCAAGGAGCCAGAGGGTGTTCAATAACCAGCGTCGACTCATGCACACTCCGTCACTTGCCCTCACTTGCCCAGGTCCAAAGGCACTGGTACACACGGCACTACTTCTGAGACTGGTCATCAAGAAAATGTGTTAATTGTTGAAATGGTAACACAATAGATGTGTAATATACGAAAGTCCAATACTAGTGCAATATCAAGGTAAAGCAATGACAGATCGATGAACAGATGAGTCCGACGATTCATAAAGTAATTGGTATGACAGGGTCCCCAATAAGACTGAGACGCCCTCTGCTACGGGCTGATGGTCTCTTGGTAAGTGGGGTGCCGTGCAATACGGTGTGGGGAACATCAGTGTTGATGCGCAAGTCATCTATGGCATCGGATAATGGCGTGGACGGGTAGGTCTCTTCGTACTCTTCTCCATGCATGTGCAGTTGGAATGTCTGCGGTTTAGTCCTGAACCTGTCGACCCACTGCAGTGTTTCGAAATCGACATTTCGCACCCTTCGACTGCGACATCTCCACTTCATTGCCCCTCCATCGAGAGTGCTTGCTTGACTGGCGTTCCGAGCGTGGGCCGCGGTTCGCGCACCTGCTCGTTCACAGTATCCGCTGAATACTCGTTTTTCGGGAGTCGCAGAAAGCACACGAGGATCTGACGGAAGGAAAAGAGGCAGCATATGACGAGAATCTAGAAGCTCCCCTAGAACTTGGGGTGCTTTGGCTGGTTCCCATTCAGATTGTGAGTGCGAACGATCGAACAAGTTGTCGATGCTATGCTGGGCGACAAATGTTTCTGAAGATGCGTTAAAGCTTGCATTAGCTTCGCTCGCCATGCCATCTTCAAGCTCACGTTCCCGCTCACGCTCGCCCATCTGGTGGGTGCGTTAGTTTCGCTCAGCAAAGATAGCAGTCAGGGTAATACCTCCTTGCGCAGGGCCTCAACACCCATCTTAACACGATGGCGTTCCCAGTCCTTTTGAAGCTGCGTCAGATACTGAATGCACTCGTCTGTCATCCTCCCCTCATGAACTTCATATTTGTAATCTCGCACAGCACGTCGCATCTGGGTTTAAGCGGTAAGCATAAAGCCGTGATGTCCGAAAAATGACTTGCTTGCAATGGGTTAATGCTCTTCATTGTCTGTATGGTAGCCACCAGATTGGAAAAATCCGTAATTGACGACAGGCACTGTGATTGCGACATTGAGTGGGCAGCAAAGTAAATTCGAGTATTGAGACCTCACCTGAAGCCAATTCAGTAAGTCCCGTACAGGTGTAAGATGGGATGCAATTCCACGAGGTAGACCCATATCCTCTATCCACTCTTCCAACACAACTAGATTCATGCCGATCTGTACCGCTTTAGACCTATGCTCAGCACGTGAGCACTGACAGATTGCCTTTGCAACAAATACATACCGGCAGAGGTACTTTTTCCTGGTCAGAATTCGATTGAATATTTCACCTGATGTCACGAGTCAATTATAAGCGAGTAAGAATGGAAACTACACTCACACGAAGTCCAGTACATCACTTGAGACCAAAATTGAATCATTAGCACAGGATTGACGTCCGATAGGGTTAAAAGTGTATGTAGCGCCGTCAAGAATGAAGTCAGGTCCCGCAATCCTGTAGTTTTTGGGACGTCAGAATGCGTGTTGAACGCTGTTGAAGGTGTTTTTGCGCGTGAAAGGGTTTGTCTCAACGATGACAATCCTTTAGCTGGGACAGGCGCGGGACCGAGTAACAAGGGAGACGGAGATGGTGGACGACTCGGTAGAAAAGGAGGTGAAGATGGTGTGCTACTCTTGGGTGTCCCATGATTTGGAGTATTTGTTGTACTCTTCTTCTTGGCGCTAAACGGCCTCAAGAATGACCACTCCGATTCGAACTGCACGGATTCAAATTCCGACGCCACGGGCGAACTGTCCAGTATCGCTGCGTCCAGTAATTGATCTATCCTACGCTCGGCGTAACCGAATGATGAATACTTCAGACGATGTCAGGAATGAAAATACGACTAGAAGAAACCGAATGAAACTCACCAAACACAGAGTTGATCACTTGCTCGAGGAGCTCGAATGAGCCCAGCATTTCACAACCCTCGTTTATGGCGTTGTCGCATTGCATGAGGTGCAACCATATGGTGGCGTTGTATAAACAAAATACAAGACAAGTGATATCTTCTGAACGGCTCTACGTGACTGGATTAGCGGTGAGAGCATAGAAGTAACAAGTATGCACACAAAGAACTTCTCTTCGATTGCATCTGTCGCTCCTAATACAAGATCTTCAAGCCATGTTTGATCGCATGTTAAGCATGCAAAACGCGCCATAAGGTATAAAGTAATGGCAGGTTGAGAATTCCGAACAGAAGTATGGGAGGGTCGTGATAACTGCATCGAAAATATGTGAAAGCTCTTGTGGCGACCATGCGAGCATAGACGTAAAGTCTAGTTTTGGAGTCTCCATAACAAGATAAGGCAACCGCAAGTGGAATTCCAAGAAAGATATGTGACTTACATACAGTTCTTCGTCAAATTGATCATCCTCGTCATCCTCGTCATCCGAAGAGAAGCCTTCATCTTCCTCATGGGAATTCCACCATTGATTCTGTAGGCCAAGCACTTTTGAGACATTCTCGCGTACACTTTTCTGTCTTCCTTTACGTTTGAGCTGCTCGTCCAACGCTCTACGCTTCTCCTCCATCCTGCCTCCCATCCACCCTTGGCTCCGCATTGCTTCTTCGAGCAACAGCGCAATGTCATCACGCCCTGGCAGAACAGTGTGAGCAGTCACTATATCGAGCGGTGTCAGCCGTCGACGTGTCTCTGCGAAAGGGGAGCATCCATGTGTCATCAAATGGGAGACCAGAGTTGGGGGGCAAAGAATTGCAGCGTGATGCAGGGCAGTCCAGCCGGCTAATAGCGAAAATGTCAACAACTGGGTGAGATGGAACCGATGTACTCGCCTTTATCAGCACAGGTAGCATCAGCTCCTTGTGCAATCAGCAGCCGAACACACTCTTCACGTTCGACATCTCTTTCCGATTCAGACCCGAAACCTAGGATTGCAAGACTGATCAAACTAAGCCCGTCTTCGTCGCGTGCGCTGAGGTCGATATAAAGTTGTGATTGATGGTCAGACAGAAGATATTGGAGAAGAGATAGATCCCCGAATACGCATGCTCGTGACAGTGAATGGGATACCAGTTCAGACTTTTGGGAGGGTACTAAGCCCGAATCGGGGTGATAGCGAGTGGGATATGAGACTTGAACTCGGATACAAAGGATGAAGATCAGGCTCCGGGGAAAAATCCAGTGGTCCAAGCGATACAGGGATCATTGTTATGATAAAACTTTTGAGTCACTGTCAGGCTCTGTCAGGTCACTGATAACAGTAGAGCAGCAATAACCGTTGCCAGTTACCGCGTTGACCACCAGACGGAACCTATCTTGTCCTCGTGAAGACCGCGAGACGAAAATATTCCGTGACAATCGCCTGTACAAAAAATGGTCTGTAGGGCCTCGATGCTTGCGAGAATGGCGTTAAAGCTAAAATTCAAACATGTTCGTGTAGCTCACTAGTGTGAACAAAATGATTAGTTGTCCAAATTAGAATTGGACTGATTTCAAATTTGCCTTCAACTTCGACCACATCATGCCTGTTAAACGGCTAAAACTCTCAGAAGATAGCGATGTTGACGCGTCTGGTGCAGACCACGAACAGAGTGATAATGATCTCGAAGCTGAAGCACAGCAATCCACGACTTCTATTTCTTCATCGGAAGACGACAATTCTCCAGACACGGAGGCTGAAATTGCGGATAAAAGAATAACAAAGTCGAAGAAAACATTAAAACGAAAGCGGCGGGCAACAGAGCCTTCACAATTTGGTGCTACCCCTGCAAGGCCTGCTTGACACCATTGCACCGTCGGACCTGCCGTTATCTCTCAAACCTTCTATCGCGCGCCAGAAAAATGGTGCAAAGCTTGAATTGAAGGCCCACAAAGTGATTCAAATAGAGAAGAAGGAAAAGGCGGACAAAGGACGCATACGGGATGTTATTGGAGGTTGGGGCGGCGAGAGTGAACGCTCCTTGCGCAAGGTTGCTCAACGAGGAGGTGCGTATCATAATGTTGCTTGCATTATCCCCTGATGCATTGAAAATATCTCAAGTGGTGAAACTCTTTAATACTATTCAACAATCACAGGTAGCGGCAGGCGTAGCTGCCGAACAGTCAAAAGGCTTGCGAGGAACAGGGAAACCTACTCTTCCAGCACCCCTGTTGGACAAGAAGCCAAAAGGAAAACAAAAGGCCAAGGACAAGGACAATATTATCGGGAGAGGAAATCCAGGTTGGTGTCTGAATTGATGTGGCAAACCTGAAGTGACATATAGCTTTTACAGCAACAATTGGGAAGGACGATTTCTTCGACATGATTAGGTCAGGTGGCATTGTCTCAAAAGTATAGGCGGTTTGCATCTAGTCTTCCCTACACATACCGTATACGAATGAAGATAACCGTTTCTTCATAGTTTTCTCCCCAACGTCGGCATGACATCTGTTCAGATGATTCATCAGGGGCTAGTAGGCTCAAAACACCTTACTCGTCGTAGCTCGCAATGAAGGAACTTGCGTTGTATTGGCAGTATTAGACTGTGTACGACAGCTGGTAACGGTTCGCATTCAAGAGCGACCAATTACTTCGTGCAATATGATACGGTCAACCCTTTTTGTGCCACGATTCTCAGCCTCATCTCCGTCTACCGCTGACATCGGACTTCGATTCACCCGCGCGTCATTCATACACGGGAGAACCTTTGGCTCGTATCTTGAGAACTAAACGCGATTTTGGGTATGGATTTTATTATTGATGCGACCCAGCATGTTTGTAAGCTGGAGTTAATGATTAAATTTTAAAACGACGCTGCAAGTGATACAGCACTGAGCAGAAGTTACATGCGGCGTTGAGTCTTACATTCGAGCAGTCATTTCGACGCCTGCTTTCCATGGACACATGTGATATTGGTTGTTCATTTCCATTTTCAAGCATCCCTGTATGTACTTGAATCTGATCATTATGATCTCCGAGCAGGGAGTACTATCCCCTACATCATTTCGTGAGTCACTTTTTGGGGTGGAAACGTGATGGTTGGTCACGCGATGTAACGGTAAGTCACAAAAAATCGTGACTCACGATTCTGGACCGAGATAGTATTGACTAATTTTGGTCATTCATGGCTATACATATGGATACTACCCGACGATAGAACATTACTGTACTGGTATAAGTACTGTCTGCACCTATAGGGCCCTGCTCCGTGGCTAAGAAGACGATAAACGAGTCAAAAAGATGTGAGGACTGCGATCTGGATTCGGCGGCGTACTATTGACCGAAGGTTGCCAAATCAGAACTCAATAAGGTTGGCACATTGCCAAACCTGCCCTGAAGTGGCGCAGAGCTTAAATTCCTTTCACCTTCACCCTCGTCACATCTATGGTGTGTATTTTCAAGCTTCATTCGTGCGGCATGTCTCTTATGATTGTCGGCCAAACTTCAAACTTCAGCCTCCGAGGACCACAATTCGTAAAGAAGAGTGGGAGCGACGTCTACGCGAGGTTCAGGTCACAAAAGAGTGAGTGTTTGTCTTTAATTTCTGCGCCTAAAAGATGAAAAATCATCAATGGGAATCTCTCTGAAATATGAGATGAGAAAAGATATTGCATGTATTATCTGATATATCCTCGTTACACGCTGTATTTTGAGCGTTTACTGACATTCTTGCTTGTTAGTGACTTGAACCGACTTATTATGGACTACCTCGTTATCGAGGGATACAAGTCTGCCGCAGAGGAATTCAGCGATGAAGCCAATGTTCCACCACCTGTAGACTTCGAGAGTATCGAAAGTCGCATGGTCATTCGAGAAGCCCTACAACGGGGCGATATCGAGGAGGCTATTTCCCGCATGAATGACCTGAATCCTGAGGTGGGTCACATTCTTTTTTCGTAACTTTATATCAAGGACATAAGATTAAAACGTTTCATGCACCACTCTCAGACTTCTTCGGAAGTCGGTGATGATATCTGTAAACCAAAACTTCAGTCTTCAATATGATCCGTCCTTGATCTATTTCACATGTAGAATGGACGAATTCTTACCCTTGCATTTCCAGATCCTTGATACGAACCCTGCATTGTATTTTCACCTTCAGCAGCAGAAGCTAATTGAGCACATTCGGCATGGGCGTATCACAGAGGCATTGAAATTTGCACAAGACGAACTCGCGCCAAGAGGTGAAGAAAGTCCGGAGTTTCTTGCGGAGCTGGAACGTACGATGGCACTTTTGGCGTTCGACTCTTCATCCTCGGCACCTCCAGCTATTTCCGAACTTCTTTCGCCCGCACAGCGGATGAAAACTGCGGGCGAGGTTAATGCCGCAATTCTTGAAAGTCTTAGCCAGGGAAAAGAGGTAAAGCTGGTGCAGCTTTTGAAGCTTTTGTGTTGGAGTGAGGGGATGTTGGCAGAACGTGCAGATTTTCCCAAGGTCTGTGTCTTGGCATTTGGATTCGATTGGTTTTGCTCAACTGAAGCTCTTAGATTGATCTTCAAGAGGGATTAATGGTGACGGGGAGAAAAAGAAGCAACAGCAACAGATGATTCCATTATGCGAGAATGAAGGACACTGTACAGTATAGCAGAGGGTGTTACAGGACGTAATATGGCCGAGTTGAACATGTGATGAATGGGCACTGGCCTCAGTTCTAAGGATACGAGATTGTTCCTGACTGGCCTGTAGGATTACGGCCCCGTGGAATAACCGTTGTTCACTGATCTAACTCGGTTTAGCCACGGTGAGAGTAACCCGCCGGGGTTGCGACTTGATGGTAAAACGAAGAACAACGGCAAGAACAAGGAGGTACCATAACCACATGCATGGCGGCCATGAGGCAGTTTGATATATACTATCGGTGCATATATATATGATAGAATTGATTTTTTTGGGGGTTTTTGTTTTGAAAACTCCCCCTTGAAGTTTACTTAAGTAAGCTCAGCTTATGGCCGTATGCCACACTTTCTAGCGCTAACGGGCAAGTTTGACCACCTTACGACGACTCTCTTCCTTGCTCATACTCGTCGTCTGAGTATCAGTCCTCTTTATAAGTATTCTTACTAGGATATATAAACCCAAGGTGTGCTTTTCCACCGTCGTCAACGATCCATCGTACTAGCAATGGCTTACAAACAGATCAGGAAACCGCTGGAGAAAGCTGTTAATGCCCTCTTACACTATGTCAGAGGATACTAGGTCGTCGAGCGCACCTAGACCTCGTCGTGTCCTCGTTTTATCAAATCCGGATCCAGGTGACTCTAGTAGTAGTGAGGATGAACGTCCTCGTTACCCCCACCATCATCCCCAGGCTTCTAACTCTTCCTTGAATCAACATTCAACATCAGTAATTCCAACTCCACCATTTCGTCCTCCAAGACCCCGTCCCGCTCCCCCCTTGACAACCGATCTACACCCTTATCCTCCATCCCGTTCAAATCCCAATCTATCCTCTCCTTCGAGTCAGAGCTCAAATGCAGTCGAATCAACTCCTCCACCAAGCACTCCTGGTCAAACGGCACACTCAGATTTGAGTAATTCAGTCATTGCTATTGATGATGGTATAGCGCTCGTTGAACGTACCGAGTCCGCTCAAGCTCCCACTCGTCTCCAGAAGATCGCCGATGTCCTCCACCTTCGCAATCGACCCTCACATCGACCTGTTGGCTCTGACGTTTCTCTCCATGTGAGCTATTTTTTAATTTTATCTTGTCTGGCCGTTATCTCACATTCATACTTTCAGTCTCTATCCCCTTCCTCTTCATCGCCGACTGTACCACCTCCGCCTCAATTGGTTATCATGGTAACCTATGACTGTCATGCCTATACAGCTGTCGACATCACAAATGCAAACAGCGCAGCTTTCATCTGGGAACGCATTTTTGCTGAAGTGCGCCGATTCTTCTTACTCCATTTCAATCCTGACCAAGCATCACTACAGCTCAAAGTGCCGCATGAAGATCAATGTGGACAGCTCTCCATTTATCGCACCCAAATCGGCAAAGTCGCAATCGGTGATCCACTATCAGACGATAGCCTAATCCGGCTGGTTCGTGGGCGAGGTGACAGTGAGGGAAGCTTGAAGTTCTTAGTTTGTCCTTCTCAAGCAAGGGTTCAGGACCCTTCGCTCCTTAGTTCCCCAGTCAAGTCCATGCCCCCGCCCCCCGTGCCAGTATCGGTATTCGGTCCCTTAGTCCCAAAGCCACGGGCACCCAAGTCTTCTCGCCAGGAGAGTGTATCTTCTGAAGATCTAACGCCGGATGCAGGCTATGAGCCATCTGTGATATCTGATGACATCGATGATTCAGACAACAGGAGTACGATGAGGCCACCTCCTCACCCTAATTCATCAGCCACCATGTTATCGTCTCCACCACACAGTGCACGATATGAAGACCGTCAACCTTCCCCCGCATCCGCAAAAACACCGCATTCGGCAGGCGTCGATCGCCATCGTTACGATGGACAGAGTCTTCCCCCTTCTACTCCTATTCATGAGAATTTCCTTAGTAAACACCACCTGCGGAGAGGTTCAGATGCAGAGACAGTTGATCAAGCTTTTCGCGACGTTGAACGTGCAGCGGAGCTAGCTGGGGAATGGACAAAACCACAGGATAGTGGCATCCATCGGGAGCGAGTTGTGATGAAACAGCGAGTGAAAACTTCCGACGATCATCCAGGACTCGCAGCCGCCCGTGACAGCGAGTCGGGATCTGTGGTGAGGAAGCCTTCTCCACCTTCGTCCTCGAGCAAGAGGAAACTGTCGCGCGCTGAATATTCGCCCCGCCTATCTCAGAACAAGCAGAAGGGGGGAGGAGGCAAGCCTGTTCCATCACACTATATATCCACCCATAAGCCAGCCGATTCTGTGACTCCCATAAAGTCGCTCAATAAAGCGAAGAGCACAGAGGTTCTCAAGGGCTCGAAGCCTCCTCTGCAACACATACTTCGCCCTTCACCGAGCCGGCCCCATCTTCCCACTCCGTCCAGTTCGGGCACCAATTCCTATCCAAGACCCCTAGATTTAGGACCCGGACCCAGACCCAGACCATCTCAAAGCAGGCCCGACATTGTCAATTTGGATACCACCACATATACTCGCGCTCAGCTACCATCAGCGAGCGGCACTCTTGGCTATCTGTCACCCACTACTCAGGAACCATACCCGCGCCCACATTCTGCCTCGCCCTCCCAGCAGCGCTACCCTACCAATGACGCACATCGCGACCGTGATGAATTTAGGCCCACTCACCAAACTCAGTCCAGCAGCGGCTCTTCAAGGTTTGGTGATTTTCCCCTGAGAGAGGATAACTATGGGGGAATCACCCTGCCGTCGTCCCTAAGACCTGGTCCTTATACTGGTGCGAACTGGAGCACCAATCCTCCATCTGAAACTCCTCCCCGTAGCCCCGTTACTTCTCGGCCGAGTACGTCGAATAATACATGCGGACTTACCTTTACTTCTACTGGGACGATGGTGCCTTCGAGTTTCAAGAATGATTCTGGTGCCAGCAGTCAGGAAAGCACAGCCACAGAGTCCACTTTACGTCCGGATGAAAGGGACAAGCTGGTCTGGGATATCAGACTCAAACCCTTCATAACGTCGGATTCCTCGGACGACGGAGTTGGCACTAATGAAACTTACGGGACCGCGTCTTCTGATCTGTGGTCGCGCAAACCCACGTCAGAGAACAATGACACCTCTAGGACTCCCGTGTCTGGTACCAACAAGAATCCTAGTCCTCCACGTCCCGCCCTTCACGTCACAACTCCAAGCTCTGGGCCCGGTAGTATGACGCGCGGTGTCCCAGCCAATTTCCCAGCACCACCTGATTTCATGCCACAGCTACGCCCTCCTCGACCGCGTACGCCGAAGACTAGGCACAAAAGCAGCACGTTTGAGGAGTCCACCTGGGCGCATCGTCCTCCTCCAGAGGATGTCTACGATCGACTCGAGGAGTTCTTCCCGGAGCATGATCTCGACAAACCCGTCATTGAAGCCAATTCTGGCGGGACATCGCCCACTACCATAGACCATACGTACGGGATTTCAAACATCGTTGATAGAGACAAGGCACTGGTACGACCGAAGAAGTCCATCCGTATCGTTGCGGAAGAACACAAGAAGCGGATAGATCGCTTTTCTAGGGGTGATATATCAGCCGACAACAGCATCTGGCGGAAGAGGAGCACGAAGTTATGGGGAAGTCGCATTGAGGAAGTCGATACCTCGTCGCAGACGAAGGCGAACTACAACAAGACGCTCCCTGACTCCCCGGCAGGTGGTCCTAGACGTGAGTTTTCTGCTTTTCTTTACTGTACTGAGCTAAATTGTAATTCAGCGATATTCAAATGGGTCCGTGGTGAACTCATCGGCAAAGGAACGTATGGTCGCGTATATCTTGCCCTCAATGCCACTACGGGCGAGATGATTGCTGTCAAGCAAGTTGAAATCCCCATAACCGCCAGTGACAGAAAAGACAACCGTCAGATGAGCTTCGTAACGGCACTCAAAATGGAAAGCGAGACATTGAAGGATCTCGATCATCCTCACATTGTGCAATACCTTGGATTCGAGGAGACACCGACGTTCTTGAGCATGTAAGCGCTGCGGAAACCATCTTTGATGAGATACTCATTTGTGTTTTCAGTTTCTTAGAATACGTGCCCGGAGGCTCGGTCGGAAGCTGTCTGCGAGACCATGGCAAATTCGACGAGGAAGTTACGAAATCGTTCACAGGACAGATTCTCGAGGGTCTGGAATATCTCCATTCCAAGAATATCATACACCGAGTAAGCTTTATCTATGATTGTTTGTTCGTACCTCATTGTTTTGCATAGGATTTGAAGGCAGACAATATCTTGGTGGAGAAAACGGGAATTTGCAAGATCTCTGACTTTGGTATTTCAAAACGCACAGACGATCTCAATGGCATGGCTTCTACGGCGATGCAGGGCACAGTTTTCTGGATGGCACCGGAGGTCATACATCCCCAGAAAAAAGGCTATAACTCCAAAATTGACATATGGAGTGTGGGCTGCGTCGTCCTTGAGATGTGGGCAGGGAAGCGGCCATGGAGTGATGATGAAGCTATAACAGTCATGTTCAAGGTCATTTCTTCGTATATGGTGCAAAGTGCGGTGTGCTCATGAGTTTGCTGCAGGTATACCAGAATAAGCAACCCCCGCCCATACCTTCCGACGTGGTGCTATCCGATCTTGCAAAAGACTTCAAGGATAGATGTTTCGCAATGCAAGTGTTGTCGTTTACCGTCTTGTTTGCCGTGCTCACGAACGATGCTTAGTGATCCGGAGGACCGCTCGAGCGCTGCGGACCTTCAACTACACCCATACCTGGAACTTCCAGAGGGCTGGGTATTCAACGATTTTAAGTAGGACCTCATTCGAACATTATTTTTTCAATGTCATTCCCTATATCACCCATTTCTTATCGCATTTGTTCCGATCGCGCATCTTTCTTTGTTGTTTCGCATGCTGTTTCATAATGACCATTATAATTTTTTGTACTTGTGGAGGGTGTGCTCATACATAATTGCTTCACGTATCCAAGTTGACTTCCGAACTATGTGACTAGAGTTTGATGTCCTCATAAATGACAGTTCCTTCACGAAGTTCACGGAATTCCGGTCAGTACTTCAAGTGACGATAAATTTGGATTGAATAAGCGAGACAGATTTGGGGCCCCCAGTGTTCCTGAGGCCTGATGACTTTCCGCAGCATTTAGAATCCTAGATTTCGATTCAAACCTTGAAATCCGCATTGTCATCTCGCAACCTAGAAATGCTTTCCAAACCGCAGACCAATTATATCTAGATTCTAATGTACAGTGTTGAAGTGTAAGCGACGGGTTACAACATATATAGTCACGGAGATTGAAAGGTTCGTTTAGGTATTTTGGACATGTTTCGAACCTAGGGCCCTTCTAGATATCACTTTAGAAACTGGGTGTTTTTACATGGGGACACTGACGTTTAACAGCAGGACGAGGACTTTGCAACGACGTTCTAAACGCTGTGTGAAGTCACCCACAGTAATTGTCAAAGACGGTTGACACACCATTTCCGACTTCGAACGCATTGCATGATCAGAAGTAGAACAACTGAAGTGACGGATCGCCAGCTCAAATAATTTTTTAGCGTTTTGGTGACACGATCATGCTCACAACCTGTGAAAATCTGGCACCGATGTATTGGGCTCGAGAGAATACCGACCTTGTTGCTAGTCTTCTAGTGCGTGGGCTAGATCGACACACGTTGTTGCCCCAGTTTTCTTCGTCGATCGTCACTGGAAAACGACTCTGGGGTGTCCCCCTTCAAGCGATAAGCTTAACAAGGAAATGTGGGGATTATTTCTAGCAAGACCGTGCCCACCGTCCCTGCGGAGCAAATTTGGGCCCTGCATCATCATTCTAGGAACATGGTCTACGATAGAGTGGACCGACCCCTGCTGTGAAAATAATATATAAGCTCAATGTAAGCTTTCAACTTGATCGCAGTGAATTAATGCTTCTATGAAATGCACATGCGCGACGTGATCTGAATTGAATTATGAATTGTTAGTTTTAGCGACCTTTCTGGAATAGTAACGAACATTCCACCAACCAGGGGGTTGACCCAAGCTTTCAAATGTAACGCGAAACTTGAGCAGATCTTGGGGCTTGGCTGAAGTCTCAAAGTGATCCTTACCACACTTCGCCTAGTACCGTACTATCCATGATGATGGTTCTATTAGTAACGGGGAGAGTGTTTGTCCCTATTTGGTTTAGAACCTTGTCAATCAGATCAGCATCCGGAATTGGACGAAATCAGAAATATCATGTGTTCAAGGCAGAAGCTTGACTTGAAGCGCCAGTCTCCCAAAGCTTGCCTCGCAAGTAAGTCGGAAATGTCTTGGTCTCTCCAGACTCCCCAAACTCCGGGCGTTCGTTCCATCAACGCGTGTCCCTACCCCACTCCCTCTAATTTTTCTTCACCTTGAAAGCGTCATAATGTAACACCCGGCTCCCCTCGTCCTCTGCTCTGGGAAATTTCCCCAGTTTGGCGTCATACGACCCCGCCAGCGCTACGACCCCAACCCATCCCGCCGTTCGGTGGAAAGCACATGCCTTTCCGAATTTCTGCTGCACCGCATTCACGCTGCGCGTTGCGCCAAAGGATGCGCTTCTACTCCTATAATTCAAGGGGCACGTGCTTCAGGTGCAGCGCTCTGCGATGGTGTCCCGGGATCTGGAAGAACTGTCCCAGGAGGCTGGATACGAGCATGATTTCGAACTCATTGTCATCCAGGGTGCGGATGCTGAGCCCAGACAGCACGTACGAGGTAGAGAGGGTGGTCACTGGTAAGGAGTGCATGCCTTTAGAATCAGCGCCGTCGAAAATTGTTTGGAAGCCCAAGCAAAAATTTGATCGTTCGGTCCACAAGTCGAACCTCGCTTGTCGTCTTCGGCTACACTGTCTAATCTTGAGCCTGTAACGAATCCTTCTCCTACCGAGCATCCAATTTTCCAAGGCGTGCCATCAAACGAAATATTTCTTCTCTTTTGACGAGAACCACGACTGGCCATATGTCATGTCGCTTTCTATTCTGAGCTACCGGATGGCCCTCCCCGATCTCATACAACATATACTGCAAGTCTCGAGTGCATTCGAGAGCAATCGGTGAAGCTGGATGCGCTGTAGGGACTGGACAAGAAACAAACAAACAACCTGCCTTTATCCCACATTGTAACCGAATAACCCGAAGCAGATTGCACCTGACGAAGACGAGCTCCCCACGCTATTCGACCTCGGTAAATCCGAGAAATGCGTCAACAAGGAGAAGCAGTCTATCGATACGCCGAAATGGCCTCTGAAGTTGATTGTTGCCGTGTGAAGAGTCTCTCAGAGGGTCGACAATACGCTTACTATCCCATATGCGAGTTGTCTCGTTATCGCCTGATGAAATCTTGCAATGGCCATATGACAGAGTATACACCCCACTTTGCTTCATCTTGGTTTGGCGTGACTCAGTTTCGGGTTTCCTGCTTTTTAAATGAGTATTGTCTTGTCGTTTAATTCATGGGAGAAATGACCGCTCGGGGACCACGAAAGTGACCACACTGTCCTGCCACGGCCGATCCAAACCTTTCGATCATCTCTCAATCCATGTTTCACTGTTGGGCGCTTATCCTTCAGCTTGCAATTGTCTTGCCGTCCGCTGACAGCATCAGTGACAATATGCTTCTACCCGTACTTTCCATGGTTCACCAACAACATTAATATTTCCTGTGTCGTAGGTCCGATTCCCCATCTTGTTGCCCCTCATGTTGTGTACGCTGCCTTGCAAGAAGGCGAAACTCCTTATAGAATTCTCATTTCCCTCAAAATCATGCTTCAGATTTGGTCTTTTGGTTTGCACTTGTAGTGATGCTTCCCGAGGGGATCTAGGAGGCACAGCTTGTTACTGCAAGGCGTCTGGTGTGTTAATCGGCCTGTGTTGGCGATCAAACAAGTATAGGCGGTGTCAGTTTACTACTCAAGTACTCACGAGTTAATCTGTAGCCCGCGGAGTGATATGGATCGCATGCAAAGCGGTGCTAATCGTCGATTGGAGGCTGCCAGCTATGGCTCAATGATACATCTTTTTCTCCTATTACGATCTTCGCAAACCACGATGGGTGGCTGATAGTCCTCTTCATAGTCTAACCCGATACCTCGTAGCGGTGTATAGGTGTACGATCTCAAGATCTTCAGTCACCAGGAACATCACTCCCATACAGGCAAGCCCGAGGGCTCCTCGCTGATTTCAAGTCTCTCGTTCTTACTGCTGTTGAGGAGGAAATGGCAGGTGTTCCAATTTGACCCGAGTTCGCGCTTGTTGAGAAGGAGAAGGAAAACGGGCTCCCGGTCCCACACATTCAGAGGCGCAATCCTAATGCTTTGACTAATACTATACAAGCCGATGTTGAGAGACTATCGATGGCATCTCGATTCTATTCATCCACTAATGACCCTAGACTCACAAGTCTGCGCTGCAATGTAAACAGTTGGACCGGATCCCGTAGCCACAAACATGGAATAATGTTACTCTGATATTATGTGAGGTCTAATTTAAAACACTATAGCGTGATGAAACACCCATGTGAGGATGATCGCATCGGTATGTCAACTACTAGACTTCAGTGTGGGCTGCCTGATTTCAACACTTCTTGCATGGCCTCCCAGTCACCCAGCTCCATGGAAGCGTGTTTCACCGGACGTCCGCGCTTTTTTCCTTCATTACCACTCTGGGTGGAAGGGATTTTGGCATCGATCACCTGTCCTGATGTCTGCTGCGCAAGATGCTTAATTTCAGGGAACTCAGAGGTAGCTTGGGCTCGCAGCCAAGCCGCGCTCTCAGCACGATGAATAAGGCAGCTAGGAAGCTCATAGCCTTTGTTATGCTGGTCGGACGCTTTGGAAGGCGAAGAGTCCGCAATCATGGGGCGTCCATCTTTCCACAACGAACCGCTATTTGTTTTATCCAAAATACCGGCAATACTCAGACTTTCTCCAGGGGGGATAGGGTCAGGATGAGAAGGTGTGACACATGGCATATCAACCTCCTTTCTGAGGACTTTGTCAATGTCAACAGCTGAGAAGAACGCGACCCCTTGAGGTAAGTCATCCATTCCTAGTTTAAAGGCAAAAAGGCTCCGTGTCCATAGATTGGCGATCTGCAGCGCGAGTGCAGCTCGATAGCGATCTTCTTCGACAACCAAGTAGCGTAACTCGTCGTGCACCGAGATGAGATAACGTGCCTTGATACCATATTGTCTGACCAGATGGTCCATTGCGACAATGAGAAGGTGCAAGTAGTCGACACCAGAGGACTGCACGACCCAGTTTATACGTGATGTCATGTAATCTGAACCAAATTTTGCCGGAAGAAGTTCCTTTGACAGGGCAGCTGTGATTCCGCATCCGAGAGCTGGAGTTCGTGGTTGATCAGAGAGCGCGATCTCTTCTAGCTTGTTAAACACGAAGCTCTCCGTTCCACCAAACCAGAATTTCCTCCCAAATAAATCCGTACGATGCGTGTTCTTGCCCTTGGTTGACGCATACAAATTTTCTGCGAGACGTTGAGCTTGATCGGGCAGCATACCGGCATTCGACTGTAGGAGGAGGAGGACTGCATGACGCATCCCAGCACCATAGATTCGGGAATAGTTGAACACCTTCGCTTGGTCACGAGAGATGCCCAGGATGCTTGCTGTCTTTGAATGAAGATCTGTTCCCGCGGCTTTGGTGCCTTCAAGGGTCATCCATCCAAGAGCCGTAGCACCGTGTAATCCAAACTGTGCGTCGCCCATACAGCTCGAAATCCATAGCTCTTCTGAGTCCACATCCGCGCCAACGATGGCGTACCCCTTGGGTGCGCGCACCATGGCTTTGAGCTCTGAACCAACGCGGTTTTTCTTCGCGTTGCTTGCCGTGAGCCATGTCCTCTCGATAGCGCGGCGCGTCACAGTGCCCATTGTAATCACCTGAGGAAGGATGATACCCCATTTCTGGGGTTCGTCCGAAGATTCAGGTGGTTCGAACTGTAGATCTAACGCTCCCCGCTGCCAGACTATCATCTGATTTAAGATGCGATCACGCGCGCTGATCCAATAGCTGCACTGCGCGTTCATGTCCAATGCATCCTTCGCCTCATCGCCAGGGCTCGTGAGCGTCCCATCCTGCGCATATTTCATGAACGTTTTCCCGAGTGGACTGCCTACGTTCGCCTTCTCTCCATCTTTATGTGGTAACTTGTAGAAAACAAACCCTCCCTTCAACCGCATGTCTTGTAGGGTGTCATCCGTAGAATCATAGAAATCAAGCTGAGAAAAACGGGTAGGAAAATCGGCGTCCCCTGGAACGCGAAAGGTCCAGCCATGTTCCCGGGAGTAGAAGAGTGGCCAGCCTTGCCAGGATAAACGAAGGAGAATTGGGGCAATGCGATTCCGTACTGTGACGTCCAGCGTGCCGGGAGGCATGTCTTTCTTGGGCTTCGCGAGATCCCAGTACCACTTCGGCCAAAATACCTTTGGTTTGGCCTCCTTAGGAGCGGACTTCTTACGTCGGGGGGAAGAATCGGGAATAGTCGATGAGCACGCTGCCGTGGAGTCAAGCTATAAAAGGAAGAAGTTAACAGAAGTTCGGTACATTGTCATCGAGACACACCTGTTCGGCGGGCACGACGCCCCTAGATTTCCCTGCTACTTTGGGTGTCCAATCGAGTTGGGAGAGCCAAGGGTCATCCTTCCAAGACTCGTCCCTCATCCTATCCTTGGCTTGCTCTGCGAGTTCGACAAGGCGCCTTTTCACTTTCCCATCCAACTCCTTGTAGACCCTATCTGCATCCGCAAGATATGATTCCCAGGACTCGTTCACCGTCAAGAAACTGGAACCCATCGCGAGAATGCCAGCGAATGACACGGGACTAGGGCAGCGGTCGAGGAAAGCCGTCAGCACCTTGGAGAAAACAGCGTGAATAACGAAGACGTCTTGCGCGCAGTAGTTGAGATAGTCGTGAATATTATCCGATATCTCTTCTGGGGCCAACTTCATAAAATCACTCCTGACCTCCTTATCCATCATGATATTGCAGTGCAGCTTAGCGACATCAGCCAGCGAATTGGCAGAGGTCAGGTCTTCCCAGCGCTTACTCGAAAGATCAGCTTCAACGGCATCGGTATCGGCAGCTTCGAGCTGCGGAAGGCTCTCCTCGAGATCAGTACGGAGACGGCGTAGTTCTTCTCGTTTGATTTCATCGTCCTCCTGGTCATGTTTAATCTCCACATCACGCATGAGTTCCATGACGGCCTCGACCGTTTCAGCACGACGAACTTTCTGAGTCTCCTTGGATTTGCGGTGCTTCATCCAAGCAGGTCTTTGGTGGGAAGATATTCCCTTCACTGCAACATGCAGAGCCATCGTATCGAGGAAGCGGGACTGCGTCCCAGGTAAGCTGTATTCCTCCAGAATGCGCGCTCGGTCGTAGCAGACGTTGTGACCAACGACTACGCGCGGGGAACGCGCATCCCCCAATGGAATGAGGTGTTGTTGCTCAACCGATTCCCCGAGTAACCAGGGCGATATCCAACTGTACCAGGCATTCTTTGAGGCAGCACATGCCATGATAGCATAAGGATGATATGTGGGCATGGTTTCTACGTCAAATGTGAGCACTTCTTCCGCGTTCCCCTCGTGCTGTGGGAACTCGACATGCTCGCTGTAGCTCGAACCATCAGCAAGGAAGTGATATTTCGTCCATCCCGACTGAATGTCCCAATGATCGGGTTTTGGAGGAAGTTCGTTGGATGCAAAATCTTTCGCGATGTTTAGCCACGGTTGAGCGGACTGACTGCCGATTCTGTGGAAATGCTCATCGATGTTTGAGCCTAGCAGGGGTGGGAGGGTGAAGCCGATATCAGGAAGAACAGAGCCTTGTTTGGGGTCCAGTCCATGCATTTCGAGATGCTCCTGTGCAATACGAACGAATGCTTTCGATGGTACAGGAAAAGAGAGGTCGCGAAATATTTGCGAATGTAATTCCCGAGAAAGGAGCTGAACTCCAAGCTCATTGCGCTTGACTGTCCGATATAATTAGTTGCGGGAGAATGGAATTGAAGCGACATAGCACACCATGCTTCACTGTTTTTTCGACTACGTCGCGTTCTCTTTCTCTCCCTTTTTTCACGTCAGTTCCGCCTATGACAGGTCGCGGTTGTACATGGTTATAATGTTGCTTCTGCTTCTGAACGAGTGCAGCTGCTCGAGCAGAGGTATGCAAGTGCCGAGCCGATCCACTGGGTTTCCGCACAAGATTTAGCATCCGTGAGTGGTTAGCATTCAGGTCGGACTTGCGCTACTAGATCTCGCGCGGGCAGAGTAAAAGTTTGTACAGGTCGCAGCGGAATGAGCGATGGGATCTGAGGATATGGGATTGGTTTTCTTCCTATACAAGTGATTGCCACTGCGCGGGTCGTCTTGTAAAAGGAAATTCTGTGCGAGTTTGCGTCTAGTAATATTTGAGTAATATAGAAGATTTCTTTTGCGCATCAATATGCATAATGTAGTATATTTTGTACTGCGAAAATAACATTCGAGTCTGCGTGCATATGATAGTACGTTGCAGATGTCAAAGAGCTGTAATATCGAAATAAAAGATAGTTCGAGTGCGAGGGGTCAGTGGCTGCAAGCCGCTGCATGCAGCGGAAATCGGAACTCGCCGGACACTGACCGGTGCTGAAAGCGAACGTGAATCAGTAGGGCCGAGTGGTCCTCCAAGGGTAAGAAACATATTCCTGCCGGTTGTTGACATTCAAGATGGGAGTATTTTCTACTTGGAAAAGAGACATTCTTGAGGGACAGCGAACGAAATACGCGCGATTGGAATACACAATAGTAGATACGACAAGAAATGGCCGAAATAGTTAGGGGATGATAAATATGCCTGAATGAGGTCCTACTTGAAACCGTTAAATACCCAGCCCTCTGGAAGCTCCAAGTATGGATGTTGCTTAAGCTCTACAGTGCTCGCCCGTTCCTCCGGATCACTAGGTATCATCCATGAGCACAGCAAACAAGACAGCAAATGACAAAACTTGCATTGCGAAACATCTATCCTTGAAGTCTTTTGCAAGATAGGACAGAACCACATCGGAGGATATGGGCGGGGGTTGCTTATTCTGGTATACCTGCAGCAAACTCATGAGTGCACCGCGGGTAAGCGGTACATACGAAGAAACGAACCTTGAACATGACCGTTACAGCTTCATCATCACACCATGGCCGCTTCCCTGACCACATCTCAAGGACAACGCAGCCCACGCTCCATATGTCAATTTTAGCGTTATAGCCTTTGTTCTGGGGATGTATGGCTTCTGGGGCCATCCAAAAAACCGTGCCCTGCATTACATGTGACGCCGTTCCACTGAGATCGTCAGTGCGTTTTGAAATTCCGAAGTCAGAGATTTTACAAATCCCTGTGCTCTCCAACAAAATGTTGTCTGCTTTCAAATCCTATGCGAGACGATGAGGTATAAATTCAAATAGTCAAAGATCAAGCTTACTCGGTGTATAATATTCTTGGAATGAAGATATTCCAAGCCCTCGAGAATCTGTCGAGTAAACAATTTTGTAACTTCCTCGTCGAATTTGCCATGATCTCGCAGACGACGTCCAATCGAGCCACCGGGCACATATTCCAGGAAACTGAAAATTTAAATGAGTATGCTTGTCAAATACGACTATAGTTTCCAAGGCTTACATGCTCAAGAATGTCTTTGTCTCCTCGAACCCAAGGTACTGCACGATGTGAGGATGGTCGAGATATTTCAACATCTCAATCTCCGTTTTGAATGCTTGTACAGATTCCATTTGTCGGTTGTCTTTTCTGTCACTAGTACTGGTAGCTATGGGGGTTTCAACTTGCTTGACAGCGAACATCTCGCCCGTGGTGGCATTGAGAGCGAGATACACACGACCATACGTTCCTTTGGCGATGAGTTCACCACGAACCCATTTGAATACTAAATAACAACTTAGCTTAGCGCAACAACAAAGTAAACAAAAGACTTGCTCCTGCCAGGACCACCTGCCCGGGAGTCAAGGTTCGCCTTCGTCTGTAATGGGGTGTCGACTGCCTGGATACGAGGGCCCCATAGTTTCGTATTCTTCTTCCGCAAGACCATCGTGTCGGATGATGGGTTACCCCTGGAAACGTGATCTATCCGCTTATTATGCTGTTCCGCAACAGTACGGATGGACTTCTGTGCTTGTATCAGCGCTTTGTCTCTGTCAACAATATTTCCGTAGGTCTGTTCTACGGAAGTAGGCGATGTTCCACGAGAATTTTCAATGCTGGGTTTGTCGAGATCATGTTCCGGGAAGAACTCTTCGAGACGCTCATAGACATCCTCCGGAGGCGGACGATGCGCCCAGGTGTGCCCCTCGAATGTGTTGCTTTTATCTCTGTTCTTCGTCCTAAGCGGTCGAGGAGGGCGTAGTTGAGGTATGGGATTGGGCGGTGCTAGTGAATTTGGCAGGACACCGTGTATCATACTACCAGGGCCAGAGCTTGGAGTCATGGAGTTTAGAGGGAGACATGGAGGACCAGCTCATCGCCTGAAGTCTCGTGAGACGCTGATTGGCGCCAGTGTCCTGAAACATGATGGGCCGAAACACTGCTCCACCCGAAACGGCTCCCTACTCACTCGGAGTCTTAGTCTCCGTAGGCAGACCATATAGAAGGAACTTGAGTAGTTGTTCCTTTCGCAGTCTGACGAAACGCTGGAACATGTCAACATGAATCATCCTCCTTCCACCAGGGTCCAGCACGAGATATATTTGGGCTCACCGACCGAATCCGCATCACATCCCCCATGATCCTTTTTCGAGTATCAACAATCCAGATCTCCAAATACTTTCTCACTCCTCTTCTCACTAGTCTGCGCACAAGGGACTCCCTCATCCCAGTCTCGCTCACGTACCCAGTGAGCGACGTTCTACACTAAACGCCAATGCATACCATCGGCATCGGAAGCAGGACTGGCATGACGTCCTAGGACCTACATGCAGCTTATCGCGAAGCTATGGGTAAAATCGACGTCGAAGGGTACTAAGAGAAGTGTAAAAGAGTTAAGGGAGACCGTATATCATGCACACGACATATGGATTCATAGAGAGCATATCTAGTGTACTAGATTCCTCAAGCTTTCTTCCTGTCAAGTTAAACCAATGACTTGTATGACGGTGTGGCAAACTTTTCGAAATTCGAGGTGTGGCAGATCATCCGAGATGAGACGATCGGAACCGGCACCTTTTCCGATCGAACCAGCCTGAGAGACATCCAGGCTGAGGGACGATGGTAATGAACTTCTATAAGCCGAAAGCTATCTTTCGCATCTATTACATTACGATGCACTAAAACTTTGAAAGGTACTTCACACGAGTGTATCTTGCACCTGTTGTAGATATACTGATGACACCTTCCTCCTGATGATTCACGCCCTGGTCCATCGACTTTCAATGTCTGAAATGCGAACATCGACTTTAGCCTGAAGTGGGACTCCGTGGATCGTCACGATTATGAAGTCAGAACAAAGTACTTGCCTTACCTTCTCGTCATAGTCGACCCAGTCATCATCTTCAAGTTCAACATCAGAGAAGCTGGTGCCGGTCTTCTCCCTTGCATGTCCATCGCCCTTTCTGTGCAGTTTCATATAATGAGATTTCAGAAACACGATAGAAGAAAAATACAAACCGGAGCAAAATCTGTGAACTCTAACCCACGACATTCCATCTTCAATAGGGTGGCAAATTGTCCATTTGATTCGGCGGAGTATGGTTTTGACGGTTCAGCAACAAAGCTAGCGGAGCTTTCCTTTTTACAATTACCACAACGCCAAACGAGATGAGCTGAGCCTCTGCTATTCGAGATATTTCGTGTTTCCTGGAGGAACGAGATGGAATCCTCCATCATCATGGAGTGAATATACGTACCGATCTTTTCATCGTGACGAACTTCTTATGTTCCTCGTGACAACTATTGCAGACAACCTGTACGGGGTATTCAGAATACAAGACACGATGAGATCACCGAATATCACTTTGAAGGAGTACTCGAAATCATCACCAGCAGGGGCGAGATCTGTGACGTTCTCCAGCTCAGCTTTGATTTCCAGTTTCAAGAACTTTTCAGAATTAACATATGGAGGTCTTTCCGACGTAGCGAAAGAGACTTACGACCATGATCGGATGATGTATCTTTCAAGTTTATGGTGTGTCATCATTACAAGTTCATGAATGATCAGAATTTGTTCTTGTTTGCGTACTTCCATTTTCGAGGTCGGCCCATTAGACGAGCTCTTCGAGTTCCAAGTTGCATACTCCAACATGTGGTTGCTTCCGCCATGTCGACGCGGTCTGCCTTCAATGATGGCCACCAGGCAATTTCATGCTACTACACAAGTGTCCATGCGAAAAAAGATATCCAAGGCGTCGAAAGCAGATGACGAAGAAATACTTCAGCACTTTCAGCCAGATGGAGGATTAGATGTGCCAGTGGCCGGATACCTATTACACCGTCAGCAGCGGCAGACATTATACTACATGCGACTAATTGAGCACGAGATTCCAAAACTCGTAGGTCAGCCATTATTGACCATCCGAATTAAAGACGTCTACTCATTCGCATTTTAAAAATTTAGCGTTCCGCAAACCATTTGTCCCTCCAACTGTCCGCTACACCCCTCGTCATACGGTCCGTCGATTTTGCTGGGGAACAACATCCATTGACAGCTAAGCGGAGTGTTGTCGTTCCGGTCGCGCATCTTCCCCTGCGGAACGAAGTAGCTTTTCACAGAGCGAAACTCCTCGCCGGCGTGCGGTGGATGCCAGAGCCCCCAAGAGACTCTGGTATTTCAACGGATGAGGATGCGGCCAAGCATGGTTTTATCAAGATTGCATGCGAGGACTTTCCGCGAGCCAACATGAATTTAAAATGGATCAGCGATACGCTTGATAAGCTGGTTCTCGAAGCAAATGTAGGTCGAGTTTGACGTCGGCTATCATCAATACTCATAATTGTTAGGCTGAGGGCGAGGCACCCTATCAGCGGCTACCACTGGATACCCGACATCTCGATTCTAAAGTGCGGAAATCGAAGAAGGGTGATCATGTTCGAGGCAGAGGTGGATTGCGTCCAAGTCTTAAAGACTTCCCCACGGAATGGCTTCCAAAGCGTCAAGAAGACGTGATATCTTCTGTACTTCCATCTCAATAATAGACTGTATCTCTGGACGGCCGCTGTTAATCGGTCCGACGTCATGATCACGAGTGTATGGTGAATCATCAAAAATATGTTATAAGCTCCATCGATGAACAAGCCGGCATCCTTTTCTCCCTATCTCCCCCATGGCGAATACGATTCGTGCGTCTGTGATTCAATCCTGCACTGCCCGTTTCAATCTATCAGAGACATTGGACAAATTTGAAAAGCTGACTAGACTTGCGAAAGAGCGTGATGGATCGCAGCTCGTTGTATTCCCCGAAGGCTTGTGAGTCCATCTTGGTCTGCATGTCGTGTTACCTATGGCATGTAACTCTTGCTCAGCATCGGGGGCTACCCGAAATGGTCGACCTTTTCATGCTTTGTAGGAGAGAGAATTTCTGAGGGCAGGGACGAGTTCGTCAGGTATTATAATGCGGCGGTTGAGATTCCTTCGCCAGCGACAGATCGTATCGCAGAAGTGAGCAAGGCGACAGGGGTTTTTGTGGTCATGGGGGTCATCGAGCGTGATGTTGGGACGCTCTACTGTACCGCCATATTCGTCGACCCCGTTGAGGGCCTAGTGGCAAAGCATCGAAAACTACTACCGACAGCATGTGAACGTTTCATCTGGGGGCAAGGCGATGGAAGCACCCTTCCCGTTGTATCAAAGAAGTTCCAATCCTCCGTCGAGCCAACGCGCACCGTCGAGACGAAGATATCCGCTACCATATGTTGGTGAGTGTCAACCCTGATCGTCCTCACCTGGGATCATGAACGAGTTGCATCAGGGAGAATTTTATGCCTTTGCGTGAGTCTTGAGGCTGATCTGAGTAAACCCCGCTAACTGTTTGTTTCTTCCAGTCCGAACTTATTATTACTCTCTCGGGACGCAAATCTATTGCGTACCGACTGTTGACTCGCGTGAGACTTGGGAAAGCTCCATGCGACACATCGCATTCGAAGGACGTTGTTTCGTGCTTTCTGCGTGTCAATTCGCGACCGAGAAAGACTACCCTCCGGACCATCCCGTTGCAGATGCCAGTGCTCGCAATCCTGACAATGTCATGATCAACGGTGGCAGCTTGATAGTCAGCCCTCTGGGAAAAGTACTCGCTGGTCCCACGAGGAAGCCCGAGGACATCTTGACTGCAAATCTTGACCTTGATGATGTTGTCCGAGGAAAGTTCGATCTCGATACTGTGGGGCACTATTCTCGTCCAGATGGTACGACCACTTCATTTTGACTTGAGATACGACTCATGGTCTGTGCTTAGTCTTTCAGCTCAAAGCAAACATCTCGCCTTGATTTAGGCAGGGGGGCCCATGCTCAGGAAAGAGGAGGAGAGTGTAACGACGATCTCTTATTATCATTTCTACTGCCAATATCATGTCTATCAAGTTGATGTATGCAATGAACATCGTGTTCACTTTTAACAGTTTCCACTGACATTGAATGTTGGACACTGTACGACCCCTATTCTTCCCAATTAATTATGCTTTGTACGACATGTGGCCCGGTACTAATGTGGCCGACGAGGACAAAGAGCGACATCCCCTTTCTCATGCTTCCACAGCACGCACAAAGTGATGCACAGAAATCCACCTGAAAGCGTCCACAACTACTATGATATAAAAGCTAGCTGGGTTGTAGACTCAGCAACACACACAACTTCCCTCATCACTTGAAGTCACTAAGCCGCGGCAGGTCCAAAGCCAGACTCTTCAGCCAAATACCCCTCGCACTACTTGCTATACATTCTATAATGTCTAACTTGCAAACTCCCGATGCACGCACTGCGCTTATGCAATCTGTCATTCTCTCACGTCACTTGCAGGCGAGTCCGGCGAGAATATCCCCAAGCTCTCCATTGCGGAGACCAAGCCGCATTTTCAACGTGCAGGACTTTGCTGGCCACCGAAAGCAGGTAGCTAGTCCTAGCAAGCGTAAGGCGCGCGAGGACAACATTGCCTTGGCGATTCGAGGCAGAACGATCTATAATTCACGGGTCAACCCTGCTACACCCAAGACTAGAAGCCCACGGAAGAATCCAATGAAGCCAACCGCTCCCTCATACCACCCCCTTGGAACTGGTGCACTATCGGAAGAGAAAACGTCGTCTCTAGATATTTTACAACGGATGGAAGCCGAGGAAGAACATCGAGAGAAGGACCAAGGTTTCCTGGTAGAAGCCAGAGGTGGCTCACCGAGCTACCAGGCGGAGGACAAGTCTCTCTGGATGGGCGTCTCTGAGTCTGATGCGGACTACCACATGCCGAGAGGCAGTGAACAAGGCACACCCTCCTCTGACATGGAGCATTCCCCATCTCGCTGGAACGCGCCGAAATTTAACTCAGGAGAGGGGGACTGGGAGACGATGTTTGACATGTACATCAAAGAGCAGGAGTGTATGGAAGCTATGATGCTTTAGGGAGGAACTGTTGGATAAATCACAATCAGCGTATAGCAATACGGTAATCACTCATTTGATAATACTTCCTGTAGTTAGTTATGGCACTAAGTATATCCTGCCGCGCACTATCATTTACATACCATCGAATCGTATAAACGCCCTTTTATGAGCGGCTGGCCCACACAGCCTGGTTGATATTAACGGCTAGAAGATATCGAATTGGGGAAGAATAAGTATTGAGTTAATCGTTTACCGAAAAGCCAAGGATTTAGCGCGCCACCGAAGCCAAACAAATGCAACACGTGTGTAGACAAGAAGTCCGGTGTTGCTTCGTCTTTCTTTCCTCGTTTGCAGTCAACCGAAAGTAAATTTTGGACCTTCTTGCTAGTCGTCTTAAGCCCTTCATCACTGACAGCAGCGTCCAGATGACTGACTCCTACACCTCCCGCGTCGGTGATCTTTCGCCCTCTTCAAATGGCTACGCGAATGGTGCCAGTCCGTCGTTGACACAATCTAACAACGCTGGTATATCACCCGTCATTCGCAAAAAGCTCATGGGCTACGTCGGTTTCGCCAACCTTCCAAACCAAGTGCACAGGAAGAGTGTTCGAAAAGGCTTCCAGTTCACTACAATGGTCGTCGGTTTGTTGTTTTATAACAACTTAATTACATGCCCTCAAATATTCACCATTCTCTAGGCGAGTCGGGTTTGGGCAAGTCTACGCTGATCAACACCCTCTTCAACACGCCACTATACCCTCCCAAGGAGCCCCTTCCTCCTTCGGCTGAACGTCCCAAAACGGTTGCTATTGAAAGTATCGGCGCAGGTCAGTGTCGTATAATTGCATGCAAGGTACCATTAACAGTCGCACTTAGATATTGAGGAGAATGGCGTTCGTCTACATCTCACTGTCGTTGATACTCCCGGTTTTGGCGATTTTGTCAACAACGATGACAGGTATGTAAAAAATTTGGCCAAATTGAGAATATCTCACCCATACGTAATATTAGCTGGAGGCCGATCGTAGAAAACATTGAGTCGCGCTTCGACTCATATCTAGAGCAGGAGAATCGCGTAAACCGACAGAAGATCGTTGACAATCGCGTTCACGCTTGTCTTTACTTCATTCAGCCCACGGGTCACTCGTGAGCAGTTTTGTTGTCTTTTGTTGTACTTCTATCTGACACGTTCCGTCTTTGCACAGGCTGAAACAACTCGACATTGAATTTATGCGTCGCCTGCACACCCGGGTTAACCTCATCCCAGTCATCGCCAAAGCTGACACGCTGACGGACGAGGAAATTGTTGCCTTCAAAGCTAGGGTAAATCGCCTGTCCGTGCCGTATTTCTTGTTGCCTGACCTTCCACGCAGATCCTTGCAGATATTGCTCACCACAACATTCACATCTTCCAGGCGCCTAGCTATGAGAATGAAGACGAGGAGACTCTTGCTGAGGCCGAGGAAATTGCTAGCAAGATTCCCTTCGCAGTCGTTGGTTCGGACAATGTTGTTGACACCAATGATGGTCGTCAAGTCCGTGGACGTGCATACCCTTGGGGTGTCATCGAAGTCGACAACGAGGAACACTGTGACTTCGTTAAGCTTCGCCAGATGCTTGTGCGGACCTACATGGAGGAGCTTAGAGAGCGCACGAATGATGTGCTATATGAAAACTGGCGAAGCGAGAAACTTCTTAGCATGGGTGTTGCGCAGGATTCCAGTGTCTTCAGGGAGATCAAGTAAGTGCTGCTCTTGTTGTTCATGGAGAAAGTTGATTAACACCTTGTTCAAGCCCTTCCGCCAAGATTCAGGAGGAACGCATTCTGCATGAGGCCAAGCTTTCCAAGATGGAGGCTGAGATGAAGATGGTTTTCCAGCAGAAGGTCCAGGAGAAAGAGTCGAAGCTGAAGCAGTCCGAAGAGGAACTTTATGCTCGACACAAGGAAATGAAGGACGCTCTCGACAAGCAGCGCGCAGATTTGGAAGACAAGAAGCGAAGAATCGAGAGTGGTCGACCGCTGACCCCAGAGAAGAACACTGTAAGCCAACAACCCCACCTTGGAGTGTTTACTGACTTACGTTCATGTAGACCAAAAACCGTCGCTTCTTGCGGTAGATTCTCTCTGTCTTGGTACCTCTTTCTTATTGTTCTCTCTTCGCCTCTTCTAGTTTGCCATTTAGTATTCTTGCTATCGTACATTGCATTCGCGTTTCACTCGTTACCTCGCCCCCGAACATTTTACACTCTTTTGGATTGATATCCAGGCTTGGCTACCCTCCACCCTTTTAGTACTATGATCAACTTCTTATGCGGAGTTTCTAGGCGTTGAAAGACGTCGAGGGGACGATTGGATTTTTATTTCTGCGATGACTGCGCGAAGATACCCAGTGTTGCCACTATGTCAATACTGATAAACAGATGATCTTTGAGTGTCAGCTTAATGAGATTTGATCACGAACCACGACAAAGCTCAATCATGGCTGATAACCAGTCCGCAAATATTCAAGCACTGCTGTCCGCATTAAATGTGTTTACTCGTGCACCTGACAAGACTTCTTTGGAGAACGCGAATTCCTGGCTGCAGGATTTCCAACACTCTGTAAATTCACTTTCGCCCTTCGCCCGATCTTCCAATCCGGTCATCTGACTTCGTCCATCCGCCCTGTCCTAGCCCGAAGCATGGTCGACATGTAACGTCCTCCTGCTATCTCTTGATGCACCCCCAGCGGCCAAACTATTCGCCGCACAGACTTTCAGGTCAAAAGTTAGTCAATGGTGATTCATTTCTGTGTGCCACTGAAATCTCCCCGACAGGTTACTTATGATCTACATCAAGTAGATCCATCGAATCTTCTCCCCCTCAGGGACACTCTTGTCACTGCGTTGGAGAGATATCAAAGCGGTCCGAAGACCATCATCACACAGTTATGTCTGGCGCTTTCAGGGCTTGCCCTGCAACTCCCAGCTTGGGACAATGCTCTACAGAGTATTGTCGAGACATTCGGAGCGAACCCTGCAACTGTTCCTGTGCTGCTCCAATTTCTGACCATCCTTCCGGAAGAAGTATCGGGTAACACAAGGATACCTGTGACTGTGAGTGGCGCATAATCGGTAGATTTAGGAGGTTCATGATCCCAACAGGACGATGAATATCGCGAAAGGTCTACAAAACTCCTTTCAGACAACTCTGAGCAGGTATTAGAGCTGCTGTCCATGTACTTGCAAGCAACTGGTTGGTCTATTTGTTTAATGACCCAAGGGCATTGATTTTAAAAATTTCCAGGTGTCACGCACGCGGTTCAAAGCCAAATCTTTGATTGCCTTCGCAGCTGGTTAGTCGCAGGAGAAATCGATATGCCCGCCTTCGGGAAATCTCCTTTGCTTGCATTTGCATTCGAGGCCCTAGCTTCGGAGGTACTTTTTGACTCGGCAGTCGACGTCGTCTGTGAAATGATACACGAGACGCAAGAAATCGACGATAATATGCCCGTGATTGAACTCATCGTTCCTCGGGTCATTGACTTAAAGTCTCGACTGGAAGATCAGAAGGATGATCCGGAAAAGATTCGAGGCTACGCAAAGATCTTTGCAGAAGCGGGTGAGACGTACCGGCTGCTCATTCTTCAGCACACCGACACATTCTACCCAATCGTTGAGGCAATTGGCCAGTGCTCAGCCTACCCTGACCTCGATATTGTGCCCATCACTTTCCCCTTCTGGATGCGGCTGGCTCAGACTATCGGCAAGAAAACAACAATCTCGCCACTATTCGGGGAAGCGTACAAGGCGTTGATGGGAGTCGTCATTCGCCATTTGCATTTCCCTCCTGATCTTGCTTCTATGACGGGCCAAGAGGCGGATAATTTCCGCTCGTTTAGACATGTGATGGGAGATACTCTCAAGGACTGTTGTCTAGTTCTGGGTGCAGATGCCTGTCTTCTTTCTGCTTACGGGCTCATCACCATGGCGCTCTCTCGCGGCCCACAGTCCATCTCCTGGCAAGAAATCGAAGCCCCTCTCTTCGCTATGCGCTCCATGGGTGCCGAAATTGATGTGATGGACGATACCGCCGTGCCCAAGATAATGGATCTCATTCCCTCCCTTCCGATTCATCCTCGAGTTCGTTATGCTGCATTGCTCATCATATCCCGGTACACCGAATGGATCAACCGTCACCCAGACTACATTGCATACCAACTACAGTACATCTCAGCAGGCTTTGAAGATCCTGACTCCGAAGTCAGTGCAGCTGCAGGGCAAGCGTTGAAGTACTTGTGCCAAGACTGTAAACAGGTAAGACCAAGCGTCACCTTTGTTGTCAATTTTTATTTCATAAACGTAATTGCAGCATTTGATCGAATTCCTTCCTACGCTGCATACTTTCCTCACAACAACTGGAACAAAACTGAGTCAAGACGATCGGCGGCAAGTATACGAGGCCATCGCTTACGTGATTTCTGCGATGTCTATGGAGAAAGCTGCGGAGTCCCTGCGAACCTTTTCGCTCGACATTCTGTCCCAAATACATGCCATAAGTAGCAAGTCGACAGCAGTCACCAAACAAGAGCTCAAGGAAGTCGGATGTAAGTTTTGTAAATCGTGTTGACATCCGGCTGACGCCTGTCCCCTAGATGGCTTGGAAAACCTGGAGGTCATGTTGCATGTCGTAGGACCCTTTGGAGACCAGCTACCTGCCGCCTGTCAGAACAGCTGTCAAGAAGCATGGTCGATTTTTGACATCTTCATTTCCAAGTTTGCGTTCGACTATGACACTTCTGAGAGAGTCACTCGCGTACTTCGTCACGGCATTACGCTGTTTGGCCAGGGATCACTCACAGTTGCATCATCGGTCTTGTCACGGATGGTGACGTCCTTCGAGGCAACTGGGTTCCCGTCATTCTTGTGGATTTCAGGGAAATTTGTAGGGAGGTTTGGTCACGAGTCGGACCCAGTGTTGCGAAATGCCTTTCAAAACCTGTACGAGAGAGCGACCAACAAAGTCGTTAGCCTCTTACAATCAAAGGATTCAAGGGACATCCCTGATGGTGAGCCCATTTCGTTCTAATCTTGGCAATAACTAACTTTAGTTTAACAAGTATTGGAGGATTATGTTCAGCTGTTACTCCAGCTCATACGGATGGCTCCAGACGTTTTCTTCCAGTCCAGCGCATTCCCACTGGCATTCAGAGCCACCATGGCTGCCCTCACTCTAATTCATTCTGACCTCG